CTTAAAGTTTACCAAAGTGTACCAAAATTACTTGAAGATTGGTCGGTTTCCTGCAATAGTCTTTTAGCAATGATTTTGATATTAGTTGTAACATGACTCGTTTAGTATCCGCGGTTTCCTGTCAATATCGAGTCTGTGAAGTCTTTTTAGCAAATGATATTGATATTCAAGTAACGGAATTCTTAAATGTGAACATGTGGAAAGATATGTTTCATCAAGAATGAAAAATTAAATGTTTGAAATTTTCCTTGAGTTTAAACTGTTTTCTCAAAAGAGCTTTTTTCTTATAAAACTATAAAACTTGTTGTCAAAAATACCACGGCAACTGTCTCAACGTGAAAAACCCTGAACACTGAAAAGTGAACAAAAATAAAAAAAAAAAAAAAAACGTTCACCTATTCGTTTAAACAAAAATTTCTATTTGGCAAAAATATTTTTTCCCTAGTTTGAAAATATAAAACCTTCTTCACTGAAGTGAACAAAGAATAAAACAAAAAAATATAAACAAATTTGCCCAAAACTGAAAGTTTGTTTCTTCAGGGTTTGAAAAAAAAATTAAAACAATAGCAAACTGATTGGTGTAATGTTTGGTAGTATCGTATATCAACGGTTTGAAAATCTAAAATTTCTAACAATAGAATCGTGATATAGTAGAAGCCTTTGAAATGGTAGCCTGCGTGACAGGGGTTTGAAAAGGAACGAGGGGGTTTTGTCGCGTCTATTTATTCCTAGAGGCTCGTGATACAGTAGCCTTCCCTTTCAAACGACTGCCACGCAGGCTATTGAAATGGTTATCACTACTAACTGTGATTATTGACTAAAAAATGGTATTTAGCATGTATCTTTAGGGATTCGCACTGGCTGTTTCAGATGACGTGTACCAAGTGTACAGGTGACGTGCATTTTGACATTCTGATTGGTCGACGGAATAAGGCTCTTTGCCATATAAGGAACATTGTAACATAAGCTAGATAGCGAATGGCTTTGATTTTCACTTTCAGGATCACAAAAACAAATCATTCTAATGGGGTCCAAAAAATTAAAGCTTTGAGAGAAAATATCTGCCTTCCTTTATGCTCTAAGAAAACAGTAATTAGACCACTTAGGCCCGTTTCAAAGGTCATGCTACTGCCATGCCGAACTAAATTGATCGAATTAAATTCGACTTTAGCACTGCAGTAGCGCGACGTTTAAAACCAAGTCGTGCTACTGCCGTGTAGCACGACTTGGTTTCAAACCGGTCAAACGTCGCGCTTGCCGTGCCGAACTCAAATTATAAATTATGAATACATTAGAATACATTAAAAGTTTGCTAAATCGTTTCTTTATTTCTGTGTTTTGTTTTCGACAACAGCTGTTCTATTCGACTGAATTAAATTCGACGTCTGAAACCAAGTCGTGCTAGTGTCATGTTGCATTCTAGCTACAGTCGAGCCAGCTTATCACGGCAAAAGCACGACGTTTGAAACAGGCCTTACTGAACAGTTACAGACTTACCCATTTGACTGATCGTCCAATACTATACCGTTTCATTACGGACCATAGTTTCTTTTTGAAGTTTATAATCTTATATAAAGCAATATGGAAGCTCTTCATCACGTGGGCTAAATTGACGTGATTGTTGGGCGAGTAACCTGTACGTCTGTTTTCGATATGGGGTAAACTCGCCTGTTAAAAAAGGTCATTTTTAAACATATGGTATAATTCTATTACAAATGTGTCATCCCCTTGAAACACGTTTCACAACACTGTTTATATCAATGTCGTTTCACTTTCATCAAGCTAAATATCGGGGATAGAAGCGGAATCATTTGAGTTTTGATTTTCAGGATTCCTGTCGTTTTTGCCTCGATGATTCATGATTCCTACAAGAATTTTCTTCTAGATTCATGATTCACGAAGACTTTTAATCACCTATTGACTTAACGATTTTCTGAGTGGCACTGTTTAGTTTTGTTTTGTAGTGTTTCTTTGGTGTCCAAACTTCTGTTTCGTCCAGACTCGGTATCATCATTCGTTTTGTCCAGGTATTGAGTTTTTTTGTAACTGCATTAAGCACCAGATTACTGTAGAAACAAGCCGACTATCAGCCCCGAATGCGTTAGTTATACAGGGGGTCCGAGGACATACTCCCCCCCCCCCGAAAAATGTTTGAAAATTGGACCCTCGAAAACGCCGTATCCAGCATTTACTGGATCGAACGCAGTTAATTCATACGTGTATTTTGTTGAGCTTTTATCAGAGTCTCGTTACTCATGATCCCGAGCCGAAGTACAAAGTTTCCGATAAAATATCTCTTTTATTAAAAGGGTGAGAGGCTTTCACCCTTTGCTTCCCTCTCCTCGCGATTCTTCACCCTTTCCCCAAACAGAGAGCCTGTTCACAGACTAGTTAATACTATAATCTCACAGTTAAAAATGCACACACGACACAGAAGCAAAATTCTTCAATAACCTTCACAAACGATTCAATTATCTAGTAAGAGAAAGTCTTTTAATCGTAACTGAGTCAATCACGAGCCATTATATCACCTTCTTGCAGTAAACCTTACCAAGTTCCGAAAATAGTGAATGAACTATAATAATAATAATAATAATAATAATAATAATAATAATGAACTTTATTAAGGTCTAGCTCATGTCTTATAGCTCAGACACAGTGCCTTACTAACATAATATAATAGCGTAATATAATTATCCTCATCCTCTAGACAGTGTCTCACAGAAAAACTCGCTAAAAGGTAACAATAATCTTTTAAACTTAAAGCATTTTGAATTAGTCACGTGGAAACGTCACGGCTCTATTGTTCTGTCTAATTAAAAGCAAACCCACTCAACAGATTTGACGGTCTGTATAAGTACTGGTAGATATCCGGTATTGAAGGATTAATGTTGCTTTCTAAGAGAACTGAGGAAGTGACTTACGTTTGCAGTCAGTGTTGCTTGTTGTACGTGTCTTAGCATTGGCACGTACTACACGTGAAGTACAATCAGTTCATGAATACAAATTCTAGCGCACTGTTAATTGTAAACACGCCGGTGTTAGCAGTATCCCGAGTATGCAAGGATTTTTTGCATAAAAATAAACCGTACTTTCCAGCCGTTCGCTTCGCACGATTATCAGAGGCATGTTTACTGTTGTACACCTGTCGGAAGCAACCTCGAATTTAACTGTTCACAGATTTCTTTTCTCTGATCTCATTGCATTTGAATTAATCCCTCTTTCGTTAGTGGCACAAGATTAATGAAGATATGATTGCTTAATTAGGCCATTCTTTTCAAAGGCACAAGGTGCTAAAGAGTAGTGACTTATATAGTGTTCAGTGTGATTTATAAAGTTAAGATAGCATTGCCTGTAAAGGTGTAATGAAAAGTCATAACAAGCAATTCTTTTAATATTACTACAGTTTCTTTATTAACCAACAACTGGTCACGATAAAAAAACTATACTCCCCGCTTATATCACGTTTACGCTCGAATCAGGCAACATTATACCCTTGACCGCTCAGCAGGTCAATCTCTCGTAATCACTGGAATTTATTGCCTCAAGCCAGGTTATAAACAATGCGAGCAGTCACTAAAATTAGTAGCAAAAGAGTGTTCAGCATTAGCGGATCTTGCTTGCTTTTCAAACAGACTCAGTGGAAAAAGATTCAAGCAGACAAGTTATGAAGGGAAGAAGAAAACTCGGCCTTAGCACACAGGTCAATCTACGAAACATTCGGATTGCAGTGATGGGTCAGGATGGAGTAGGAAAAACAGGTAAGGAGGAAACTTGAACTTTAGTGTAGCATGTACCCCGGTGATTTGTACAGCCTACGTTGAAGTACTGTACTGTGTACAGTAGTTAGCGCTTACTAAAGACGGGATGCGTTACTGATTCATTTTTAAGACCATAAAACGGCGGGAACTGACTGAATCTAACTCTCGCCATTTTTAGCCACTATATTGAACTATACGTTATAAGCATTGAAAACGTTGTTAAGGAAGCAGAACTTATCGCTGAAAGAAGACAGCAAATCATGCGGTGTGATCGACATGACCAGTCATTTGATATTTTGGGATAAAACTTGCTGTACTTTTGTGTGGTCTCCATTTGCTGGGCCGCTTTTTTTTAAATTTTTTTTTTTTCACGTGGAAAATATGAGGAGATATAGTACCACTTGATGATTAAAGTGTATGTATCAATACGTGCTATTAAGTGGATTGTGTATTTATGATATCATTAAGTTTTCATATCAGCTCATTGATTCAGCTCGTCAATCTTCAATTTGGTAAAATATAACTTACAGCAAAAACTGATGATTGAGGTCCGTCTTATTTCGATTTGCTAGATTCATGTTCAGCGGAAATACGGCTAGATTTCCCTGTTAGACTAAGTGTATTCCGAACACTAACCGGTTAATAAAAAAAGACAGCTGAGAAACACAAACTCATCAACTCGCGTAAAAGTCTCGGTCTCTAATGTAATGAAAAGCCTAAAATGGAAAGGTCAAAAATGGAACGCTTGAAGCGTTATTAAAGAAAAAATGAACGTAGAAAATTCTAGTATCTCACGGTAAATATAAATCACCCTTTCACCCAACAATTGTGTTACTAAACACTATTGTTCCAGTTATTTTTACATTTTAGCTCGTCAAAACATTATAAATCTCAACCTCTCGCATTGTACACCACAATGAGTAAGCTTATAATGTGACTAGGTTAATTTGAATGTCCATTAATTTTAATTTGTGCAAAAAGATTAAGCCTATAATCCAATAGAGGTTCGCAACACAAATCCAATTATATTTTTTCTTCTTCATAAAGACTCTACCGACGGGAAACCCCCACTTAACACTTAAATTTTTTTGTCCAAGGAAGGAACCGGCATTTCTGATGAGGGGATTAATTAAATTTTGAGAATTTTTTATTGGCACTTTTTCCGATCTGTAATTACTCCAGTTGGAAAACATACAAAAAGATACTCACTCGCAATTTTTTTTTTTTTTTTTTTTTTTTACAGCCCTCACTGTTCGTTTCTTAACCAGGCGATTCATCGGAGAGTATGACCAAACACTGGGTGAGTAATGTTTTTTACCACATTTTTTTCTTTTTTTTTTTTTTTTGCGGAACACACCCCCACTCATTTTAAAACTCACTGAATTACACATAAGTGATTACACCAAAATAACTTAAATGAAATGAAATCAAGTACTGAATTAAGTTTAAGGTTTTTACTAAGGACTAAAGTAAAGTAATTACCAATCGGGTGTCAATGAAGGAACAAGCAAGAAGTTAAAAACGTTGGCCCGACTTTTTAAGGTGGTATTGTGTATCCACAAAAGCCATTTATGACCAAAACAGACATTTTTTAATAGCATCTCCGCGTTAGAAAGGTTTAGAAAAGCCATTTTAACTGACTGAATGAAATGCTGGCCTCTGTATCTATTTATTTATTTATTTATTTTTAAAATTATCAGTTACCTTTGATGAAAAATTGTTCTTTTGACTTTCAAAGTCATGGTTACCAAATTTTGAAGGCAACACTTGTTTCTAATTAATTATACCATGTATACCGGATCGAGGTTTGTGGTAAAAGTGATTTTGTACCGTGAATGCATGTATGACGCAAATTGGACATGTTGATCATTCCAACGTAACCAGCAATAGACTTCATATGTTCCGGTTTTTAAACTAAACAAAATCTTTTTATTGTTATCGGCAAACCCGAAAAAGGCAGAACGACTATAAACATTGTCCTAAAATCGGCTCACAGCTGGAGTGGTATGCGCTTCCACGGAAAGGATAAATATTTTTGGCCTCCCACAGAGAACTCAAGATCATAAAGTTGAGAACGGATCGCGCGTAAAAACAGACTCATGTGAAACACATATGCTGCATAAAGGAAACTGCATGAGTTACTGACTACTTGAGCAGTTAACTTACGGACTTAATCAAACAAAGCCGCTGAGCTTACAAGCGCAACATTTGAGAATTTACGAGAAAAGAACCGACAGAAATAAATCTTGCGTTTAACCTCATTCATACCCTGCTCAAAATGAGGATGGGAACGAAGTGCCCGCGGGAGCGATCCTCATAAATGCAGACCACTTGGTATTGAGTTTGAGAATTTTGACCCATTTAGGCACTTTTGCGGCTTTTATCCCATGATGGTCATGTATTTAGTACAATCCACGGCGCGTTTAATTGAAAACATGACGCAGTTCTTACGTCATGTGACGTCATCACTTCTTTTGGACTGCCGTAAGGGGTGCAGATCCGCTCGACCGTCAAGCTCAGAAGCTGTCTGAAAGGGTGAAGAATTTTGGGCGCTAAGCAACTTGTCCTAGAAGAAGTGTACAATCAGGGGATTATTATCTCTTGCTACAATCTAACGGCTTTTAATTCTTGTGAAGGAGAGCGACTTCCTGGGTAAACTATAAACTGCAATGAGCTCTACACCATGGCCCGATCCACATGCATCTTATCTAAGTGCGATCTTTCTATCTACCGTCAGCTCCTGCAACCATTTATTTGCCTCCATCACAAAAATTGATGATTTTTGCAAATTAAGAGATGATATACCTTTTTAAAATATAAAACATCTCCAGGTTCCTTTTGAGAATTCTTTTCCGATGGGCTCCTGTCTGATGTTAATCTCCCGGCGACTGGACAAAGTCTCTCCCTAAGGAACTTGATTTGAAAATATTATGTCCTCTTTTTTCTTGTCTTTATGACTGATAACTTCTCTTTTGTTCTCAGAAACAACAACGAGACACCACGTTGACGTGGACGGCGAGTACCTTGCTTTAGACATCTTGGACACCGCGGGAAAGGTAAATATCCCTGATCCATTCATGAGCCCTGATTACAGTCAAATCTCGCCTTGCGGACATACCGCTATAACGAACACCCCGATAATACGGACAACAGCTAAATCCCAATGCAAAAATGAATTGCAGATATTTGACTGAAATAAACTCCCGCTAATGCGAACTCTAAATCGCGTTCCTTCAATGTCCGCTGTAAAGTGAGTTAACTGTAAATGATCCGCCTTTTGTCTGTAATTGTAGGCGACAAAAGGAGCCCTCGAAAAATTCTTGGTCAGCAGTACTTTAGGTTCAGCTTTGTGTCACTCATTACTGTTTTCATTGTATCTTTGCCTGCGAATACAGCCTTCTGTTCTCGCTCCCCACCATTATTTAATTCGCAGGCTAACTGTGACTAAAATCGCTATGTGACTAAAATGTGACTAAAATCGCTGATTAAAAACGAGTATTGTTTACTGTGTTGTTCAATTCAGTTTCCATGCTCATGATCCGCCGCGATTCCATCTGCTGACACCGCAACTAAAAGGGCTTTCTCTGATTCACGTACGCAATTGTGAAAGCGGTTCTCATAAATCACATCTCTAAGGTAAACCCACATGTTCGCCCACACCTCCTAACCATCGGTTACTGCTAGGATATCACAAAGAGGATGAAGTGGCTTAACGGGAGTTAAGTTAACTTAGTTAAGTTAAATACTTAAGTTAGTTAAGTTTTCGTGCTAATGCACACGCTTACTGAAATTTCATCTTTCACTGGTTGCATCTTCGACCCTCTCGCGACATCGTTGTAAGAATAGGTTCTGTAGTGTGAAGTGCTCGGCAGCTTTGGCGCAGAAACACTCGCTACTCAGGCTAATGAAGTAAATACGCCCCTTCCGATTGAATAATAGTCTATCTCGCTGTCACAGCCAGAATTATGTCGCTGATAGACTTTTAAACTTTGGTGAAATGGTAAAACGTGCCTCAAAGCCATAAATAAGAAAAGGCGATAGTAGCCTTAAACGATATTTTATAGTTATAACAAGACCACAGAGTAAAGCGATCCTGAGCACATTGTACTCTATTATTAAAGCTGTCTATGTAAATTGTTTCTTTTTCAGAACACTAATGAGAAGATGGAAAATATCATTGGATATGCAGATATTTTTCTCGTCCTATACTCTATAACGGATCGTGCCAGCTTCCAGGAGGCAGGGAAGATTGTAAAATACATCCGGCGACACCGAACACTCGATTCAAGCAGCATAATTATCGCAGGAACCAAGACGGACTTGGAACATTTCAGGAAAGTACGCGAAACAGATGGGTCACGCCTCACCTACTCGTTAAACTGTGGATTCTTTGAGATATCAATTTCGGAGGATTACAGGGAGACTATGAACATGTTTAATGACATTTTAAGACAGTATCTGAATGCACATCCATCCCACGACTCATCAGCGACGATATCTACGTGTCCTTCTCCTACCCCACCTAACGCGTTGTCTCCTTCCAAGGAAATCAAGTCGCCTTCTTCTTGGGCGAAAGTAAAGGGGCTTAAAACAATGCCATTTAGAAGGAAATCAGTCCAGACAGCAGCCTGCTAGTCAGATACAATTATATTTATTGCGTTAACGCTAATGGAACTTGATTTAATTGAGTGCCGAATTTTGTTCGGAATTTCACTTCATTTAGAGTTTAAGTAAAATACCCTTTGTTACTTAGCTTCTTTTAACCAATCAGAAGTAGTTGACTTCCTGGGGCACGCGCTTCTCCGCTGTGAGGGGTGGGGGAGGGGATGGCTCCCATATGACAAGTAGGAATCGCCCTCGTCGTTCTGTATCTCTTGGGACGATTAATTATCAGCTGGTTACTAATTAAAGGATTGCAGCACTCAAGTGACAATCGCTTATAACGATCATAATTAAAATTATAATCGTGTACAGTTACTTAATTGTTAAGGAAATATGGATAATTTATATTACCGGTACTCAGTCATTTCTACTCTACCTACCAATTACTTCACGTCTGACGATATCGTTTAATGATACATCCGGATCCGGGCTGTATAGGTCTATAATAAACTAAACTAACATATATACTAGTGTAAATAATGTTATTTTTTCTTCGTAAGCAACTGTATATAGTGGACAGAATAAAGCTACAATGTAGGTTGAAGCTAAAGTCAATGTCGATCGAGAACTAGATGTTCTAGCTTGTAAGTGGCATTTAACCAACCTTTCGCTCAACAACTAAGCCTGACATGTAGTCTTGAATACAGCCAATACAGTGTGCAGAGCATGGAAGCTGTTCATAGAATTTGTAGCTGCGACTCGTTAATCCTGGATAACTGATGCGAAATAAACGACCTTCTCAAGATTGTGTATTGAATATAACTACTATCTACCGAGGAGGGAAGGAAGAATAGAGACTTCTCAACTGAAACACTGTGTATTCAAAGGTCTCAAAGGAACACCAGAATTCGGCATAACCCGCAGGATAAACCGCAGAGTAAGGCGTGGTTCTTTCTCTGTTACTTACTAGATTTACGGTTATTCATTTGACCTTCTTTAAAAGACCTTTTCCACGCGAAAAGCTGATGCTATTTGTCCAGTTAAAACTGGAACTCAGCATTTTTCACGGTTAAGTCAAGATAACTTGACCGTACAAATCTCCGTAATCTTATCCTTTCCTCATTTTCTGTCCTAAAGACACCTGAAGTTCCAGGCTACAAACGGTGTTGTCTGGTTAGACCACATCAGTATTTTTCGACCACAATGCGACCTTGGGATACTTAGAACTCACTTCTTCTGTCTCTTCTGATCGGCTAAACCCGAGAACGGCGGTATGCGCTCATTTTACCCCCCCCCCCCCCTTCCCTTTTATTTTCCATCAGTGCTCCGTTTAACGGGTATTTAAAGCTAGTTAAAGCTACACGGAAAGGAAAGAAGTGGAAACAAGGATCTGTGGTCACAACTGGGAATAGAATTCAAAGCCGGCTCCCGAACAGGAGGCCGTGCACTAACCGACTGTGTTAATCCTTGTTTCTCAAATGCTTTTCAGGCATTTAAGTGTAAAGTGTAAAAAAGTCAAGCCAAATAAATCACAAGAGTACCATACACACTCAAACTTAAAAGCGCTCTATGTAAAAGTATTGCGTCGATCACGTGACAAGTCCTGCGAGAGTTCTTCAGACCTCGTTGCACAGTATTCGTCGATGGTTTCTTTCACGCTTGACATAGCTCTGTTTCTCCCCACGTTCTTTTCGACAATTTCCATAATCTTGTTGTGAGAAGTTTGTTTTACCCCGTTTAAAGCCCGTTGTGTCAATTTATGTCGCGCGATGTCTCGTATCGCCTCAGAGAAAACATTTTCGACCTCTTCGTAGCTTGCTTTTGTGGAGATTTCGTAAAACGAGCAGTTATTTTCCTTGGAAAACTGAAGTCCCTCTTGTTTGCTGACTTCTCTGTCATTTTCTGTGTCCTTCTTGTTACCGATCAGTACTACAAGCGGTTTATCAGCCGCTCGAACTTTCTCCAAGTGTTGTCTCAGTGGGATCAGTTCTTCAAAGCTTGAGCGGTCGTTAATAGCGTACACCAACAAAAACAGATCTCCCCACAAAGTGTGGACATCACTGCTCTCGATAAAGTCCTGATGAATACAGTAAAATAACTTCAGTTTCGTTCAAAAACCATGTACATTCAGACCACCCGGAAGTAAACATCCCATAGAACTGTATAACCTTTGCTATTATATAGGTTGTATGAACACGGAAGCTGGTTAATAACTGGTTAACATCAAGTTCGCAAAGAGAGGGAAGCAAGGATGGCGCAGTGGTGAGAGCACACGCCTCCAATCATTGTGGCCTGGGCTCAAATCCCGGTGTCGACGCTAAATGTGAGTTGAGTTTGTTGTTGGTTCTTGGTGACCCCGTTTTCCCTTCCCCTCAAAAACCAACTTTTCCGAATTTCAATTCGACCAGGAACTGGTAGACGAAGAACAACGATGTGGACGGCTACCCCTAAATCGTTACTTATTTATTTATTTTAGTTCCATAGTAATAATACACCACAACAATCATTTACTAGTCAAAAATAAGAAATATTTTTTGGTTAACTAACCTTGCCTCCAGACTCGAGAATTTCTACTCGCACTTGTTGATTTTCCAGCCTTTTATGATAATGATACATTAAACCTAAGATAAAAGCATTTCAGTGCTATTACGTATAATATTGGAAAAAATATTGAAATGTAAACACTTTTTTGTTGCAAAGCCAATAATACTTGCATTTACTTTGTTTACCTTTTAGGTGTGTCTTTATCGATATTTCTACAAGGGTCATTACATTAACCTCTGACAAAATATATCAGTCAGCTTACAAGCAAGCTCTCTCGTCTCAGGGGTAGAGTTAGCTGGAAGAGCTCGCACGCGTCTCTAGCTAGAGAGAGCTTGCACGTAGGGTAGTTTAGGGCTGGCATTTGTGATTTTGTCCTCTTTCATTGTTTGTGTTATGATCATCAGAACAAAAAAAATAAAACCAATTGTTACTTTGTCTAGATCTTCTATTTATGTTATCAGGATCGGTTATTTTGGCACTAGCTGTGTTTCGTGATTTGTGTGCAAACTACCAGAGTAAGTTAATTGATTATAACACTTGAAGCAAAACACTTCGCCTACAACAACTTTTAAGTCACTTGAGAAAAAGTTAAAATACTAGCTTGGAAGGCCGTTAAATGCGTGTTTTTGCAGTGATACTGTGAAAGGTTTAAACTATCGGTTTCACCTCGAATAACACTGAGCTTTTGGCTTCTTTCTCTTTTTTACTTATTGGACTCAAAAGATCCCGGAACTACTCAGCTTTTGAACTCTTGCCAGAAAAGGTACCCTTTTAAGACTGTGTGTCCCAGTCAAGTGCGTTATGCTGAAAGTAAGAGTTGCAGTTTTTTGTAAAGAGTCCTTCAAGTTTCGAAACAGCGAAAAGATTACATCATTTCAGTTGAGTTTGGAGGCACGGAAGGCTTCTAGCACATTAAACAAACAATCAAATCAAGTCCTGCATGATAACTGCCAGAGTGTTTTCCGCCAGAATTTTAGACGGTGCTCTAAGTGAAAGCTGTTTTTCAAACAAATATTGATATTTCAACAAACAACCTCCATGCGGTTTCTTCAGTTGCAGACGGGAAATGTGTGGTCCGGAATCACCTGCAGGCGCGGATCCATACCGGTTTCCACCGTTTTAAGGAAATCGGTCAGAATTTTCATTATAACTATATTTTAAGTAAAAAACTTTAAACTTTCCAAGTTAAAATCTGGAAAATGGTTTGTATAGTCGGTAAATTTCCTGTCTGAATGACTCAGAAACCCAGAAAAGGGGACTTTGGGGAGTTAAAATCCCAAAAAAAATCCCGGGGGAGCATGCTACGTAGAAGTAGGAAATCGATCAGTATTTATCCTAGATCCGCGCCCGACCCGGCTGGCTTTGTTGAATTCGAGCTGTTTTTTGGGTAAAAAAAATCTGTGTGAGAGAAACTCTTTTTCAGTTACGAATGGCTGCACTAACCTCGAAAAAGTGTGAGCTACTTTTCTGAATCTGTGTTTTTTCATGATAATCTTTTGCAAATCTTATTCAAATATTGTGGTTTATAACCGAGTGACAAATCAGACAATTCTGCTTTAATGCAAAGGAAACATATAGATAAAGTGGTTTCTTATCGATAGTCGGTTTATTTTTCGATAGTATCAATATTAGTGTTCTCTGAGCTAGGCACGCGATTTGTGATCATTTGTTCAGTGAAAGTAAGTTGCCAGAAATCACAGCCCGACACTTAAAAGATGTAAAATCACTATTAATTTTCATATTTTAACACTTTAGTTAATCCACTTGTTCTTTGTAAGCCATTGAAACCTGCTTAGTTAAGTTGCTGTAATTTGCAGCCTCAATACAGCACCTTGTTCGCGTAGCTCAGTCGCTAGGGAATCAGTAAAATCGCGTTGTACAAAATACACTAATGGTGCAGCCGGGGCACTCGTGCCGTTAGCTGTCAAGAACTTTACAACCGCCAGTATTTCAATCTTTCAAACTACTTTACCTCAAGCTTTGATGTCAAAAATAAACTATTTACCAACACGGTCTGTTCCTAATCCCTTAAAACTGATCAAATCATATATATTTTCTCTCTGTACGTATGCATCCATTCGATCACTTTGCCTTCGCTTTTCAGAGTTTATAGGCCATTTTCGCACAAACTCAGTCTTTCTTCTTAGAAATCAAATTCACTAAAAGCATTTAGCTAAGAGACTGTAAACCTAGAATTGGGGTAAAAAATTCACTTTTTTAGAACAGGGTATTTCATTTTGTGCATGAGGTTGTTAATCACATATGTAAATCCACTTACTTAATAACAAACTGCTATGCCGGGCGGCCGGCACTTCATAACCCAGGATTAGTTTGAAAGATATAAATGTGTTCATGTGTAAACAGAGATAGGAGGCATTTCCATTAAAGCGCTGTGCAATGAGATTTTACGGTTAGTTGAGATGTTTGTCGCCGGATTCCATTAAAGAATTCACAAAACAAACATGTAGCAAACTATCATGAGTCAACTTACCAATGTTTTGGTCATACTCCCCAATGAATCTTTTCGTTAGAAATCGCACGATCATAGCTATGAAATTAAAGAAGATATGAGCATACTATTATCTAAAAAATATGTACAGTGTTTACAGGCTACGTTGAGAAAAACAGACGAGTGCTTAAAACAACATGGACAACAAAGGCAATGGAAAATAGTTAAGCACCATAAAATGTTAAAAGATCTCAAGAAAGTTAAACACTTCAACTGCAATGAGGTGTCTTTACCTGATTTTCCAACACCGAGCTTTCCTACAAGAACAAGTTTTACTAAAATGGGTTTATTTTCCCCCAAGCGGCTGGTCTGTGCAGTGTTCATGTTTGCGTACGACCGAGATGTGAGTCGACTGGCTCTTCTTGCTGGTGTAAATTAATTATGTGTTAATTTGCCGCCATTGTATCGTGTGACTTCTAGTATCATTGTTTGTCCTAGAAACAAAAGAGTTTATCTCAGTTTACACGACGTTCACTTTAAGTGAACAGCACCAAACACAAGATTTTAAGGACGCTTTCGAAATTCATTCAGAATCATTTCAGTTTCCGTTTTTTAGTAAAGCTGAAAGGCACTTAAATGACACACGGTCAAATGGAGATTAATAGTAACAACACATCAACTACCTTTCTGGGGCATATTTTATAAAGTTTACATACCCTCACGACCTTGTCAAACGAGCTTGGCTAGTGACTGGCTCGATAAATGTGACTTGAAACCTAATTAGATGCTCACCATTAAGCCAACAAAATTGCAGGCGTAAAGTTAATGGTAAGGTCAATTTACGGAAACTTGGACTGTCTTTTCATTCCGGTCTGCATTATATTAGCTAAACTGAATGTCGCTTTCCCTTTTCACTTCCTTTGTTACAGTCTAACGCTACATATATTCGCAGCCTTTTTAAATGGATTCTGAATGACGCTTACCATTAAACTGATCCGGTTGGGGTGCCCAGTGGCATTATTTTTTCATCGAATTTTTTTTCTCTTACACGGGGTTTGAGTCCAAAAGAGGGGCGAGTATTTTGCACGTTGCGTGGCAATGAAACCGAGAAAGTAGTTATTCCCTTCAGTTGAACAACACCTTTCGGCGGGTCAATCCAGTCTAAAGTTTTCGAAAGACACGTACGTAAGTCCTAAGATCTACAAAATCAAAAGATAATCATTCTCTCTTGGTAAAACTGAAGAAATCCTGTTTTCCCAATCGCAATTTTCTGAAAAAAGAATTTATTTTCCATTGTTCAAACCCATCTACGAGTATCCCATTTTTTAAATAAAATGGATTCGGCGTTAAAGGTAAACGCGAACGGTCCAAAGTCCAAGCCCCCGGACGGTGTGTAAGGGCCTGTTTACATGGAGGTGGGGGACCCCAGACAGGTAAGGTAACATATGGCGGGTCGCCCCACCTAACATGTAAACGTGATCAAATTAAAATGAGAGATTATATGGACAGGTGGGTTACCCAACCTAAGCGGGTAACCTCACCTACCTGGGGTCCCCCACCTCTATGTAAACAGGCCTTGAGGACAAACACATATCGAAATTCAATTTCAGGAATTGCACACTTCTCTCTTTCTAAGAAAGGTAACTTTACTTTATTCAGGTTTGGGATCACATTCAAGAGAAGATTTTGAAACTATCTCCGCTCTCATAGTAGCTGGGCGGCCGATCTTCTGTTATAGTTAGATAGATATCACTACAATCGTTCGGTAAGTTATTGTGCCTTTTCATCTTTCATCTTCGTTAACAAATATTCGTTAAGGTTTGGATTATTGGCCCACTTTATAATGACGTCTTTCGCTTGCCTGCTCTTGCTTTTGATTTGCTCTCCTGGAGTAGACCGCTGATCAATAGGAGTAGCGACATCTTTGACAAGAGGAGTCAAGTCCATAATGTCCTGGGTATCACTTAAGCGATTACCATAGTAAACGCGATCCAGCCTAAGAAAATAGATTGCGAAAAAGGAAGAAAGCATTTTCAAACGCAAACCCAGTGCCACCCTGCGCCGGAGCAGAGCCTGCTTTTGCCCTCTTCTTGATCGACGCGGAGAAAGCCGGGAGGCTTTGCCTGAATCACGTCAATCCTTTGAAGTAACCGCAGCCCGAATTTCTGGACTGGTCAATCTTGGGTGCTTACTATTTGACAGAAAAATCCGGTTGGGGTGTCGAAAGCATAATGATAAGCGATTTACCAGTTTACCGCAGAATTGCCACATCCGTTACGGTTTGAATCCAAAAAAGGGGCGAATTTGTGTAGCGTGAGTCTACGTAGCATTTTCCGTTTGGTTCGTATTGACCGGAACGAAAGGACTACCTCAAAATGTACTCTTCAATTTTCGGTTGGAATTTCCGAAAAGTGACAGTACCATTTACCTTCAATCCGGAATTAACGAAATTTTCTGTCAAATGGTAACCACCCCTTGTTTTCTCTCGTCAAACTGGGTTTTGTGTGCGAGCATCCGTTGATTGATGAACCGATGTTCATAACAGAGCCCGCTGTACCAAGCCTGGGTTTGAAGTTGTATCCTAGTAACATGCAACGCATGCTCAACAAAGAACTTACTCGATTCATGCAGAGTCTTTCTCGAATACGCCAAAAACGGGCAAGCGAAAGAAAGGTTCTGCTGGCAGGATGACCCAGCGCCCAATACCTTTTCTCTAAATATGAATTTATGCACAGTTTAATTACTGGGAGCAGCGCTTGCGACACGTGAATAGGCCATTTCAGAGTTGACCCAAGCCTCTGTTTCAAAGCGAGGCTAAGTGCGAAGGCATCAACACAAAAATGATTTTTTCTTCTCGTGCATTCTCGACCCCAGTGCTTACGGGTTTGGGAATGCGCTCTTGATCTCTCTCCTCTACATGCGCAGAAGAGTTCTGGGTCGAGATTGCTTCTCGTGCAAATTAAAACTCATTTTCAAAAGAAAAGTTTTGCACTTTGCCTTTTTTTGAAAGAGAGAATTTTTGGAACTCGGAGATGGCCTCGTATTAGAACACTCTGAATACAGGTACACGAAACTTAACAAGGGCTTTATAAAAAAGATGATAACAACAAAAGAGGGGTGTCACGAAATCTCGAATTTTCCTCGCTCCTGTTACAAGTTACGTGACAACAGTAAAAGCACTTTGCAACTTCAGTTCCATTTGTGATTGTTGGAGTACATACAGTGGCAGTGACTACAAACAAAACAAAACATGGATAACCTTTGTCTCTCTAGAATAACCTTTTTAATACTAGAACTCACCTACAAAGCCAGATAGCTGACGTGCACATTGAACAAGGTTCACAGCTTGTGTAAATCTCACTGCCACTCAGGTCGCACGATTTAATGTTCTTACTAGCCTGTCTGATGGCAGTCATCTCTCCATGAGCAGTAGGGTCACAGTCTATACTTTCTCTGTTGTAACCTTCACCTGAAAACAGTCATGTAGTTTTTACACTCTGTTTACTTACCAGCATTTCATATCTGCCCTGACTGCACAATTTCCCAGGGGGAATTAATATACAAAAGTAATGGTGATGCTAAACATCTCACTTAGAGATTTAGGTCTCACCCAGAATGTTTTGGACTAAAAGCCGACATTTTTAGGTTAGTACAGTAAGGTCTCCTTTAGGGGTCAAAGAAAGCCTGATATAGCCATGCCAAGAGTGGTTCTCTATTTTAATTTTCTGATGAGCACCCCATCTCTTAGCCTGCGAATACAGCCGTTTCTCGTATCTCCTTGCCGCCAGGAACGTTTCACCAGGAGGAACGTCTGCAACAGAAATTCCATACTGATGACATATGATGACATATGATGACATATGATGAAATGTAAATTTGTTTGAGTTTATGTTGCTCCTGGTCGATTATGGTAAAGTTTTGTGATCTTTTGTGAACGAGCTCCAGCAAAACTCAGATACTTTTTCTAAAGAGGAATATATTCTAGGAAATATATTGACTGTTTTTGTAGTAGATTCATCACGTTTACATTTGACCTATGAGGCCTTTTGTCTACTGTCTGTCATTCATAAACAACAGGTAAAACAATATAACTACTTCATCGACCAATCAGAGCTCCCGACCAGATTCCTGACAGATTTTACATCATCAGTATGGAATTTCTGTCGCTCAGTCGCAGACGTTCCTCCTGGTGAATTGTTAGCAGCGAGGAGCAAAGAGAAACGGCTGTATTCACAGGCTACCCTCCCAAGCAAGCACTATAAATGCTATGAATTGCCTGAGAGGGTGAGGGACTCATGAGATCATGGGATGTGCAACAAGCAGACCCCTCACCTAAGTAAAAAGACTTCCTAGAATGGTGATATTTATTTCTTAGATTTGAGGAAATGGAATCCACTACAGCCTTTGGTATCTGGCAGTTCACCTGTAAGTTTTTCTTAGGCTTTTTTCTGCAGAATAGCACCATATCCAGTGTGACTGGACGGCCGTAACTGTAAACTTTGGGGCACAATGTCAGTCATTAAACTAACTACAGAGGCTCTTCCTTCTTTCTTCACAAAAAAAGTGGTGTGGTAAGTAAGAGAAAAAGCATGTTTCTTCTCTTATCTCAGATGTAAACTAAAAGGGTTCTTCACCCCTTTGCTGCTCAAGAAGGTAAAAGCCCATTTGAGGGGGGGGGGGCTTATTTGATAGGGAGGGCTTATTTAATTTAAAAGGGACGATGATATCAGTTCTCTTTAAAGAACTAGAACACAAAGTGGAGAAGCTCAAGAACAAGAAAGCTGGAGGTCATGCAGCTGAGTAGCCTGCAAGCAAGCTCTCCGTCACGCTCTGGCGACAGGGTGGGAAAGTGAAGAAGAGCTTGCAACAATGTCTCTGGAATTTGAATATCCCCATCAAAAAAGCCGATGTGAAATGCTGATTGGCAGAGATGACATTAGTAATGACGCCATTACCCTTGGCTCATGTTTGTTTACATTCGTGCTCATTTCCGCTTTGCGCTGATTGGCGGAAATCTGACAGCTCAGTCAAAGGGGAGCTACAGGGGAATTGGAGGTGGATTTCAAATACCTGAGACATGGTTGTAAGCTTTCCTTCCTTTTCCCACCCCACTGCCAGAGCACCCCATAGAGCTTGCGCGCAGGCTAGCAGCTGAGGATCAAATTGAATCTGAACTTCCAGTTGGTAAATAAACCATCCCAGATCAGTCCACACGAAGTTTTACAGTCACGATTGATTAATACAGTCTCTCATTTATTAGTAAGAGAAGAATAATTAGGGGTGGGGGGCATCTTAATAGAGAAGGAGGGCTTATTAACTTTCTTCCCCTGAAAAAAGGGGAGGCTATTATAGGAAGGGGGCCTATTTAAGAGGGAGGGGGAGCTTAATAGAGGATTTATGGTAAAATTTCTGGGTGGGTTGATCATTCAAATAGGGCTAGGGGTTCATATATCACTGGATAATTAATGTTATTAATCATATAAGGGTATTGACCGGAAAAGGCTTCAATAACAAACCACAGTGCTTTAGACCATTCCAGTGTTATCACGTAATGCTCCTCCCCACATGGAGGAGCGCTGCGTGACAACACAAAGAGTTTAACAGACTGACTTGTCTGGGACTTGCTAAACTGTTCTTTAAACAAAACAACTGGAAGCAGATCACTGTATTTACCGATTACCACAATAAAAACTTACACAAAACTGCAAACCGCTTTATACGGTCTTTGAAAAACAATATGGCAAAACCCCACCAAAATAAAAATAACGCAAAAGCCCTTAAGCCCAACTCGTCATTCGTATTTTGGCCGGAGACTGAGAGAGAAATTTAAGGGAAGGTCATACGGTCAAAATTGTACCAAAAAACTTAATTTTAGCGCCGGATAAAATACATCAGGAGCCCATATGGTTATGGCTTATGGGCTCCTGAATACATAATTTATAGTATAGAGTGTTTTCACATGACGTGACAGCGGCCATGTTGGTGTCCCAAGCTATTCCTTTGGGAGTTGAATGCTTTTCTTATGCAAACGCTTTCTTTTGTTCCAATAAATTTGCATAGATGCTGGCCACGGGAATGAAAACACCCTATTCTCCCTAGCCTTTCACACTCCACCCCGTATATCCAGTGATCACGGGTTATGTCCGTCACGCAATTATGAAATTTCGTTGAGGACTAATCTTAAAAAACAGGTTTCACAGATAAAAAGGAGACTGTGGATAAATACTGTATTACCGACAATCAACATTTCATTGGTTTAATACCGCCTGGCGACTACAACTTTTAAAGACCGCCTAAATCTTACTCACCGATTATTTTGCCTCCTTTCACAATCACGGCTCCGAAAGGTCCGCCATGTCCATTCGACGGTCCCTCGTCGCTTAGCTCGATCGCTCGGCTCATAAATCGCTCTTTTTCTTCTTCAGTCGGTTTGTACGAAGACATATTACGATCTCAATACTTAAAACCGGCGACAAAGGACGTCGATGGATCCGTCGATGAAGTTGTAACGATGCATGAGTATCTTATTAGAGCTCGTGATTTCGTGTCCAGGCTATTTCTTGTTTCTACTTTTGTCACGCAACCCTTTTCCTTCTTGAGGAGAGAGGGAGCGTTGCGTGACGAGACAAGAATGACTTTTACTTTACTTTTACTTTATTAATCGGCAAAGGCGGTAATCATTGCGCGGATGTAACGGAACTTAAGCAAAGACGTTTTTGAGCGACCCACGTCAACCGGAAGTGAGGCCATTTTCCATTTAACATGCCTAAACGCCGCCAAAATTCTACTGCCAGAAGCTGCCACTGCTAAGTGTCCTTTCTCTTGTAAAGAAAATTTGCCGAAAATTGGGTAACGACCACTTCTCAGCGGTGCAAAAAGCGCAGACTCCTACTCAGTAGCTATTAATGTGTTTTTGGAGTGAGAGAAGATTGGGGGTTAGGTTGAGGCGCGCAGGGTCTCATGGGAAGACCTTCCCAAGAGACCCCGCGCGCCTCAACCTAACCTCCAATCTTCTCTCACCCCAAAAACACATAAATAGCTACTGGGTACGAGTTTGCAAAAAGCCCACTTCCAGTTGACGTTCGTCGCTCAAAAACGTGGACGGACGCAACAACTCCCAACATTGTTGGGCCAACAATGTTAGGAGTTGTTGCGCACGTGTTGGCAGAAGTATACAAACGGAAGCAACTACCCCCAACAATGCTGATCGTACTACCTGAAAATTAACTCAACAAGACATCAACACGACACACAGAGCGGGATTGTAGCCGTAGAAAGCTGTTTCGCCATTTTTGAGGCTCATCAGTGCGGCGTAACAGACGGAGAATCTGTCTGTTACGCCGTACTGATGGGCCACAAGCCCGCCCTGTTTTGGGGTTTTTTCAGTGTCGTGTTGATGTCTTGCAAAGTTAATCAGCTTTGCAGAATTCAATGTGTCTACTTTGTATATTTTTGCTGATCAGGTCAAGCAATTTTTGTTTCCCCTCAGTCCATCTCTACATAAATTTACCCTCGATGACTCGAACCATGTTTTGAGCGCTTATAATGTCGGGAAAGAAACAGTGTACTGGGGTCCGAAACATTGAATTTTGAATTTTTCATTGACGTGTTGTAGGCATATAGTTTACTAGTGGAAGCTTGTGTTGTTTGTCACAAGTCTAAGGTGAAACAGCGTTGCTGGCTATGTTTTGTTACGTTACGTTATTTCCCTTGAACGTTCGAGTTATCGGGAGTAACAATGTTGGGACCTGCAGTGCATCATGGGTAGGATACAACCCATTAGACTTTGGAGACCATGTGTAATGCGTATGCGTGGCGCTAACAATAGGGAGTTTAAGTTACGGAGACTACGGACTACGAACTACGGCTGGACGAGCGTTGTTCTTTGTTCGTAGCACTGGGTTGAGTCGAGCAAATATAGAAGATTGCACCACAGACAGTAGACTACGAGAGAAGAGGCGGAGAAGGAAACAACACGCAAAAATCTTCTTGTTTTTATCACAGTTCACAAAAATGCAAGTCAGTTTTGCATGTTATCTTATCTTTAGAACAATGAACAAATTCTTCCATACTTGAAGGAAGCAATTACGTCGGGTGAAATTGGTAAACAAAGTTTTGGTTACACAGGTTTTATTTTTTCGCCCATGAATACTTATGTCAAATATTAAAGATATAGACAGAAATAGTAATAGCTCATTTATTAGATTTAGAAGATGGACTTCTCCGACTACTGATCTGATGTAGTTTGAAGTACTGAAATGCCGAGTTTCGATTGTCTCGAAGATGTTTGCATCATTTTCATTCAGCAAATGGCGCGATAAAAAAACTCGCATAAATAAAGGTTACACAAGTACAAAGACTCACTAATCAGTTCGAACAAACATTGAAACTTTTCAAGGGCGAAGAGAAAGTAAATTACCTACATGATTTTTCTTCTCCTAGGCCGTCAATCTGAATTCTGCGTATAAACAGCAAAGCTTATAAAATGTAGTCACAACAGTGGATTAAAAGCGTAAATCTGAGCAGAAATTAGACACAACTCGCTTCCCTCTCACTTAAAGCAGGTGAATTGAAAACTTTTTTACGAAAAGACGAGATTCTTGAATTACCGAGACGGCAAAATACGAGCAAAATGTTCTCCGTAGTCCCGACTATGTGAAACAGCTCAACAACTCACCGTAGCCGCAGGACTACGCGAGAAAAATGAACAGTCACGTGGTTTTGATCATGAGCAGTCGCATATTTATCCGTAGCCGTAGTCCGTAGTCGCCGAATCTTAAACTCCCTAATGTGGCCCAGACGTGGTGGTGAATCTCTTATGGGGGAGGAACTTGTTAAGGGTCCGCAGTAATTGGCTCCACGGGCTGTTGATCATGAGGTGTCCCTGCCAAGAATTGACGAATCTAGGTAAATATTGGAGTTAGTTTCACTTATCCGCAAATCACACACTTTATTAACAATTAACGTTTACATGAAGTCCATTTCCGCCAGCAAATGGCAGGTGCTAGTCACGTGGGCGGAGATACAAGGGTACAGCAGTCAGTGATAAACTACAAATAAAAAATATATATAAAAATAAGTAAATAAGGCGTAAATAAATAACATTTACAAAATCAACCACTTGTAACAGTTACTGGTAAACATAACTTGCGAAACTAAGTTAAGCTATTTATACTGTATAAATTAAACTGTATAGTTCGCTATTTTTTAAAGCAGAATGGGCGCTTCATCATAATCATCTTCGGCCTAATAATGAAAGTAACATGTCATTGATATGTTTTTTGAAAGCTCTCTTTGGAAGTTGACGGAGTTCATCGTAAATGGAGTTCCAAAGCTTCGTTCCGAACCTAGCAAAAGAAACTTGGTTTTGTTTCAGTCTCGATGTGGGTTAATGTAAAAATTACCAGAGGAAGAGAACCTTTATGAAAAGATTACTAATGTTAGTGGGAAAAGTTAAACATGAGACGTCGAACATTATTGAGGAAACTGTTTCAACGTATAACATATTTAAAGGGGGGATTTTTGAGGAGGTAAATAAAGGCACCACATGCGCTCTGGATTCAGAAAAATACATCAACCGAAGGACACGTTTTTGCAGCTCGAGGGTATTTTGTAGATGGGATTTAACAGCTTCACCCCAAGCAGCCAAACCATAGGACAGCTAGGGTAGTATCAAAGACAGAAAGAGCGATAAATACTTAATAGAGTAGTAAAGGGGACGAGGTGCCTAAGAGGGACAATAACTTCCATAATTCTAATTAGTTTTAGTGCTACATCTGATTACAAGTGACTGTCCAGTAAGACACCTAGATATTTTACATGATCCTTAGTAAGAAAGTGATAACTATTATCAAACATTTGAATAATGACCGAAGGTCCATCTTACCTTGGTAAGGACGAAAGATAACAAAGTTGGACTTTTCAGCGATTAATGTTAGCTTATTTGCATTGAGCCAATCCGAGACTTTCACCAGTCTGCTGTTGACTGTTTCTTCAAGAGATTTTAAATTTTTGTCGCCATACAACAAATCTGTGTCATCCGCAAAACGATAAAACGAAACTTTCGCTGAAGAGTTGTGAAAATCATTTATTTAATGTAGATTAGGAATAACAAAGGACCAAAACCAGAGCCTTGTGGATCACCACATGAGATCTTACAAAAGGTGGATTAATTAGAATCTATTTCAGTTACTTTTTAACGGCCAAGAAGGTACGAAGAAAACCAGTCCTTAATGGTGCCCCTGATGCCATAACGGTTGATTTTTTTTTTAATAAGAATGAATGATTGACAGTATCAAAGGCCTTTTTTAAATCCAAAGAGATCCCACAAGTAAATAATTTTAGGTCCGTATTGTTCTGTATGATATTAACAATGTCAATAGCAGCGTGTTGGGTAGTATGCTTTTCACGGAAGCCATACTGTGATTTATTAATTATAAATAGGATATCGTTTTTGTCAAGAAAGGTTCTGACCCGTTGGTACATCAATTTTTCAAATATCCTATTAAAAATAAAAAATAATGAAATAGGCCGAAAATTTCCGGGTTCAGTTTCATCGCAAATGATTCAGTCTAGCACAATGTTTTAAGGAAGTTTTTCATCCCCCTGCGAAGCTCACGCATGCGCCAACAATAGATCAGAGGGTTTAGACAAGAGTTAAAATAAACTATTACAGCTGATAATCTTAAAGCTAACCCGATTTGGATGGGGTTCCGGGGTACGAAGTGTCTGAACACTCTTATAAAAATATAGGGAACGTAACAGATAAGAAATGAAATGAATATGAAAAGCATGCTGATAACTGATTTTCTATAGTTTTTCATGTTCAAATTTCCCTTTCCGGGTTGAGCAAGAACTTGCGCTTGTTTGTGGATTTGTAACTGATGTCGACGTGCAATACGGTAGATCACAAAGTATGCTACTGAGTTAACAACCAGGCAGGAAGTGAATATAACGATGTTAAGATCACGATGTAGACGTCTTGAAAATAGGAGGGTTGAACCATAACCAATGCTTGCAATCCAAATGAGAATCAACACAATACAAGCCCGTTTTATAGTTAGGACAGCATTGTACTTAAGATGGAATGTCAGAGCCATGAGTTTATCCACGCTCACTGTTGTTAGCGTCAAAGCTGTCGCAGCAACAAAAACCGCTTGCGCAAATATAAACAGGTTCCAATAGTGTGCATTGTACATTGCTGTTTTCAACTGAATAACCAACAAGGCGGTGAACGTCGGCTGGACGAACAACCCGACCCCAAAATCGGACAGTGCAAGCCCAAAAAGAAAAATGTGCGAAGGGGAATGTAGAGAGGCAGTCCGCCAGATGGCTCCCAGAGCAGCAAAGTTTCCCAGGATTGCCGCGAAAGAGGACACGCCATTAACCATGCAAACAGCAATGTAGATTATTTCAAGGTTTCTACTAAGTGATAAGTTCACTTCGTTACTAGATTGGTTTAGGGTATCTGGCTGCATCGTTTCGCAACAGTTCACTTGCTGCATGCTTATTCTTTCCTTCCAGAAGACGGTGGTAATACGTTTTTGTAATATGTGAGGAGTTCACGGCTTTTGATGGGAGCTATCATGATTTTGTCTTAGAAGATAATACAACACCTGGTGACGACTAATAATCTTTATCGTTGGAGAACTTATTTCCTTTATTTTTTGACCAATAGCTGCCTTTTACTTTTGTTTCCATTTCAAAAGTGAGCGTCTGATTACCTTCTGAGCGTCTAGTACTGGATACCGACCACTTATTTGTCTTCGCCATATATTTCTCAGGTGTTTGAATTTTAATTCGAAAAAATTAATTTTACTGTGTACATTTTGGTGCCTCCTTTAAAAGGTACTGCGCTCATGTTGGCTTTTGACCAATAAGGAACGGGTATGTATTCACCTAATTTACGTGTGCTATGAGAAAAACAATCAATTAAGCTAGCAAAGCTAGACAGTATATAATCATCACTTAAAATTTAAAATTAAAATTTTAATTTTTCCTTGAGGTGATGAGACTTTTCATAAGGAGTTACTCAAAGAAAATTCATACTGCAGGTAATCAAAGATCACCATGTCAAGGGGATAGAACAAACACCCATGAATCGAGATTCCCTGCCCTAGGTCGATATAGATACTGCAAGACGAATCAAAAGAGGACAAACGCGATATTTGTGTTCGGGAATTTCTGCACATCCTTGCCCTAACCCTAACCCTAACCCTAACCCTAAACCTCTGCATAGAACGAGTTAAGAGGAGAAACCGCTTTCCCACATAGCCCCCCAGTAATGGTTCTAATCAGTTTACAATATATTGCCAGCCAACGCAAAAAAAACTGGGAAAACGTCCTCGGTGACCTTACATTTTGTTTTAGCTCCCAATTAATTGGCAACTAGGCTGCTCTAGAGACAAAAACGTGAGATTGCAAAGGTCTCTGTTCAATTAATCTGAACTATGATCTCAAAGGCGCGTTAAGATTTGTTACACATCGAACCAGAGTATCTCAGACAAATGCGCCTTCCATCATAAAATATAAACAAAGTCAACAAACAAAAGAAGGCAAGAAGCTTTGTAACTTGCACTAGAGTTTTCCCCTATTCCCTCTCAAAGCGACATGACTTTATCGTTGTGAGCTCAGACTAACAGTCAGAGAATGTGATAACACAGGACTAACCACCAAAAAGAATTCCCTCTGAAATAAGCTTTGTTTCAGATCACGATCATCGTTACACGGAACGATTCGCAAAGACGATTTTTGGCGCAACACAACGTTGCAATATTGGAACAATGTTGCAACCATTCGAAACAATGTCGCAACAATGATGCAACGCTGTTTTGTACTTAAAATCGTCGTTGTGAATCGTCTCTTGCAAAATCACCAACACCAATTGATAGGGTATCTGGCCGCATTGCTTTGCAACAGTTAACTTGCTGCATGCTTATTCTTATGCGCCGTTAACGAGCATACTGCAATGTAGATGAATTCATAGTTTTCATCTAGCTAGCGACAGTTTCATGCACTTCGTTGCTCGATTTGTTTTGGGTATCTGGTCGCATTGTTTCGCTTAAGTTAAATTGCTGCATTCTTATGCTTTTTCGGAAGACGGTGGTCACACGTTTTTGTAATATGTTAGGAGGACAAATCAGCCAGACACTTTTTATAAGACTAAGAGTCACCAGCACTGGTTGTTTAGTCTAATGAAGATGATAGTCACACCTGGTGAAGTTCAATTACCTTTATCGATGGACACAATTTCTTTTATTTGCAGACTACAAGTAGTTGTTTTTAACAGGGAAGTGAGCGTCTTCTTTCCGTCTACCTTACTGCCATTAAACAAACACTTATCCACTCTGAAGCAGAAACACATTTTTGTAATATAATCTTGAGAGGGAATTGGTAAGTAGTTTTTCTGTGCCCAGCAATAATTTTGTCTTGCTATATATTGTTCAAGTGTTTGTATTTCAGTATGAATTGGTTTCTCCCTTCTACCAAGTAGAGCACGAATGTTGCCCCTTTGACCAATAACGAAAGAGTTTTTATTCACCTTGCTCATGTGGTGTGAGAAAATCAATAAATTAAACAGCAAAAACAGAAGATCGCCTTTATTACATTTCTCTTTATTTTGATGATCTATGATGAGGCTTTTCTCAGGGGGTGACTAAGTCGACAATTAAAAAATATCGCAAAAGAGGTAATAAAAATATATACAAATTGACGGATTGAAAATCCCGGTATAGAAAAGAGACCTGATCTGAGATCGACAGAGAATTGAGGGCCCTGGCGCTTGGTCAAAAACCACAATACAAACGCGATCACTGTGTTCTAGGATTTCTGCAAGCTTTTTTTTTGGCAGAAGGTTGAATGTAATTTTTCCTCTTTCCCGTCATTGCTTTATTTTTTGACAGCCTTTTGATGGGTTGCAAAGTTAAGTTTCATTGTGTTACCTTTATGTATAGTACAGCTTAAAAAGAGCAAATGCTTTTCTATTCCCACCAGCGGAGCCTCTCAGTAGTCCGACTCCATATTTTTATTTATTTATTTTTTTTTTTTGGCCGACCCACACAAAAAAGGGGTGACTTTGTTGTTTCAGCTGTTAATTGAATGGCATTCAGATTACTTTTCGCAGGGACAAAAATTTGCATGAGGAGTGATTGCGAAAGGTCTGCTCAAAATGCCACTGGTCGATCAGACGATCAGTGATGCTAAACATCTTAAAACAGGCTCGCTGTGACTGTAGCCTGGTTTTCAAACTATACATTAGCCGATGCCTGGCCTGGTAGTTTTAATTTTTAACTTCTATTTATCGAATCTCAGGATGGATTTACACTGTCGCGAGATTTTGAGGTAAGTACGCGCGTATATAAAATAGAGGCAACGTACGAAGCGTCTCGCGTAAACGCAAAAGTCGAGCGAGTTTCAATTTTAACGTATACCCGGGACATTTCATACAGTGCTTCTAACTATCTGATGCACGTAATTACACACGCGTAGCGCACGTAAAAATTACGCGATAATGGAAATCCACCCTTACTGACAAAATTATCAGTGTTTCGCAGCCTTATACTACTACAGGACAAATTTCTGCAATTTGATTGGCTTAGAGCCGTGGTATTTCAGCTTAATTTGAAATACCTACGTGTGAAAATTACAAACCGTTTGCGGGTAGTAGTATAAACAAATAATTGCATGATTTTTACGTGATATTTGGCATAAATTCCACTCGTGATATTTCAAAATTGTCTCAAATTTCACTCGCCTAACGCCCCTGAAATTACGTATAACCATTTCGAAATATCACTAGCGGTTTTTATGCCAAATATCACTGCAAATCATGTTATTACCTATACAAATACGTTCCGTCATAAAAATTAACAGGAAAAAAATAATCTCAAAATGCAAGAAGCTTTGTAACGTCAAGAGGAGTTTTCAGCTGTTCTATCTCGTGATTTTATCCTTTGAACTCAGCAGCAATGCATGAGAGTCAAAGTAAATTTAATTCCACATTGTTCCGTCAAACAAATGTTCACGTTTTTTCAAACGAATTCGTCGAAGACTTGACCGAAACCGGAAACCGCGCATGAAAAGTCTATGGCACCCAGGGTAATAATCACGATAAATCAGCACAGGATTTCATTGGTCACAAATCTGGAAACTCCTCCTTGAACCGCGACTTAGAGTGCGTTCGATTGATTGTACTCCGGAATAAGAATGCGAAAAAGTCTTGTTACGCCATGAATCTCTTGTACCGTGATTTCTGGAATACTTTAGGTTTCATTCTCTCTATTCTTATTCCAGAATACAGTCAATCGAAAACGCCATTAGTGTGCGCGCGCGAGCAGGCGAGTGCCTTATTTCACGAGTGCTTCTATGCAGGCCAGTGCTTAGGAAAGTAAAATAACTTTGGATCCACAACACGATCATGTTAAAGGTAGACTTACATGGGGCTTCAAAAACACCAAAAGCATCCTCTAGATTTAAGTGGACTGCAAATTTTTGTTCTCAAAATTTTACAAACTGTTTTGTGATCTAAGATTTATGAAAATGACTACGCAGTTGACTACAGAACTTTATAACTGACGACAGCACTGAGTCAGTTGTACAGAGGCAGCGATGCATCGAGCATAGCATCATAGTAAATATAAGCTGTCGGTGGAACTTGTAAACTTCATATCGACACATACTTAAACTATACTCGCATCATCTGAGCCCGGCGCACTCGACATACCGGGCCGTTAAAAACAGAACACGCAGGCTAGTCATAAAAACTAGATAATGTTATCTGAACTTCCGCGAAAGGACTCGTCCGATTCATCTCCCAAGTATCTGGCTTGCAACGTGCTTCTAGCCCCTTCTCTAGAGCAGGAGCGGTTAGTGTTTTCTTGTAATGGTCTTCGTTCGGGAGGTATCTCTGCAGAATTGGATGGTGATTCTGGTGAAAAAGGACGGCGTGAAACCAGCGCAAGACAATACCTAAAGCTACATGTGGGTCCGATGATGCGTTTGCCTACCTTACAGGCCACAAAAGAAGCAGCTGCAAATAATATCAATGCAAAAAGAACAATAGCGACCGTAGGTGTGGTTGATTTTGATGATGCCGTGACTTTCTTCGTGGTTGGTATCTTTATTGTGGGTGAATACGTCGAATCCAGGCTCAGTGAAAGCCCGTTCGGATCAGAGCTGTCCACTCTGTTCCACGCCACTGGTGCACAGGACACATGCCCGCAGGATGCTTCGTCGCTCGAGTCTGTGCAATCAGAAATACAATCACATCGTTTACAACCATCTATTTTGGTGTTCACAGTCTTGCACGAGAACTTCTCCACATTGCAACGTTTTACAACACAGAAACCTGCCAAGCAATGAAAATGTTACGTGATCATCAGGAGCACAGTTTTCAGTTATACTGGCAAATTCTTCAAAACGATGCAAGTCCAGTATTGTATTATGTAATTATTATGTTTTTGTGTAGACCTGAACTCGTCTGAATATGAGCACTATTTCTTATTTGTTCAAGAATAGATAAGATGAACAAAAAAGTGAAGGAGACTGAAAAAATCATTCGGTTTAGTGGTGAATGTAATGAAAATGGAAAACCTCACTCTCGCATCCCAATAATCAGCCGCTCATAAGTGCCCCACCCCCCTCCTCAGTAGCTTTTCTTGAAACAAATTATATTAATATTACGACCTTTTGAAGCTGAATTAAAAGCAGTAAATGAAAAACGTATTTTGATCAGCGCTGCTTTAGTTTGTTTCGACAGGAGCTTCCTGGTTTCGAGGCGCTTTTCTATTCTGGTTATAAAACCCCACGGGTATAAGCCCGTTCGTTAATAAGCCCATCTAAAACCCCTTACGAAGAAGTATTAGCCCTGGGCTAACCTGATATCAAGCCCAATTTTAGCAGCTTCCTTAATTTACGAAGGGAAACGAAAATAGAACCTGATCTCGGGTTGGCTCAGGGCTTATAAACGGCAGTTTACTAGCCTGTTCCAGGCCTTCGCTGTTTTCCCTGCTCATATCTCTTCGCGAGTATACCACCACGATCTGAACGCCTAGAACAGGCCAGCAGTTTCCGGTCGCGTGTACTTTTGATGTTGCTTATTTGAAGGAGTGTACAATATCAACTTTTATGCATGTCACGCAACCTTCGTTTTCTTTGAGTATAAATGTATGAGAAGTGAGTATTTTGGGTTACTTGAACAAGATAAACCTGTATTTCACACACACCACTTTTTTTAAAGATTAAAGTTTTTAATCGCATTTAATAGGATACCTTACTCTTTTACAAACTTCTTATATCAATTAAAATTAGAAGTTCCCGAGAAGTACAGATAGCTACAGATAATTAATTCTTACCAGTTTGATTTGTAGAATATTCTTTCCACGTGCTGTTCTCTTGGCATATAAAGGAGAGAAGTTGGCCGCTCTTTCGGTAATCATTTTTGCAAACAAACACTGCCTCTTCCCCGACGTTGAAAAAGTTCTTGTTTTTACCTTCTTGAGATTTCAAAATGGCGCCAATGGGAGAATATTGTTGAAGTAATTTCTGCGTTGTACACGTCGAGTTTGCTTTTGCAACTCTCTTTCTTCGTACCAGTGAAATCCCGTCATGACTTAACGAGCTTTGTACATGTACAGCCGCTGCTGATATTGTGAGAACAAATAACGCAGAGAAAACATAAAGAACGTCCATCCTTCACAATCTCAAAAGTAGAAGGGAACTCGATGTTAGAATAATTTGCACGCTTGACATCACAATGGTCAGGTGTCATGACAATGAGCACATTTACACTTAACATAACAAAACAGTTTGGAAAAGTATCAATTTTGCAAAAAGTTTTGAAAAAACAAATTTTCGTCGCATGTAGTCTCCCGACTCCGTAAAATACTAAATATCGTGTCGGAGGGAACGAAGCAAGGCTGATTTTACAGTTGCGAATAAAATTATCGCCAGTATCTCGACTTATTCAATGTCTTACAAAGGGCTAAGTAAACTAGCTAAGAAGTTACAGCTTAAAATGAAGAATAGCGTACACTGTGATGCTATAATAAAACGATGAAATAACAAAGGAAAAAGTGAAAGTTGAAAGTATATGAAAACAAAAACCCTTAAGGCCGTTACAGGAAAAGGATATTTGAAATGTAAAAATAGTATAAGTAAATAAATAAATAAAAACGGAAGGAATATACAGCTATTTCGAGAAAGGTTATCGGATAAAGTGCACGCGACAACCCCGAAAGGTATTGTGGGTGATTTTGAGTTTACTCTTTTTCAAAGAAATTTGAAAGAATGGCAGGAGAGGTCATGGACATATGTCTGCCAGTGCTAACGGAAAGCAGCAAAAATAGGTTCGACTGCAACAGTGTCAAGAACAGTGTATTGAACATATCCCATATAATCTTCGGGATTGTCGCGTGCACATTTTTTCTGACAACCTTTCTCGAAATAGCTGTATGTATTTCATCTTTCCAGAAGCATATGGGGTTATATGCTTCTTATCTTTCTTATTCATACCTTAAGGTTCAAGAGCTTTACTTCTCTCGATGAGGTATGCTTCTCTAGCTTTTCGCACTCTGTCTCTATTAACTTTAACGAGTCCGAGTGGAATAAGGGCCTCGTCATATGATCCCAGTTAACCAGGCTGGCACCCCGGGGGGGTACTCCCATACATTACCTATACGGGTATGTGCCGCCCAACGGGGTCGTGATTTTAAAGCTCCTGGTTTAGAAAGGGGTATCCATTTCAGAGGCGTTTTCTAGAACGGGGTATAATATTTCGAACGCATGAAAGCTCCAGTTTTGTAACCAGCCATTTGAAATTATTCAAGGACAGATTGCTTTTAAAAAGACGGCTCAATGCGTTACTGAAGCAAACTGTTATACTCTTGTTGCACCCTAGAACGGAGTAAAAAAAATTGGCCCATTTCTAGAACGGGGTATCAGTTTTAGGGCGAATTCTAGAACGGGGTATAAAAATTGGCCCATTTCTAGAATGGGGTATCAATTTTAGGGGAATTTTTTTTTAGAACGGGGTGCCAATCTGGAGTCCCGGGCGGCACATACCCACCCAAAAAATACCCAAGTGCCCCCCCGGGATGGCACGCTTTCCGAGATCTCGCCTTACCTGTAAATCCTTTTTCAGGAGTCCAGTCTGTCAGGAGCCTGTAGGCTTCTGCCTTTGTGAAATTTTTGGATGTGTTCATATGAGAGGGCGGGCTGGCTCGGTTCCCGGGATCTTGGTTTTTCCAACCGAAGCTAACCGAGATCTCGGTAACCGGGTAAGCGGGTTGGAAATCTCGCCATATGAACACCTCATACCGGTTATGTTACCTGGATGAATGGCGGGATGAATTCTGGCGGTCCGGATGGCATCGTCTTGCATTGCCTGCTGTATTTTCCACATCATAAGCATCCCATTTAACTGCAGTGATACAGTTTTAAGAGTTAACGAAGCTATGATAGGCCCGAAAGTTAAAATTTTTGTTTCGCCATGTTTGCTTTGTTTCATGAATCTGGCGCCAGATCTCGTCCCCAGGATCTTTGACCTTTTCTTATCTCGGAATCCGGGCTGAAATTTCTCATCTCGGTAAACGAGGCCCTAAGTGTAATATGTCGTTAGGCGGAGTGATTATCAGGCTATCAGGGGTTTATTTAATAAAATTTTTACAAGTGTAGTTTACAAAGTGTAGCCATTGTAACAGTTTTAGACTCTGAAAACAATAGCTACACTTATAAATTAGACTTGTAAAATAGTACCAAAAGCTTTATTAAATTGACCCCAGGGCCCACGGTGCCTTGGCCCCCTCACTTTTTGTGCGAAATAAAAAAATCCTGAAAGTTCTTCAATACGTCACAGTTTTTTGACTACCGTAAATCCCCTATTAAGCCCGGGGAGGGGGGGGCTTATTTATTTCAAACACATTTGAGGGGGGGGGGGGCTTAATAGAGACGGGGGGCTTATTTAATTTAGCAAAGACAATGGTATCACAGTCTCCATAACAAACTAGAACACAAAGTGGAAAAGCTCAAGTACAAGAAGGTTGGAGCTCATACAGCCGAGGACTGAAAAACAATTAAATCCGGATTTCCAGTTGGTAAATAAGCCATCCCATGGATAATAGAAACTCTCTATTATCCATGACCATCCTGGATCAGTACATACGAATTTTTACAGTCTATCATTTACTAGTGAAGAATAATAAGGGGGAGGGGAAGGGGGCTTATTAACTTTCTTGGGGGGCTTAGTAGAGAGAGGGCGCTTATTTGAAAGGAGGGGTTTAATCGAGGATTTACGGCAGAGTAAGGATCTTACGGAAAGTGCGAGCTTGAGCAAGAGAAATCTCTTTGTTCTTTTTTCTTGCATCGACGCACAGTTCTAATCACGTTATCTGTATCATAGAGCCATACTCTCGCGAGTTTTGTGAATAAAAAGGATTTTCATAGTGAGGTAGATTTTCTAATCGGAAGATAAGTCACTGCACATCCCTGCTAAAAACCTAAACAATCCCCCCCACTGCAATACAGTAACCACGTAGGGGTGCTTGAATTGAATCGGCATACTGGAAAGTCAGAGCCTGAAAATACAGACTGGAAAACACACTGCAGTCACTTTTTGGTCATAAAAAAGAGTCTTTTTTTACAAGAAGAAATCTGTTTCGCGTGAACAGAAGTAACTAACAATGCATTTGAAATATACAAAAATGTTAACTATTATTGGGCACGAAAATATGACTAATGAGAGGCTCTCATAAGTAAACACAAAACAAATGTAAAATGTAAAATCGAGAGAGCGGTTTAAAAATTGTTCGCTAATTCGTTAATAAAAGTAGACAGAAATGTTACAAAACCGCTAACAACAGCGCCTCGATACATAGTAATCAAATCCTTCTTTCTAGCAATCGGCTGGAGCTATCTCCATGATCTTTCAAAAACATTGAAACTACTTTGAGGTGAAATTGCATTTCAAAAGCGTTTCGTTTTCTACAGATAACAGCCAAACATAAACATTTTGCTTTTTTTAACTGTAATTCTAACTATAAAAACTTCATCTCAAAATATCTCGATAACGCTCTTAAAGATTCCGCTTACGAACATCGAGGCAGCTATTGGAGGAAAAAGCTCCCCTGAACGATTTTGTAAGAACACTTCCCGGTGCCAAGAAATATTGCTGCAAGTAAAACAGGTAATGGCGTCATTTCGTTGCTATGACAACTCCGACGTCATTGCCACGCTAATCATAACTAAAGTTCATCTTTATCTAATGCAATTGCGGTGGCAATGTTTCCAAGTCTTTGTTTACGGCGACGTCGCTTATGCTCAAACTTGGGAGGTATTGACCCTGAAAAACTGTATCGAACCACCTTAAGCGGGCCCCAAACTAAGTGAAGCGGACGCGGCAGTCACCTTGTATTTCACCTGCGTGACAGGCGTTAGAAGATGAAGGAGAAGAGGAAATTCGGGCGCGCAAGGAGCGAGGAGAAAAGGGAACCCTCCTCGCACGCCCAAATTCCCCCTTCCCGCCTGTAACGCAAGCTACTTTGTCACTTAAGCGGACAAATGATTCGGTTTGTTTTAAACGTTTTTTACCATGTAAAACTTAACGAACCAGTATTCACCCGAAACCTCCTGGACACCTCTACTAAAGGTTTCACCGTACTACTTTTTTTTTACGTAAAAGCAACAATTCAAAAACATGTCTGAAGGGCAAATGGCAGAATCGTGGACTTTTTACGAGTCCCAAATTTTTCTGTAGGAGCGTCGAGACTCGTGTAACAGGTACTCCTGTAAACACAGTCTAGCAAGGAATAATGACTAGAGTTCTTAAGACTCTCGTTTCCACTACGAAGACGAAGTTGGAGTCGGAAACGTAGTAAATGAAGCACTGAAAGTTCTTATTCCGCTTACGACTCCGTCGATTACGATCTAGTGAAACCCAGGTTGGAGGCATCAGTGAATATAGGGGTGGTCCGAAAGATTCGCACGCCCCCTTAATTTTACTGTAATGTTTCTATTAATTGTTAACTAAAGAATTCTCAGTAAAACAAATTAGTATCTATATAATTTTCTGGATCTGCCCGTGAAGAGAGTCGCAAGCAGAAGCGGAAGAACTAAGGCAATCACAGTGTCTGGGAACGAGCATTGTGATTCGTTCTTTTCCTTCCACTCATGTTCTGCTTTCGACCCCGACAACTTTGTTTTCACTGACTAAATCATAAGCAACGGAGGAGTCGGAAGAAAATGGACGCGTTCTGATTCTTCCGACTCCGATTACGTTGGGCTCATGACTTCCCTTGTACCACTACGATAGTTTGATTTCACTTTGTCGTAAGTGCTCCAACTCTGACCCCGTCGACTGGCATGGTGAAAACCAGGTTTGAATCAGTAGCCTGTCTTGTCTACAATGTTCTTGATTATATGTTACGCAGGGCTGTAGGTAGTTCTGGCCTCAACGGCATCATCAATCCTTCGCCGCATGTAAAAAAAATTCGGAAGATCACTTATTGTGCGGGGCTAAATCTAAAGCCCTAAAATGGTTGTGCGTTACTCCAATGAAGGAAAAGATATAACTAAAGTTAACTCCTTCAGGCAATGTCCTCGGTGCTTCCATAGCGGACTCTTGGATTGATGTTTGCCTGAACTGTACCCTGGGACCTTACCCGTGGATGCCCGTTATATGCGTCCGTTCTTATGGGGCTCGTCTCTGGAGAAGTCGCCCGCGAGGCTGACCGCTGACGCCTCTTAACAGAGATCCAGGCACGACAATATCCCAAGCTACAAGTCGGTCCAATAAAACGTTGCCCAACCTTGCACGCAACGATGGACACAACGATAAACGCCAAAATAGATAAAATTACCACAGAAGCTACGTACGTTGAATCACTCGCCTTAGTCTCAATTTTCTTACTTCGTTGCTTCTTAATTTTGATGTAGTGTGAGTAAGAAGGATCGTCTTTGGGTACGACCCCATGAGGAAAAAGACCGTTAACATTGAACCACTGTGATGTAAACTCCGATGAATCAGAATTTGAGCCATCGATAATGGTGATGGTCATAAAGTTCTTGGCTGAATGCGATAAGGGCGGCGCACCAGATTTTGCGCCAAATCCGCAAAGATCCTCATTCTTTTTGCAGCAATCGGGTGATTCAGAGCCACTAAACGTCGCGTTTTCCAAGTAAAGGTAGCTTTCCTCGCAATCGCCACGAAAGGAAAACTTTGTGAAAAGCAGCTTAATGTAAAAGCCAGAATCATCAGTCCATAACGTTTGGCTGCATCGTACAACTCTCTTGTTGTCAGGTGTATTTGTGCTTTCCGGATATTTCACCTCACCCGTAGCTCGTCCCGTGACATTTATAAGAATTGACCCACAATCCGTCTCGTCGCTGCCATCATGGCAATCAGCAACACAGTTACACCTTTTGCAGATATCAACAGTCTCGCTGTGTGCGCCGCAGTTAAATACTTCAGAGTCATTACAATGATTTGTTACGCAAAAGCCTGTAAAATAGACGCCATTTGTCAGGGTCAGCCAACGACTTTTTAAGTAAAATAACAATTTGAAGTGAAGGAACACATATTGAAATTTCTTAAGCTAGAGAAAGGCAAAAAGTTTCAGGATAACCGTTGCATTCGTCTATATATATATTAGGATTTTTTTAAACTAACATATGCCTATGATTTTCGGAGCTTCTGTTGTTACACTTCTAATCATTACCAAGATATTACAATTATTGTTCAAAAATGGCTCTTAAAAATTTCGGTGCAAAAATCAAAACGATTACTTGAACCTTCTGAATGAACGAACGAACGAACGAATGAATGAATGACTTTATTTAAACACGGTCAACTCATTAGGACTTAAAAACACTATTTCTTATACAAATCTAAAAGTACTATAATACATGCATTAACATTATCTCAAAAGTAGGTTGAGGTTGATCGTCCGGGTGAACGTAGTCCTGAACAGGACTATTGTTTACAGTGACTGACGTTTCGACAACCTGTGCGGTAGTCGGTAGTTGTTGAAACGTCAGTCACTGTCAGCAACAGTCCTATTCAGGACTGCGTTCACCCGGACGATCAAACTCAACCTACTTTTGAAATGACTCCTGGGTTCAAACCTTTCACAGATCAACATTATTATCCAAAAAAAAGACCTGCTTAGACTAGAACCTGCTTTACATAGATGAAAGTACGGCTACTTCATGTCCTCAAACGTTCGACCGGACCAATCAGAGTACGTAGCTAATATAACTGTTTTGGATGAGACAAAGAAGCTACCTTTAACTTTCAAGACGACCAAAGTTCCTTAAGACATCCGAACAGATATTCTAAACTGTTTTTTAGGGCCGTTCCTAAATGATCAAACCATCTGAGACACTTCTGACACATTTCAAAACACTTGGTAATTAAGAGCCCCTGATTTGTCAGCGTTATTAAACATAAAAAGAATGTCTATGTGGACATAGTAGGGACCTTAAGCATCGACGACGAAATGGGACGACGACGCCGACCGGAAGTGAAATTTTCCCGCGCGAACCTTCTAGGCATGCGTAAGGTTGTCAAAACGTCGTCCAGCCTTCGTCGACGACGTAATTCAGGGAGGTTTGCCGTCGTCGCTAAAACGTAAGTATAAAACTATACTTTTTGCGTGTAAATCACTCTTTCCCCCTCTTGTCATTCAGTACAAGTAGAAATATATTCTTTGTGGATTAGCAGAATCCAAATGTTAAACACTTTGTCGGTTTCTTCGCCTGCTAACTTGAATTTATTTTGCAGGTTCGGTTTGTTTAAAAACCTGAGTGATGGCGGAACACCAAGTCGGACAGACAAGTAAGCTTTCCTCTGCTATCTTCCGAACCTTTTAGATTAGCTGCTGTTCGTTCCCTTACGGTCCTATGTTTACTCATGCATTCTAGGTTGTGCTATAGGATAAATGTTCATTTTTTCGTACTAAGATTTAATAATTTCCCATGTTGTTTTTAGCCGCTATTAAAGGCAACTATTTTCCAGTGGACTCAGCTGGAACATGATGTGGTTATTAGGAGCCCTGAGAGAGGACAAATATGGGAGAACATTGTAGCAACACTGAATTCTCTTCAGCAGCCGAAATTTAGCTTAACTGCAAGTCAAGAGCTGTTCGAGATCGGTATACAGGTTTAACTTCATTTCAAAACAAAAACAAAAGCTGCGCGACGAAGAGAAAGCCTCCACAATAAAATAATCCAGGTCCTAAAGAACAATGAATTCGCCATCGTCGATTAAACCATCTTCATACCTTATAAAATGCAAATTACGGAGGTCTTTGAATGCCCTAATAAGACTGTAACAAGACAAAGTTCTTCGCAAAGGAAAAGTCGTCGTCCGTCTGGGAAGCTGCACTGCTTAAACTTCCTTTTTTCCCGCCGAAAACGAAACCCTTGGCCCAGTCTGCCTCGGTTGGGAAGCGTCGTCGTCGTCCGTTTAGATGTCGATGCTTAAGGTCCCTAGTTCTGAATCAGGAACTGTTGTTAACACGTCAGTTGATGGTATATCTTATATATTACAATTATATTGATATTTTTTAAGTGGAACCCCGGTATTTAAACAAATCCTCGGCATTACGAAAGCGAATGAACGCTTTTAGCCCCAGTTATAGCAAGGCTACGAAAAGCTTCCGGTATATCACGAGGAATAGTATGAACAGCAACAGTACCGCGCGGCACCACACATCGTGACGGAGCGGCTGCCTAGAGGATTTGGTGAACTAAATCCCATTCACTGTTCTTATGTGTCAACTACCTATAGTGTGAACAGTGCCGGCCCATGCCTCTCTCCGCCGCAGAGAAAACTTATTTTCTTCATTAGCATATTAATATAGTGTACATTTTCTGATACAATTTTTATCCAATTTCAATTTATTTTTGTCTTGCCGGATTAAATACAATTCGAATCATTCGGGCGAGACAAAAAAAAAAAGACGGTGGATCACACACTCTCCAAGATTAAAAGACCTCGTACTTTCGTATTTTAAGCTAAAATCAGAATCATGCTGAAAGCATCGCTTTCTAGCAATCAAAACGGAAATGAAAAGATTACCAAAAACTTTATTCATTGATTCATTTTTCTAAACATCTGGAATGCCGAACTGATTACGAAACGATTTCAATTTTCTTCATAGTAACGAACAACAACGAACGAAGGCCTAAATATTCTCGGCAGGTACACAAACTTTGCCATTTGTTAAGTAAAATATGGAAATGAAACAACGATTTCCCACAATGAACGAGGAACGTCATTCCTATCGGCTTACCTGACAGATCTGATCTTCCGTTACTTGATTTGAACTCTTCAACAGATGATTTCGAACTCCAAGTTCCATTTCTTTCACACCTTAATGTATCAAGCCAGCCGATTTGTCGAAACCCTTCCTTGCAAACAAATTCAGCATTTTCTCCTGGTACAAAAATGTTGTTATTACAACCGGGTCGCCACTTCAACACGGCATTTGCCACGGGTGGCTTTGGCGCTGAACAATTTTTTTCCTGCAACGAATCAACACTTGGCGATGAAAATTCCGTATTGGGCTGAAGGCATCCTATTATATCGACTGCTACACATATGATAAGTAGAGAAGTAGTCCATATAAAGGATTTCATTCTCCCTAGTGAAATCCACACCATGATCATCGATGCCTGTCTGGCTAAATACATGTACACGGCTGACTCTCACCTGCTTTTGAATTGCGTGACAGACAGCTAAACAAGGGGTGACAATTTTCCACGGGCGTAGAGGGAGGGTGAGTTTTTGTTACTCAATTAATTAGTCAGCGGTAGTTTGGCAAAATGAAGAGGGACTTCCGGTTAAATGATCGAGCTTCCTCTCGGGACGCTTCCGGTCGACTTTTTGACCTTATTTAAAAACTAACAACATTTCGACATCAGCCAAGACTAAAACACTGATATGATTTCTTATTGCAAGCACTCTCTAGCAGAAGCAAGCCCTTCCAAGAACTAAAACATTGAAAAGTGCTCCTAATTTCGAATTACCCCGCCTCCCTTCCCCCTGATTCCACAATGTTGAAACTAAAGCGCCGATTGGTTGACCTGGTTTGTACTATGCTTCAATTGCAGGACTCGAGGGGTGGGTCTAAAAAAATGATGCTCTATCGTATCGGATATCTTTGATTACAAGAGAATGCGTGACAAATACAATGATCCTAATATTAAACTTCAGTATCAAAATAGAATCTACAAACCACTGTTATTACTGTTATTTCTTTCCGGCAAATACCGGGTTATAGCATAGAAAATTCTCGGTTGCGTTAAAATAGAACAAAGAAAAATGCTTTTTAGTTTTTACAGACATCGTGATTGCGGTGAAACTAAGTGAGAGTGAATCGTGAATAAAATTAGTTACATCCACCTACTGTACTTGTGGCTTGTGGACAACACTGTTATTGGGAGGCAAAACATTCCCCATAATAGAAGCATTTTTTTTTTGGTTTTGAATTCCGGCCCCATTCAATCATCCCCGTCGCTTAGAATCAATACAACATATATTACCATACATCAAGTACCTACCACAGCGTTGAAGGACACCGCTGACTAGTTAATTGAGTAACGAAAACTCACCCTCCCTCTACGCCCGTGGAAAATTGTCACCCCTAAACAAGGGTCAGTGGAAGTATGCCAGACGACCCTTGTTTTCTTTTCTAAAAAAGTCAGCGGAAGCAGGAGGAGGGATCAAGAGGTTGTACTACGAAAAACCAAATAAATAATTCGTCAGCATTAAAGCGAATCTAGACTGAAGTTCGCAAACGGTGTTTGATTTTGGCAAAGACATGACAGTGTATTAAACGAAGATCTTTCTGCGCCGACACGTGTGATCTTCGTGCGTTAAAATTCTTTATTACAATGCAGTGGCGGACAACTTACAATTTCTATGCATGTATTCCTGTATTGTATTATGTTTTGCCTCAGGGTTTTGGCTAAATAAAAATGAACTGAACTTACTCGAACCCCCGGGGCGGGGAATGCCATATATGGGCCGTATAGGTATGTGCCGCTGTGAAGGGTATGATTTTCAAGCAGTTCTCTAGGATAGGGTATATAAATCAGAGCGTTTGGGTCTAGAGTAGCGTATCATTTTTCAAGAAACTGATCAGTTGGCTGAAGATTTTATCTAGATTAGGGGCTGTGGTATAAGGTTTTGTTTTAACTAGACTGGGCAAGTGACCTCAGTAGTTTCTGGAAAACAGCTACTCTAGGATAGGGGAGATTTGGGGAGTTTACTCTAGTACAGGGTAGCAAAATTCAGCTGAACTAGCTCTGGTATAGGTCAAGGGTTCCAGGGTGCCAGCGACACATCCCCACCCAGAAATTCCTAAAGTACCTCCCCACCCCCCGGGCTCGAGCCACATGGCTCGAAACGCGTAGGCCGCGGAATAATGAGGCTTGGGAACTAGATTGTTTTCTTTGCGCGCAGATTGAATGTTATTACCGGATCAAATCTTCGCCGCGCCTCTCAGCGTTTCTTAGACTGTAAAACAGTCCGTATTTTTGCGTATTCAAGCACGCGCGAGCAGTCAAACAAAAGGTCTGGAACGAGGCTGAAAACAGAGAGCGAGAATACGGTAGGCATCACGAACAGACTTTTTGGTTATTTTACAGCTAACGATATGCGATTAACCACACTGAGACCGGTACCCTATGCACAGTCTGGACTTCGCGGAGTAGCCTGCATAGCAAGCGTTTCGCGCGAGTTCGTCGAGAACGTCGGGACGAGAGCAAAAGAAGAGGAACCCTTGCACCTTTTGTTCCCGCTCTAACTTTCGCGCAATGACTCGATTGGAAACGCTTGCTACGCAGGCTATTCGCGGAGGGAAAAAACCGAACAGCTTGCAAACTGTTCTCAAGACTATTTGCTGCATTTTCATGTGTTTTATCTAGCCGGATTTTTGAAAATGTTACCGCCAAATGGACATTTTGTGTGTAGCAGTAACCATTATAAAGCTAAGAGTGTAACCATTGCTTTTTTCTCTTCTCCTCCTTTCTTCTTCCCCGCACTTTCTCTTCTCCTTTCCTTTTCCTTCGTTGGTGTGATTTTGGAGCCAATCGGGCCCAAGAAACCTGCCTTATGACGCATTTTACTCAAATGACGGTAAATTTCGTTAGGTTGGTCGTCAAAACATCGCCGGCTAGATATACACATAGGCGTACGGGCCGGGGGGGCGAGGGGGGCTGCAGCCCCCCCAAACTTTGGGCAACTCAGATTTTTTGGGCAGCAAGAGAAAACTTGGGCAAAGCCAGTTTTTAAAGACGTTTCCGTGTTTTTTATTATTATTATATTTTGAAGAGATAAATATTTTCTATTTTAACCAGAAGTCGGCGTAATAATTCAGTTACGTTCACACGAGACAGTGGTTGCCTAGCACCTGATGAGTTTCTGGTTATAAGGGAAGGGTATCATATGCTGATTTTTTGTTGTTGTTGTTGTTGGGCATTGTACTTCACTGTACTAGCTGGAGTGGGCTATTTCCAGTCATGAATTGACTGGAATAAACTTCCGCATAACTTTCTAGAATCACCTCCGCTCCTAGAACAGTGTGTGGCAGAGCACGCATCAGCAATGGGTCTGAAAGTGAAGTGGCTGACTAATTCTCAGTTTGAATTACGAGAAGAATCATAATTTTCTTAAAAAAATCTATCGAGGGTTTAAAAATTATTCACTAATTTGTTTAAGTAGACCGAAATGTTTACGAAACCCCTAACAAGATAGAGCGCTAATCAAATCCTTCCTTATAGCAATTGGCAGGAGCTATCTCCATGATCTTTCATACACGTTTTTAATAAGATTGAAACTCCGTTTTCTAAACATCAAGATTTTCCTTTTTTACCTTATTTCTAACAATAAAAACTTCATCCCAAAATATCTCGATAACGCTCTTACAGTTCCGTTTTAACTTCACGAACATGGAGGCGACTATTGGAGGAAAGAGCAACGATTTTGTGAGAACAGTTCCCATGAGAATATTGCTGCAAGTATAATAGGTAATGGCGTCATTTCGTTGCTATGACAGCGCCGATTTTGCAATCCTATCATGACAAATTTTCTTTATCTAATACAACTGTGGTGGCAATTTTTTCAAATTCTTGTTTGTGGCGACGTGTTTATGCTCAAACTTGGCGGGTATTTTTGTATCGAGCCGCTTTCATATGCCAGTACGGCCTATTTTGTTGCATGACCTTTTTGGGCAAATGGATTACCGCCCCCCCTGGCAAAAAATTGCCCGTACGCCTATGGATATACATTTGTATATATCATATTTATTAAGTTTTCCTGAGTCGTGCTATACTTGAATGCCGTGGATTTTTTAGACTTGCTACAAGTCGACCTCTTGGCGAGCGGGGCAAGCCTTTTTTTTTGAAAGTCTATGGATTTTTTATTCTTGGTTGTTCGTATAGCTCTTACCGTGCAATGTATTTTCTTATTTAAAGAACATACTGCCCCTTTCCCACGGTTTAGTCATCTTGTGCGGGCCCTTTGTAGCTCTTTGTCGGTCTCAACCAAGTCTCAGATATAAAAGCTCCGCTGCATAAAAATTAATAATTATTGATAATTTGTTATAAAGAAATAATTCACGTTGCGCAAATATCATCAGTCCTGAATGCGGATCCCGTCCATTGCCGCGGCATCGGCGGTAAAGCATACCGTTCTCATGTATACAAAAGTCTAAAACGCCCTTTATTAAGAAAAATGGACTTACCTTTTTTCCACGGTATAACTTGTTTTAAAGACATAATTAACTCAGCGGTAAAAACGCAATAGTCCGAATTAATATAACGTAGAATTAATCATGATTTAGGCGCTGTCGGCACACTATTGCGTTTTCGTTTGAATGACGTATTTAATATGTTTAGGCCTTCCGTCCACACACAGGGCGCTGAGCGCGTTTTCATCGAAAACGCATCTCGATTTTAAAACACTCTTGAAAGTGGATCCTAAAGGAAAACGCATACATATCGTATTGGTGTTGACATACGCAAGGGAGAACGTTTTAGTGTGGAGAGTGGAAAACGTATCAAAACGGTAGTGTGGCATGGACGCGAACCGATCGATGCGTTTTCAGTGTGGATGGAGCCTTAAAAGTTACCGTAAAATCCCGAAAATAAGCCCCGGGGCTTATATTTTTCAAAGGCCCTTTGAGGGCCTTATTTTTGGAGGGGTTATATTCGGAGGGGCTTATCGATTGGGCAAGCCTCAAAGTTGGAAGGAAATTTACCGTTTTTGCTTTGCTTTACTTTGTATTTGAGGGCAATTTCCAAGTACAAGCAACCGGGGGGGCTTATATTTGAAGGGGCAATTTAACGGAGGGTTTTTTGCGTTACCGGTTTGGGGGGCTTATATTTGGAGGGGCTTGTACATGGAGGGGCTTATTTTGGCAATTTTACGGTATGTCATTTCTGGATGGTAACGCTAAAGAAAATTCGGGCTCCTGCTGCTATAATTATTTCTTTCCCTCTTTTTTTGTCACATAGTGGAAAAGGTATCATTTGCTGCAGAACTTTAGTTCCGTTTGCGTTTTAGCTTTACATAAATGGCACTACAAGTCTCTGGGTTCGCACCATGAATCAGGTATTAATCCAAGACAATCTTGGATTCTGATTACGGATTTATTTATTGCTGGCACTTGGATTCCCTTATTCAACAAGGAAAAATTTTCGGGATGGCGGATTCCACTACGTTCAAGCAAACATTTCTTGGATTTCGAATCCCGAATACAGTCGACTCCCGATAGTTCGAACCTTGAAGGGAAACAGAAGAAAGTTCGAGTTATCGAGGGTAAAATTCTGATATAGAAAATGTTCTGAAGGGAAATAAAAATCAGAAAAATTGATTCGAATTAGCGGGAGGTTCGAGTGGCGGGAGTCGACTGTACCTTAAATGGGGCGAACAAGTGGATGGAGTCCTGGGTGGGCTGGGCAGGTGTGTTTCACACTCCATATCCGCTCGTAATCGCAAATCAGGCACCAGGCCATGTGTAAAGAGCACGCATTTCTACGAACACTCTAATCTGACCAGTCCCTCCCTTTTCCGTCATACTCAACGAGATGCTAAGTCGCCACGAAAGAATAAGCGAAACCGCACCCCTCTGCGAGTTCTCCGCTACTCGACGCACTAGTGCTTTTTCTTCCCTGTCTTTCTTTCAGCATAACGCGATCATTTTGACAAAGGATTATTCGCTGTCAGTTAGCGTAAAGAAGGGAAGTCGTGGGAGAAAATGCTACAAATTTTGCAGACGTTTGCGTTCTTGGCATTAGATTCTCTCTCAGAACCGGCAATAGCCTGCGCGTGTGGCAGGCGTTTAGAGGAACGACTGCAATTCCTGGCTGGAATGCGCGCGCGTATATCGCGAACGTAAAGGTGCAAACACTCACACCAAGAGCCATACACCTTTTTCAGTAACCACTAACATATTTCTCACGCCATTTACCATCTTACAGCAAAAGGTTATCGAAAGGTAAATCCTTATCTTTAACGCGACTTAAATCCTTCCAAAAATGACAATCACTAACTTGTAGATTCTGGGACAAAAAAGTAAAATGCAACGCGTGGGACAAGGGAACATCAACATGTCGAACTTTAAAGGCCGATCTGGTTTTCGTCAATTTTACCAGATTATCTACCGAAAATGAGATTAGATCGGCGCAAGAACTGTAAATGAACAGAGGTGTTTCGGCGTTTCGCATGCAAAAGCCGCCACACTTTCGATTTCCTGTCGACTTTGAGAAAAAACAATAATTCTGCTAGAAACCCAGGGAAAATAAATTTTCTACGGTCCATCTTCCGGGATCCATGCTTCGACAGCGGGTAATAATCTAGCGGCACATAACAACAATATTAAACATTTCACTGTTATGGATAGTTTTTTTGTGAAATATTCGACACAACGTACTTGTATATGATAAAAACTCTGAAGTCAGCGAAAGAACAGAAAAATTTCGCGCCTTTTGAACGCACGGGAAATCTAATACCGGTATGCCTTTAATTAAAGCAATTGTCCGTGGCATTTGGAGCGTGCACCGCGTGCAAATGCGAAAAAGCCAAGTCGAATTTCGTAAAATTTCTTTTTTCACTCCATTTGTGTCCTTTCAGTCTGAAAATTTAACAATATCTCGTTGCCTTTGCAATAAGGGCTTGTTAGGGATGACAGCGATCGTTCGCCAGTTATGTAATTGTTGTTTTAAGTTTGAATGCTAACTTGTTAATGAAAGGTCTCCACCTCTAAAAAAGATAATGCATTATCGCACCTTAAGCGTGGGAAAAAAGATGTATCATCAAGCTCAGAAAAGTTTTGACTTTGACAGATGGGATATAAATAAAAGCCTCACTTCATGTTCTTTCTTAACCGAACTGATTGCTTTTTAAAAGTGATTATGTTACCAATTTTATGAGGGATAATTACGGATTATAGTAAACCGATTGTGTAAAGCTATAATTATAATACTTGAGAGTTGGAAAACAACTTTTCCTAATTTTTGTTTTCTTCAAAAAATTATTTCTCTTAGAGTAAAAGAAGTGAAAGTTTTAAATTTCAGAGGAAAAATGTAGTTTTTTTTTTTTTTTTAAGCCAGGATGCCTTGAGTGTACTCGAAAATTTTGCCTTCCGCGCCCCGGGCAGCCGTCCTTTTTCCTTGCCTGTCAAGCGGTACTTTTTATCTATCGAAGCTGAGATCAAGCGATAATCTACTAGTTTGAAAGCAGGTTGGGTAAGCTATCAACAAAAGATAAATCAAACCAGCACTCTATGCAGGCCACCCAACCCGACAAAAACGAAGTCGTTTATAATAATTACATAGAGATCTCAATCGAATTACTCGCAAACCTAAGCTTTAACTCTACAAAATTTGACTGTATTGCACCTTTAATTGTCGGATTAAAAAAGTTTTGTTTTCCTCAAAGCAAACTTGTTTGTGTTCCTCTGGGAAAACTTGTCATTTGTATTGTTGCAGCTGTTGTTGTGAAATTGACCCTAATTAAAGCATAATTGGTGTGAACCCGGGTATATATTACTCGCAATTTTGTGGTCGAGATCCAGTTCCCACGTGCAAGCCAAGGGTGAGACAGAACGTTCTTGTTTCGAAAATGGTAAGAAAGTTTAAGCAGTCATATTCTTGCATATATCAGTATATCTCGTTTTCGGAAAAGTCTGGCTCTTTAGGGAATGTTTTATTGCACTTGACTGGGTTTCCACTTGGAAATTGTACCGTCGCGAACATCAGCAACATCGAGATCGAACGTGATGTGCTGACTTGGCCACTTGGAAGCCTTTTGTAGTTGGAAAAAATGCTCTGTGATCAGTAACTCATAATTTTTGTAATAGCAAGTTCGTATGACAACTTGGTGGAGAGAATATAACTATTTGTGCTTTTCTCTTTTTAACAGGACAGTCAATCTACGTACCTATTTGGTAAACGATTTAAGAACCGGCTGTTTGTGGGGGGATTACCAGTGGACGTAAGTCAATACTCTGCTTTTTTTAATGGTCGATTTTATATTTTAACGCCTAAAAAGGTGGATTTGGCGTGTCTGAGATGTGAGAGTCTCGAAGATGCTAGAGTAGTTGCCACTTAAAAACCGCGGGAGGCCAAAATGATGACCAGTGATCGCATTTGCTGAAAGTGGAGAAATCCCCCGCGTTTCGACTGTTATGTCCAAAGTGTTTGCGAGTTTACACAATTGCTATATTTGAAGAAGTATTTCTAAAAATTTTGATTGATTTTCCGTAGTTTTGCTGTCCTTTCGCAAACAAGGCTGCTTGTTTGATTTGGGTCTGTCGCGCGCGCGCGCGCGCTTGCTGGATCTCAAGAAAACGTTAACAGCTTTAAAGATATCGAAAGAAACGAATACCCTTTCAAATCGCTTAAAACCGAAGTTGCTTCTTGTTTAGGTTCGATAGAGGTATCATGAACTGTGAAAATTTTTAAAAATCCCTTTGAATTTGGGGATAACATTTAGCCCGCGTCGATTGCTGTAAAAATATTTAATTTTCAATCCTCTTGCATGAAGTGATTTGCTTCCGGTTGATCGTCTTAATAATTTTTTTGTGGGATTGAGATTGTGATTATCGTTATCGCAACAATTTTTGAATTACCAATGTAAAATAAACCTTGTTGCCGGCGAAATCTTTTGTCGTCTTAGTCTTCGGCGATAAGCCATTATTGTAATTATGCATCAGAAAGCGCGCCAATATTGGCGCGCTCTAATTATTCGCTACATCCGAAAGTGCTCTTGGGAATGTAAAATGGCAGGCGCAAAGAGCGGGCTAAGTTTTGGATGGGAACAAATTGAATTTAAAGGCAGAGACTGTTCATACGACATCATGTCTCACTATGGAGTAGAAAATTATTTTGTTGTTCTTTTTTAGAAGTGAAAGTACTCGTGGCCGCATCCTGATTTACCAAAATGTATTTTTTTTGCAGACAACAGCTCAAGAGCTTGCCGAATATTTTTCCAATTTCAGCGTGGTTATAGAGGCAAAAGTCATCTTTGATGAACATCAAATCCCAAAGGGGTAAGAGAGATCGGTCAGTAAATAATTTGCCTAAAACTCTGACACACATGACTCTAAAGTCCTTAGATAAAGGCCCAAAAAATTGCCACAGAAGCCAGGAGAAGGTAACAAATCTCACCAACGGATCATATAAATTTAAACTTGCGTACTTTAGACAGAAAAAAATTCTCACCAGAAGAACAAAGTAGCACAGAAAAAAGAAATTAAGACGGAATCCACCAGGAAATTCTTCTTCACATTTTTTAAGGTCTAAAGAGGTAATTATTAGTCATCTGCAATACATCAGTCAATTCCAGCTGCGCCCAGTGCTGGGGCTGGGGTTGGCAAATGCCCGGCCCTCGGGCAGTGCAAAATTTGCAAATGCCCCACCCCAGGGGACTGGGTGCGGTTTGAATTGACTGATGCATAATAACACCAAAGAAAATTTCTCTTGGGAGTTCGAGAAAATGAACATCAAATTTCACAAGAATTGTGAAAACACAGGTAAAATTCTAAAAATTTCACGTGTAAGATGTAATTTTGTGAAATTTGAAATAATTTCATTTTCTCAGGCTCCCATAAGAAATTTTCTTTGGTGTTATTACAGATGACTAATAACATCTTTAGCCCTTGAAAAATGTAAAAAAGAGTGCAAAATGCTTTAAATTGTTCTAGTACAAGGTTTTTGTCCACTGAGAATTGAAATTACTCAATTTCCTGGTGGATTCCGTGTTAAACACAAACATAGGAGATAAAGACTAGCACAGGAGAAAGAGCTCGTTTTTCGGCACCAATTATTGCCAACAACCAGCCTTGCCAAGTGTGTTAAAAGGCAATTCGTATGGATTTGTAAGTTATGCGTGAGAAATTGTCTTTCATGCACGAGATCAACTTCTTCCGTTAGGACTCATGGAGTCTGGTGAACAGAGGAAGAGAATAACCTTTTGAAATGTTTATTATTCTACTGTTATTCACCAAATGTCTGTATAGAGTATGTTTAGTTCATAGGAGAAACAGTTAATAGCCAGCTCTGCTATGAATAATAGACCTTTATCTTTATTTTACAGTTATGGGTTTGTGACCTTTTCAAGTGAGGAGGATGTGCGCAATGTCACAGAAATGGTAGGTATTACTTGTGGTCTTTCACTGCAAACATGACACTGTGACCACTGTAACCGGGGCCAGTTTGACAAAGTTGACCAATCCGATTACAGGAGAATAACAATACATTCAAAGAAAATTGGTTGTTGGCAGCTTGTAAAAAAAAACCCAATAATTTACTCGAAACACGAAGTTTAATATTGATAGCAAACATTATTAGGGAAAGCAAAATGTTTAGAAACTCCAGACATTTTTCCAAACTTTGCATACAACACCCAGGAGACATTTCTTTGACACAAGCTGTATTTTTTATTTTGTCATCTACCAGCATTTTCTTTGCTCCTATTTCCTTGCTTTTCAGAAACATGTGACCGCAAGTCAAAATTATAACTATCATTTATGTTTTTCGCCTCCGTCATCCACTCTAATGAACCTCTCAGGAAACACATGCTTTGTTCAGCGGGTTCAAAAGGTCGTGTCTGTAGGTTGCAATTGGTTGATTTCGATCCATGTTGTTTGTTTTGTTTAATGGTAGTTATGATTGACAACTCACTTTCTCGGAATGTATTATTATTTTTTGGTAATCCAGTTGGTTAACTTTATCTAGTTGGCCCCGCTGTAGTAATCCCACTGTAATGCATAGCGTGTGGCACAAAATAATTCATTTTTGCGGAAGTTTATTTTTGGATAAAGGTGATATTTTGTGTTTTGCGGGAAATAATTTTTACAATTATAACAGATTGTTTTTTTTTTGTGGGAATTAATTTTTGCGATTTTCACAAAGTACCCAAAGCCCAGCATTGACAATATTTTTGTTTTTGAGTACATGCAATAGAAATACATATTTCAAACATGGTTGAACCAGTATACTGTATTTCTTTGTAAATCACTTTGTTTTTGAATGAAAGAGACAAGTAATTATTGAACAGATGCGGTTTCTTATAAGTACTGTATTTTTGTGTAGGGGATTCTTTAAGTTAGAGAATATTTACTCTGGAGTAAATTTTCTCAGGAATTGTGTTTGCTGTTTGATTTTTCTTCTTCTTAATAATGCATATGATGAGCAATTTAAAATTTTCTGAGCCCTCTATAATGAAAGGGATTTTTATAAATTTTATTTCTAGCAGTTTTCATTTCTTTTTAATTTATTTTTTTGTTTTCTCCAGACCTGTCACCCTTTTGAATTTATATGATCTTTGTTAAATTTTCACAGGGGACCCTCTTCTTACGTAATAAGAAATTGAATTTAGGCCCGGCGGTTAAGAAGCAGGTAGGATTTGCTTTTATTTAATATTTCTAGTCTGGTTTGAAAGAAAATGCATGTGGGCTATTTCAGTAATTAAAGAAGTCTTCTTGAGCACTTGAAAAGAATTGACTTTTGTCCTTCGTGATGTTTACAACAGTATTTGTATTATGTTTAAGCTGACAAAATGTCTATTTAGGTACATGCATGCAATTATACCTTATAACTATTGACCATTGTTGAACCATCCTTAGTGTTTTGAGTGGTCACTTTTGTGTTTTGCTCATAAATGTTGATGGCCAATTCCAATTGGTTGAATTGGACTGCGTTTTGTAACTCGGCTTCTTTGAATGGTTTGTTTAAAACTAACAGATGTAAATATTTTTGCCCCATTGTCATTTTATTATTGTATATTTGTTATTACTGTATATTAAGACAGAATAGCCCCATATAGAGGAGTCGTAATAAAGTGTATGTTATGTTATGTTATGTTATGTAATGAAGTTGCTGTGGCTGCATGGAGACCCTGTGAAATATTCAATGGTGAATCCGTTACTTTTTGTTTTGGCTTATCAGAGAGTTATTAATCCATTAGTAGTGGTATAAAGTAGATGTTATTTTCTTTTGTTTCTACAGGTACCCACTCCTGTGGTGGAGAACTCAGAATTAGTTGTAGGTATGTTTCTTTTCCTCGTTGCTCTTCCTTTTTTGCTATAAAATCTTATTACTAGACAAACATTCGACTGTGGATGTTGTGGTTCAATTTCATCCTTGACTCTAATTTTTTTTCCCTTTTGTTTCAAAGTCACTATCATAGACTACCAGTGTACTTAAAAACATTAGTGATATTAAAAATTTAAACTAAGGATAAAACTGGACCACATTATAATATGAACAAGAATAATTTTAGAAAGACTTTTATTTTCTTACTTTATTTTATGCCATTCATTCTTTTCCTTTAGTTTCTGACAATATGAGAGGGGAGTTTTTCTACCCATGCCCAGTCAGTACAGTTCCTGTTAATCCATACCAGGTAATTTTCTGAAAGATTTCAGTGCAGCAAAATGATTTTGCTCTTTTTAAGTCGGTTGGTTTAAAGTGTAGGGTTTCATTTTGATGCCAATATTTCTAGTATTGTAAAACTTTGTTCATGAATGGATGCTTTTAAGGCCGGTTTTCACTTGCGTTGGAGTCATAAGTGGAGTCATAAGCGCAACAGAATTGGAGTCAGAAGAATCTTAACATTTCCATTTTCCTCCAACTCTGCTTACGACTCCATCTCTGGCGTTCCACTTATGATCTAGTGAAATCCAGATTGTCTGAGTTGGAAGCATAGGGAAAAGGATTATATGCTTTGTGGCTGGTTTAGTTGGTCTGCTTCTGATATGGTAGATTAGTTACTGCAGATCACAAGGCAAGGGCAACGTGAAATCAAGAGAAGTAATTTACGAACGGCACACATTTTGGTTACAAGTGTATGTTGAACTGCTTAAAAAATAATTCTAACAATATGCTTGACCAGAAAGCTTTTTTCAAAAGTGGTAACCCAAGGTCATGGAAAACTGGAAAAGTCATGGAATTTGAAGACCTCAAAAGAAAGTTATTAAACCCTGTTGTAGCTAAAGCTATGCTGATTGTTAAGCTAAAGCTTAACTGATTTTTTCCATTCTCTAGGCCTGCCATCCAGTTCCTCATGCATATTATGCACCCTCAGGATATGTTAATATGCAGACTGGTAAGATTCAACAGTTTTCGTAGCATTAGAAAATATTAACATGGGCTGCTTCATTGTTGTTGAATAAGAGGAATTTCCCAGTAGAAAAAAAAATATAGTTAAAAAGAAAGTCACGTATTTTTTTGACAAATCTGACCTAGAGCTGCTAGAAATGCCTTTTGGGATGAATTAAATAATTTTGTCCACTTACAACCTGTAACTTTGTTTTGCAGCATGGAAACAACCTGATCTCCAGATTGCTCCACCTTTTTCAGTCAATGTGTCGTCAGGCCATACACATACTGTAAGTTTAAGCTTTAGTCCACTAGACATATCCTCTCCCTCGCTTTCCACTATGGAAATCTTATTTAATGCAATTTTCTATAGACATATAGTATAGGCACATATCAAAAGTCAGAACTGGTTTGCCTGACTAGTTATTTTGTAGTTAGCTCTTTTGAAAGATTTTGAAAAGCCAATTTTTTTTGCCCAGTACACTGTTCTGGAAATAGACTGACAAGGCTTGATAGTCCCTATAAATATTGTGGAATATTCTCTTTATGACAAAAATGGTTCAGCCTGCTTGACGTTTTAACTGACATAAATTTGTTTATCTAAGAGAGCTGTTAAAATAACAACAAAAGACTGGGGGGGTACTTGGGTTAATTTTTGCTGGGTATGTGTCGCAGGCCTCTCAGAGCCCTTTCCCCATTATAGTCTATTCTGTGGACAATTATAGACCCCATCTTCGTCACTTTTGGGCAAATATGTAGTTTTCGCAATCCCAAATTAGTCACTTTCTATATTTATGAATTGACCCATTTTTTAAATTGAATGAAGAACACTTTACTTTTCAACTGTGGTACAAACATTCTGGTACGTTTCTAACTGTAAATATGAACAACTCTCTTACCCCAAAAATCCGAAAATGTGCGACCCCATTTTAGTAACAATCGAAAATGCAATCCCATTATAGTCAATCCAGTCGTGAAAATGTGACCCAATCCAGCGGCACATCCCCATTAGCCTCTTAAAAGGAAGTATCCCCCCCCCGCACCCCACCCCCCGGGATGCATGCTGACACAACTATTTTTTTTATGGTTAAGATTTTTTTCCCCATTAATTAACCTCTTCTCCCAATTCATTTCAGATGAGGCACCCAAGGAGACGTGCTCCAAGATTTCGAAAAATGCAGAGAGATACAGTGTAATATTTTCACTGTATATCTCTGATTATAATTATTATACCGGTAATCATACTTATAAATAAATTAGGAGTTCCATAAAAGGCCTGCAATCACCAGCCAACTTAGTCTGTTATGGGTATGCAATGGTAACACCAAGACTTTTTAGTACTGTCTTAATTCAATTAAATACCATGGTGTTTATTAAATTTTTAGCATTTCCAATGCGGCGTTTATTCAAGGGTGGCCTTTATTTGGAAATCACATTTTTCAAATCCCTGACAACAGTTATTGACCACTCCAGAAAATACCATGGCATACCATAGTGCTCTTTGTTTGTCACCCCAAAATTTTGCATGAGCATTGGCTTCAGTTTCTCTTAGGAGTTAAAATGGCCCCAAGAGAAACTAAAAACAATGCTTATGCAAAATTTTGGGGCAACAAACAAACAGCATTATGGTATGTTATTGTATTTTCTGGAGCGGTAAATTGTAAATCATTAAGTGTAAATATTTTGTATTTTAAAGGTTCCAATGTATCTCTTATTTTGCTGAGATAGATAGAATCCTAAATGTCTGGATAGTGTAAATTGCCAAGTTGTACTTACCGGTAGGTTTTCCTTATTATCCTTGAGTAAACGCTGCATTATTCTGATTAGGTTTCGAGACCTTAAGACTTCTGTTTAGTCAAACCAAACCTGTGACAACATTTTTTTGAAATGATAATTCCTTTGAAATTCAATCAAAACATGACTGAAATTTTTAAAGTGGGTAAACTTCCCTTTGTGACCTCTAACAGCCTTGGCTTCTACAACCTCTTATTATTTTCAAAAATTGCAAGTACAACAATACTATTATGACTGTTAACTTACATAGAGTTAAACCACACTTACAAAACTACATACATTTCCAGTATTAATGCCCCAAATTCTATCATGCCTCCAATTTTACATTCTAAAAATTCATATTTTGTGAGACTTGCCACTTTTGAATAGACCATTGTATACCCATGCTTAATGATTTTTTGTGGCAGTCTTGTTATCTTGACTGACTGTGCGTAAGGAATATTAATCTTTCCTTGCTTGGTCGCTATGTCACTGCTCCAGTCCAGCCCAAACTCTTGATGTGATGTAAGCTCGTAACGAGGTAACTCGAACCCTAATTTCTGGAACAGAGATATCTTTTTATATAGATTTGTCCAAGTCATGTGGACACAGCTTGAGCTTTTCATATCGTAATTTACTACCTTTGCAAGAATTTTACTTTTTTATTCTCTTTAATGGCATTTTATTAATTGACCTGGAAGATCTTTTGGCTTAAAATTCTCAGTTAATTGCTTTAATTTTTTATCTCAGCTCATGAAAGTCTTCAGCATGTTTCTGTGCAAATTCACTCTGGTAAAAACCGCAGAAGAAACGCCTTTGTATTTTGTTTTCACCTACCTATTTTTCATATTAGAGGAAACACAAGCCATCTCTTCACGTCTCTGTTTTAGACGTCTTCCAATGCTCGTAAGTAAGCAGACTGCCTAGTCTGCTGAAGTTCGTGAAGGGCTCGATTTGCGCAGAGCGTGTCTTGTTCTGTTTTACACGCATCCAGTCCTTTCCTAGAAATTATGTAGAAGACTTGACTTGAGAAATTGTTTTCTCATTCTTGTAAATTTTTTCAGCCTTTCTTATAAAACTAGAGATGTATTTTTCATTGATATTACAAAATTTTGTGAAACACATTCCAAAGCTATTTATTTTTATATTATGTATTATAGTGAATTTGATTGACTACAATGTGGCAACACTGTGTATTTTAAATGACCAACGTACTCCTATAGCAGGGAACTACTCAAGCATTGTGATTTAAGGCACTTTCAAAGAAATATCACCTTAAATCAACTTGTAAAATTTTAATGATCTTGTAAGTGTGCCAAAGTGTAGCTTTGGACATAAATAAAATATTCGATAATTTTAGTAGATGGTGCGTTAAACTTCATTAGAGGCCTTCAAGGGGCGGTAATTATATGAAATGTTCGAGCTTTTTAAACCCTCTGCCGTCAGCCAATTTTTAGGGAAAAATCGCAACATACCATAAAATACCATAATGCTCTTTGTTTGTCACCCCAAAATTTTGGATAAGCATTGTTTTCAGTTTTTAACTCCCAAGAGAAACTGAAGACAATGCTTATGCAAATTTTTGGGGTGACAAACAAAGAGCATCATGGTATGTTACGGTATTTCTGGAGTGGTCAATTTCTGCCAGCCACCTTTTTCTTCACCCATTCTTTTTTGTTTTGTTTTGTTTTTTTGGGAATCTATTTCGATTATGTTCTCTCTCTCTCTCTTCTTTTTCCCTTTGCTTTTCTTTTTATAAGCTATTTTATTATATAGATACTGATGAAATACCAGCATTTTTCCTTTTACTAAAAAATCATATCTTCATCGCACGCAGTGAAGATACTATTTTGATCTTTAACATGTGAGGATATTATGTCGTAACATTTTTGTAACCGGCATTTTGCGATAGGTGACCACTTTAATTGCACTATTTTATTGTTTCGAACATGAATAAAAAAAGTTGTGTTTTGTGTAAGAATTTCATCAGTATCTATAAAATAAACAGAACATTACATGGCCGCTTGGGGATACGAATTTTATCTTCTCGTGCTGAACTTATATATCTCTCACTCGTTCGCTTCGCTCACTCGTGAGAGATACTTTCAGCACTCGAAGAAAAAAATGTGTATCCCCGCGCGGCCATGTAATATCCTCTATTTTAAAGCCTTAATGGAAATCTTACTGGGTCCAGGAAGAATGATATGAGTGGGTCCATATGAACCAAAGCGGCAACTGAAGCGAACGACAAAGAGTTCAAAGCAAAACTGAACAGATATCGCTTTCTGCGTATGTAAAGAGTGGATTATCACCAAGGCTGTGCCCTCTTAAAAACTGAAGGAAGCTCAGTGCTCTGAACCTGTAAAATCTAGGGTACCCAGCATATTGGGCTATATTTTGTTACGTTACGTTCTAGAAGTCTCTTTCAATTTTCAGTTAACATTTCTACAAGCAAATGTGATTAAAATGTTTGTACGGCAACAATGTTTTTTGCTTACTTCTGGCTGTTTTCTTTGAGCTCCCGATAACTCGAACTTTTTTCGATTTTCCTTTAAGGTTCGAGTCATCGTGAGTTGTCGGGAGTCGACAGGTATGCAAAGTCGACAATTCTCGAAAAAAATTCTGAGAACATTTTTTTTTAATTTGCAGAAATTGTCAGGGGCGACTTTGGGACAACAACTATTAAAAAAGCTGTATCATTTTTTCAGTGCAAGTATTAAAAGCAGACAGAGAATTAAGAAAGAGGTGAATTCGTCGATCATTTGACCGTCTATAAACCATATTTACTGTATTTAAATGTCTACATTATTATTTTTGCTGATCAGGTCTTTATAAATCCTGCGTTCTTCGGCATATTCGTTTGCGGTCCTTTGCAGTCCTTTATGGTTAATGTTAACTTCGTTAGTACTGTCCTTTACTGTGTAGCTTTAGTTTACAATTCATATATTTTTTCAGAACATCCGTTTTAAGGAAATTATTCGACATTTGATTCTCATACAAACACTGTAATTTCTTACGCTGTTGGTTATATTTAATACTCGTCAAGATGGCTTTCCAAAACCGTGACAAAATATTCTCAATTCATCGGAGTCATAAAAACAGCCGATAAAAACAGTCTTGAAAACCTCCGATTCATCCTATAGAAGTCACAAAACGGTGCTGTGTGAGTCCTGTATTCATGAACACTTGCGGTCAGTGTTCTATAGTTAGACCAAATCCGTTTGACACCCTGTTAAAGTCTTGAAACATTTTCATCTGTTTTGTTGACAATTATTTGCAGGGCAGGCCCCTTTTTCGCGGGAATTTTCCCCAAATTACCCACAATTCATCAGAAAAGGCGTTGGGCGCAAGCGCAGTAACACCCATAGTTTTTATTTGACGCAAAGGGTTTACTCTGATGATACAAACATGTCTCTCCTGTTGGTTTCATTTTCGAAGACTTGCTGCTATTTGAAGCTTGTAGAGCATGGAAAGAGGCTATAGCGGCCTGAGAAGATCGTAAGTCCTTTATGTCTCTGCTTGCCGACCTTCTGTGTAGATTTGAGCTGACTTTTTGTGGAATTTTGCAGGCGAAAACGTGCACACTCTACGAAGTGTCCTTGTTGCTACTCGTCCGAGGAGGAACAGGAAACTCATGCAAGCGCGAAGAGAGAGGTAGGTTGAATTACGGCTTACTAATTTGTTAATACGCTATCTGCGGTGAGAAACGAGATACTTTGTATCCCTCTCTGTTAGGAATGTGTGAGTTGTTGGCCAGAACTCGGCAACAAGAGTTTGGTAATTGGCGATTTGTTGTTAAAGTCGTCCCCGGCGACCATGTGACAAGCGCGGAAGCAAGGAAAAATTGAATGACTTTTCTGTATTTTCGCCAAAAATACCTTCTCAAAAAGAATATATCCAATGCAATTGATGTTTTGTACCGCACAGGTGGGGTTATCACTCGGTAGAGACTTGCAAATTTATTTTATAGGTGGAAAAGTTATGTTCGTAGTAGTTTCTGCAACAAGCTAGTTTCAGCGTGCAAGGGATGTGACGATGTGCCGCGCTCATACTTTGACCACGTTTGTTAACTATGTACGCTTATTTGATGATTCTAAGGTCCATCTCTTTTTGAAATTGTAAGGTCTCGTTTACTTGTTCCATTTCTGAATGCGTTAAATTGTCGGAAATCTGATTTTATATTATCGTGAGGGCTCTTAGTTGATCGTATACACAATCTGTCTGTCGATCTGTACTTGTGCATTTCTTCGTTTTTGGGTTGAGCAAAATAAGCCTAAATTCGACTAGTAAATTTCAAGAAGTCCTGTGATGATTTGATCTCGTTAATCTCTTTTCTCGATTTACAGTGATTTCAATAGGCTTCCCCAGATTTTTCAATGATGTTCATTGTACAACACATTATTGCGCTCGTAATTCCGATGCGAGGCATACGACATATTCTTTGGCCCGGACAGAAATTACATGCTGCCAGTAGGTTAATCTTCTTGACGTATCTGGTCTAATTTTAAATGGCACGTCATTTCATCGGTATCCGAACTGAAGAATTCTCGAAGCTTTTTCCACGCGAGTCGCATTTTAAAAGTGCTCGGGCATCATCGATTTTTGTTATTGTTGTTGTTGTTCAAATATACAGTTATTATATAAGGTTGTCTGGCCGGTGGGTTCGGGATATCACTTCGTGTACACACTGTATTGCTAGAAAGGAGCCCTTTATTTCATCTAATTTTACGTTTGATGGCATTATTTTCCCATGAACCTGTATAGGTACTATTAAAGTTATCTCTTCTTTTTTGTATGTGTTTTCAGAATCTGGCAGAAAATATCGTTTTATAAAATAATGTGGTCTACTATTATTTCATTCTAGCCAAGCGACGTACACTTGAGTTGTGTTTCTAAGCTTTCCGATTTTACTTCTCCCTAGGACATTTAAAACTGTTTTAATAAATTACCGTCAGGTTTTTTCATTAAGTGTGTGCTCCTTTATTGACACCAGAGCTACATTTTCTTTTTAATTGATAGTTCAGAAAGAAGTCGTAGGGCAAAAATAGTGCAATTTCTTTGAAATATGTTTTTTTTATTTTGTGCCATTTATACAAGAGTCCTCCATACACGATCAGAGGTGCTTTGTCATCAATGTCTGATTTTTTGCTTCCAGTTCTTGCAATTGTAACATAATTGTAGATTTGATTTTTTTTTTAATAAATGTGACTCATGAACCACATACTAAATTATTATGTCTAATTTTGTACGTTTTTGTGATGTTGTGGTAATACACTTCTGCTGCTTTTTCGACTCTTTGGTCTGTGATTATATTGAATAGTTTCTGAAAATCTCCATACTTTCCCACATATTCTGACCCCAGTTAGTAACATCTGCAATGCAGCTCCAATATCCTCAGGGCTCAAAGTTTAAATTTGAGTTTGGGAGCACTTGTACTACCAGATGTAAATTTTCAGGCACACTGCCGAAATTTTAGTTGGGCAGCTGAAAATTTTAGGAGCACAGCTTATACTGTTTGGAGCATCCATTTTTTAAAGAAGGAAGCTTAACAGTGCCTTGTTTATATGTCATCTTTAGTTTGTTACTTTTATGTCAGTCCCGTGATTGACCATTGTGATTTTTAATACTTATTTCTCTTTTTGACAATACAGTTGTGACTAGAGAAAACTTACACTTAAAAAAAATTCAAAACTGACAACAAAGAGTATGTCAAACAAGAAAGAAAGTTAATCTTTGATGAATTTGTGAAATGGGCAATGACTTACATGTAACTGGGATACGACTTAAAAACTATCTTACCTGGAAAAAAAAAGGCTCTTAATCCGCACTGTTTTTGTTTTGTTTTGGTATTTCTGCTTGCTTAAATCTACTGTTTAACGTCGTACTGGTTAGAGTATGTAATTATGGTCAAGTTAAGAAGTAGGTAAGCAAGTCAGTCATACTGTGCTTTGGGTCTTACGGCACAACCGAAAATCCAGTTGCATATGCAACCAGTTAGCTGTTAACTTTGAGCCCTTATCCTTGTTCTCGGCCCCCAACAAACTCTACCAATTACAGGAAATGCATTTTGAATTTCCCTTCAACCTAACTGGCAAATTTACAATGGGTTTTTAGGGTGTGACTGCTTTAAGTTGGTTGTGGGCCAATCAGCAGCTCTTAAAAAAACAGTAAGTTACTCAAAGCACAAAATTTAAAAACTGATAGCAAACTTTTTTCAAGAATGCAAAATGTTTCACCAGACAATGTTTTTCAATGTGAAACTTTACATATAACACCCAGGACACATATTTGTTTGACGCAAGCTGTTATTTTGTCACTTAACAACAATTTCTTCGCTATGATTGCCACACTTTGCATGAACATGCAAGCTCAAGTCAAAAATAGAACCAATGTTTACGTTTTTTACCTCCATCACTCACTCTAACGGACCTCTCACGAAACATGGGCTTTCTTCAGTGGGTTCAAAAGGTCACGCGTGTAAGTTGTAATTAATTAATTTCGATCCATGTTGTATATTTTGTTTTGTGGTGATCAGGATTGACAACTAACACTCTCAAAATGTATTGCTATTTTCCTGGTCAACGTGGTCTAGGTGGCCCCAGATATACAGTGTAGTAGTCACACTGTAATAGGCCAATCATGGCTTGTACTCAAATCCTGATACACAGGTGGGGGCTGAGAACAAAGATTTCAGTGCTGTTCAAAGACAGACTTAACCAGAAGTTTTTTCTGTCTTTAATGTAGGCTACCACAAAAGGGACTGGGGAGGGGTAATATAATTTGGAATTTCCATTGGGGCTTGCCGGGGAAGGAGAAAAATCCCCTTTGTGGGAATAGTAAGTATATTTTCTGGAACTTCTCATTTCTTTTCATTTTTATAATACAACATTTTGCGCAACATGTTTCTATAAAAGATAGTGCATAGGTCAAGAGAGTTATTTTTCCTTGATTTTATGAGAAGTTAAAACAACTTTTGTAACTTATTGCAGGGTCTAAAAATGACCAGTGGTTTGTTTTAAGAGTCCCTGTGTTATTGTTATACCATTAAGTGACACTAGTTAATATTTCACAGAAAATATAAGGAGACTTTCTTGTTCCTGAAAAAGTGAGATGCTTCAGCCCAAACTTACATGATCTGCTCATGGTCACACAAAAAAGTGTATTATTTTATATATAATGGATGTCAAACAGGGTCAAAAAAGTCCTCTCTGCATAGCCATCCCAAACAAATAGGTTTTCTCATTGGGCAGGCCGGGTAACTTTTTATGCCCACTTGCCCAGGCAAGTTGTCTTTGAACTTTACTATGGCCCTGGACAAGAAAAAGTTTGTAACTGAATTTCAAATTTTTTCTTCAACTCCGTTTGCTATTTGCCTTGGAAGGTCTCAAAGCTAATAAAGTAGGTGGTCATTAAAGACTACTCTAATATTAACAATCAACTGGAAATGATGGCATAGTAATATTCTTAATGGTGATTATAATAATATAATATTATGATATTATTGCAGAAAGTAAAAGATCATGGCAGTCAGAACAATGGAAAAAGAACAAGCAAGTACGTTGAAAAGGGAATTGAATAAAATCATTGGGAATTACTGATTCTAAGAGTTTATGAAACCTGCCCAGGACATTTTTTTTAGGCTAAATCCTTAGCAGCAAAATGTGGAAGAAACATTCCAGGACTGTTGTAGTGGAAAGTCATGAAATAATGTTAGGGTTTTGCTCTGTTTGAGGCCCTTTCCACATGTGTCAGGTATTTTTAAATTCGCCCTTTTTTCTTTGCGGATCTTGCTGATGTCAGTCCACACCTATCCAGTAAATCTGGCGTATGAATCCGCAGCTTTTTTCAATCCACTCTCCAGTGAGGAAATTTTTGAATATGTTCTGCATCCAGAATGGTGTGGGTGCTAAATCCAGATATTTTTTATCTAGTGACTTGATGAAATCAGGGCCAGTTCTTTTCTGTGAATACTCAAGATTGCTGCTGAGTGGAATATTATCACTTCTTTAATTCTTGGACTTATTTCAAGTCTTTGAATGTGTTTGCAGTTATATTGAAGGGGTTGATGCATTCAAGTGAATAGGTTGGCATCAGTGATTTTGGTACAATACTTTTGTGCCAATAATCCCTCAAGGGACAGCTTACATAAGGGTTGTTGCATTAGGAGATGATTGACACTTCAGAGCAATTAGCAATATTGCATACTGAAAATGACTTGTCATAATCTTTCCCCTAGGAGAAAAAGAAGGCTTTCCTGTGATGATGGTGATAATAATAATTATGAAGATGCAAGCAAGGATGCCACAGACCCAGCTGAAGACCTTCATGGAGCACAAAAGGGCAAAACAGCCAACAGGAAAACTCCATTACACAAGCCCAAGAAAAGCAGAGAAAAGGTCAATACTGTTTCTTCAAAACAGGAATCTAGTAGTAGTACATTAAATGGTGTCAAGTTAGGAGCAAAAAGCAAGGAAGGTGGCAAAAATGGACAGGCCACTGTGAAAAAGAAAAGTAAAACTGGTCTTTCTTTGCTTCAAAGTAGAGATGAAAGCATTGTAAAAACAGAATATTCAAAAAAGAAGTCATCAACTCAAATTTTGTCAAAGCCCAAAAAGTCAGAAAAGAAGAGTGCAAAACAGAAATGTAAAGCGGACACTGAAGAGCTCAACAAAAGTGAAGAGGAACCTCAGGAAAAATGTTTGAATGGTGTGAAAAAATCCAGTAAGGTGAAGTCTGCAGCTTCCTCTGCCAGTGATGTAGTACAGTTACAAAGCAATGATGCTGTTAAAGAAGTCAAAAATTCAATTAGTAATAACATAACAAAGCTTGGTACTAAACTCAACAAGGCAGAAATCAAGAAACAAAACAAAACAAGGAGTAAAAACAATAAATCAAATGATGTTCAAAGTGGATCTTCCTTTGATGGAAGTAAAAAGAGTTTGGTTCTTGGGAGCAAAAAGCAACCTAACAATTTGAGCAAAAACAGTGGAAATGTTGTGAATAGAAAAGTTGAAGTGTTCGATCATTTATTTTGTGAGCTAAAAAAGTGTCCAGGACATAGCAAAGTGACAGTTTCATCAGCTGCAGAATTGCTTCTTAGACTTACAGCTGATAAGTTGAAAAGCTTGCTCCACGCTTCAACATCTAAGAAGCTTCAATCCGGTACAGTTGATGATAATCTGAAGAAATCATCGCCAGCAAAAGCCCAATCTACGGTCTCATTAAGTAGACCCAAGAGGCAACGTACTGAGTCTGAGAAGTCTTTATCACAATCATCTGAAGTTAGCAGTGGGAGTTTCCTCTCATCTCCAAGTAAGAGTGCTTCTGGGCAAGCTGAAAAAGTCAAGCTATCCCAAGCAGCAGAAGCACTGGTAAGCTTCCGTGCCAATCCCACTATTCTGCGGCAGGAAAGGGCAGAGGGTGATCTTCGGCTACCAATTCCAGCTGTGAAAGTCACTGCCACCAAGAATTTAGAAAAGAAATCAAGCTCTCCCAGTAAGGAGATAGGTTGCAACCCCTTGGATACAACTGCTGAGTCATCAATGCATGTTTTGACAACCACAAATGAACCGAAAGCATCACAAAGTCCTGTAAATGCGATTACCACTACTTCTCAGAGTCAAGCTACAACACAGTTGTCTTTAAGCCCTGCTATACATGGAACTCTTCAACAGACTGTTGGATTTCCTAGTATTGAAACAAGTCTCCAGCAAGTAGCAACTGTGCAGCAAAACCTGATGAATCTGAGTCAGTTAACATCACAGTTGAATCCAGTTTCTGCAGTCCCAGTGCCTTTGAATCCAAAAGCAAGAGTACATAGCGCAGAGAAAGCTCGACTGATGAATCAAACAGGGATGCAGAATGTTCAGGCGTTGTTCTGTCAGCCGACTCAGCCTCCAAATATCCAGACATCAGTAGCTATCCAGACCCCAGTCACCACGTTAACAGCGTGTGGCAGTAACCAACAGTTGCAGCCACAACAGCCTCTCAAAGGAATGGAAGATGTGGTCAGCTGCGTTGGGTCACGATCAACTACTAATATGTTGTGGAATATTAAGCCTGCGACTCCCCCTGTTGTGTACCTGACCAGTCCACAGAGCCTTAGTGGGGTAAGAGCCAGGCACATTATACCCCAAAATGAAGGGCATAGACCTCTACCTTTCACTACAGGCATGGCAAAGGTTCACACTGCTGGTATACCAAAAGCACCTCTGAACTCAGTAAGTACGTGTGGAGTAATGACACTCGGAAAAGTAACAGTAGTGAATCAGGCTGCTTCACTTCCAACAACACAAGCTGTAAACATGACTTGTCAGCGACCAATACTTCCGCGTGAGCAGAGGTTACCTTCACTTTTTACCAGTATGCATCAAGGTGCTTCGCAGCTTCCAGTTACCACAATTAGTGGGCAGATTTCCCACAGCTTTCCACCAGTCTGTATGGGGAGCATGCCAGTACAGTTTGGTGGGATACATGTGACCTCTGCTCTGACTTCTCTCAGTAATGTTATGACACAGGCACCAATCTCACAATCCCCTCCTATTGAAGTGCCTGTAATGCAAACACCAGTTGTTACAACAGGACAAATCACTGCCACAACTTCACCTGTCAATGCTAAGCAAGCTGTGAAGAAGTTTGTTCATCAGAGAACAAAATCTGCAGAATTGAGAAGGTCAGAAAGTCTTACAAACATACTTTTAAATGAGCCTGTAGCATCACCTTCTGTTGCTGAACAACCCGAGGTTAGCATAGCTTCTACTTGTTCTTCCCAGAGTGATCAGGCCCAGGTACAACCAGAAAATAAAAGCACTTCAATTACATCAGAGTTCAATGTGCAGCAGGCAGCCTCAGCCCTTCTTAGTATAAGTTCACAGGATGGTCTTGATACTGTTGATACATCACAGCCTGGGGGAGGAGAGGGAGAGGACTCCTTGGACGAACATGATGACGAGGTTGTATTTACCAGTAAGGGTGTATTCCGTGTTGGAGATGTCGATGTCGATCCAAAGTACAACAGAATCGGCATAGGTAGGAGTTTTACACGAGTTCATTCTACACATTTTCTTTACAATGTTTGTGCAGACATTTTTTTAACTAAATCCAAAAAAAAAACACTCAAAGAAAATCAAAACTGAAGTAATCTAGGTTACTTCTCAAGATTTGCTACCTTTAAGGGAGCCATTTTCTTGTGGAATTGAAAAAAGACTGTTAAGTTGTAGTTTATCATAATCAGCAGGTCATTTCACACAAAATGGCACCCTATTCTACTTTGTTGTACTTGAATGAAAGTGCGACCCTTTCTGTAGGGTTCATTCATAGTTGTGCAGTAGAGATCTATTTCATTTTTCTTTTTTTTTTCAGAGGGTTATACCTGTGGCAAATGTGGAAAAATCTTCACCTCTCTTAGCTACCTTGCACGCCACATAAAACGGGTGTGCCCCGACATGAGTTGCCGCAAATGGAGATGCACCATGTGTGATAAAGCTTTCCGGCATCCATTTGGTCTCCAGCAACATATTTATACCCACACAGGGGAAAGACCTCACAAATGCTCTCAGTGTCCTAAAGCATTCTACAGTTCAAATGATTTAAGAAGACACAGCAGAATACACTCTGGTAAGCTAAGCAGAGTTAGCCATTAGATTTGATTTGCTGTGTATATTTTTTGTGTTAATGTTATTACGGTATTAGTTTTTAACAAAGACCTCATGGAGGCACAAAATCTACAAGAATAGCAAGCTGGGTTGCTTTGGCTATCTCAAACAACACATAATTGTCTTTCATTTGTTTGATTTGTTTGTTTTAACTTTCATTTCTAGTTATTGATTGCTAGAAGTGTTTTATATCTCCTTTCACCTAAGGAGGGCCTTATACACTCATGTTAGTCCCACTTTTTTTTAAATCTCGTTATAGGTGAACGTCCGTACCACTGTAAACATTGTGACAAGAGTTTTGCCACCACAATATCTCTTAAGACTCACACTTACATTCATACTGGAGAAAAGCCACATAAGTGTCCTCACTGTCCAAAGACATTTGCGACTTCAAGTAAACTGGGGCGACACATTGTGACCCACTCTGAGCAGCGACCTTTTGCCTGTGAGCACTGCCCTAAATCTTTCAATAGATCAGGTAAGACAATATGTTCATAGAGGATATGACATGGCAACACGGAGATAAAAAATTTGTCTTTTATTGTTGAAAAATATTTCTACAAGTGATTGCAGCCATCAAGTGAAATACTTTTGAGAGGAGAATTTGATATCTCCAAGTGGCCATGTAAAAAGGTTCTGTTAATTTTGTTATTAAAACACCAATGACATATCAAACCGTTTCACTTTTTGTTTGCTTGGAAAGGGCCAGTTTATTATGTCAGGGAAAAGTCAGGGAATTTCACTTTAAGTCAGGGAAAAGTTAAATATTTGAAAGAAGTCAAGGAAAAGTGACATTTTAGGAGAACATAATTATTTATTCTTTTCCTTCTACTTTCACTGCTTTCTAACATTAAAATTTTCTTGTGCATAATTTTTACAGACATGAATTGTCTTGTATTGGCAGAATATTGTTCATGAAATTGAATGACAAGCCGATGTTGGCTTTACAAGAACATCATTTTTTTTGCACGTTAGGTAAATGAAGTTTCAATTCATTTACTGATAGGGGTTTCATTTCGAGCCAGATGCTGGACACAATGTCTGGTTGTCTGACATGTATCATCCGGTAGTTAACACTCAAAATAGTTATTTTTTGAAGTGTGAAAATCTTTTTCTTTCATTATTAATAAAGTAAAAAAGAACAACTGCAAACCGACAATTATAATTGCCAAATCAAACATGTCATTTTTTTTGGTGAGCATTTTTTAATGCCTTGAAGTACCTTTCCAGAAAGCCAATTCCATTCCAGAGAATGCAGGAAATTGTATTTTAGAGAGTCCAGTTATAAAAATTAAAATGTATGCCCCCCGGATCCCCCTAGAAGTTTTTGACTCTGGCACTCAACATTTCACCTGCGGCATGAGTCTGCCAGCTAAACCTCTGCATCCGGTACTTCCAAATGTAACTGAATACCCTGATGTACACTGCACCTGACTTGCTGAAAGCATAAATAAATATGTGGAGGAGATGGTTGCGAGGGGACGGTTGAGTCCATCATCAGGTCTGATGTGTGAAATTGTTAATTCAGTTGGTCAGGGAAATTTCACACTTGTCAGGAAAAAGTGAGGGAGTTTCAGAAACCCCTGGCTGTAGCAACCATGATAGGGAAACCCAGCCAGTTGCCTTGGGGTAAAATTCTGAATTGTCTCATGTTTGCCTTTCTGGAAAGAATTGTCCTTGGTAAATCAATTGGCAATATAATAATATTCACATGTAGATTTTAATTTATGTAAAATCAGTCTAGGATATTTTGTTTTTATAGCACTTAGCATTCAAATGGATAAGTGCTATATAGTCATTTTCATATTATTATATTATACATTTGAAAAAGTGTACAGCGACTAAGGCAGCTATAAATTATTTGTTATTTCTGATGGTGCCTGCGAAGGATTTTGGTCTGGCTATAGGTCCTGTCAAAAGCAGCCATGGGTACATGTGTAATTAAGAGCTGTAAATAGTTTTGGTGCTTAGATGTACTGTGGAATCCAGATTTTTTTAACCATGAGGGAAAACGTTGGTTCAATTAATTGGGAGATTCAAAAAGTGGGGTTCTTGGAGTATGAAGGGAAGAATTATTGGGAGATTTGAGAAACAAAAGAGGTTTTTGATGTACAAGGACTTTCAAACTTTACTGAAACATTTCTATGTTACCATTGATGCAAAAACGTCTCCAAATTATTTGATAGAGTGACTTAACTCTTGCCTTTACTCACATTTTTAAAGGAGGAATCTGTTCTCTTTTTTAGGTGACTTGCGTCGGCACAATATGCACGTGCATGATTCCCGTGACAAACCAGTAGACTTTGAAGACTGTGGCACACCACTAAGCACTACAGGCAATGTTACTGTTCCCAGCAATGGTACCAAAGATAAGGACAGTGTCAGTGGACAAGTGTATCAATGTTCAGTATGTGCAGAGGTGCTCAATACATCTAGTGAACTGAGGGACCATGTAACATGTCATAGTAACATGGTGTCCACTGTACCAAACCATTCTTTGGACCAAAAGTCCAGTGAAGACGTGGATCAGCTGGATGAGAGCACAGAATCAGGGAGTATAGACAGTAATTAAAAATTATCAGCAATAATGGATAGAGATGTGATGTCATGTTACCAAGGTACACTGTAGCAAAATTTCTGGATCTCAACACTCTTTCTTGATCTAGACGGCTATTTGCATTGTCAAAGGATGGAATCGAAAAGTGGGCTACCGTTTTGTACCTGAGTAGAATCATGCACATAAAAGTCAGACATTTCAATTTTTTTGTTTCTTTTTTTTTTTCTGCCATATTTACATGACCACGGTTTGTTGACATTCGGACATTTTGCTACCATGGCAACGTGACATGACGTCTTCTCCTTTGTAATAACTGATTGCTTGTTATCTTCGAGCAGGTTTTAATGGAGTAAATCTCGCCTCTAGTAACTAAAAAATGCTCCAGTTTTTGTTGTCTGGATCGCAAGTAAATTTGTCCTTTTTTCCCCAAACTTTTACAAAACTCAGCTGATGTAGCAAGTCTTTCCCTTCTTCTTTTATTACTCTGACTGACTTTGAATTATTTAATGGAGAATTGTAAACCTGCTGACATAACAGTCATTGGGACAGTCATTGTTTTATGGATGTTGTTGGTGTTAATCATTGTTGAAGCTTAAAAGTGGGCTCTCTGTGCCAGAATCAAGCAATTTAGAGCTGACCCTCACGCCTGAATAGAGAGTGTCTTATGTATATTGTAGTTTTCCTTAGGAAAATGGGAAACATGTGCAGATTTTCAAGATAAGCAACCACAGGTTTAGATCAGGAACATAATATCAGTAAATAGTATTGGATTTTCAATGAAGATGTGCTTTAATTTGAAATTAAGAATTTTGTCTGTTTAGCGGGTTGCTAAGTGTGGGTTTATTTAGTGCTCTCATGCTGTGAAATTCCAAAGTTTTAAGGCGAAGAAAGGTTTTATAATTTCCAAGATCGTCTTGAATCTACCATTACATCAGCGTCGTGTGCAGACCTTGTTGTTTCTCGTCTCACACTTCCCCTTGTAGAGAAGAACTACGTGGCGATAGAAAAGAAGTTTGTAAGGGTGGGGAGTCTGTTAGAGAGCTTTAGATTCTAAGAAAAGGACGACCACGAGACGTTTTGTCGGGAAAACGTTTGTGGCGGAAACAAGTTATCAAATGTTAGAAATTTTATCATTTAGCGATCGGGAGAAGAATTAACCTGTTTCAATAGAAATAAGCGCGCGAAATTTTGTGGTCAAAAAGAATACAATGAAGCTTTCCCAGGAGTCATGTTTAGAGAAGACGCGAAAAAAAATTAAAGTTATATATCGTCCACTTCCTAGTCGTCCTCGAATCTAAAGTTCAAAAGTATTGCAGTGCCTTTATTTTTTTTTTAATTGTGATCCCAAAACACCAGAGTCCTGCTCTACTGTGTGTGAGATTGTTACCTCACCAATTCAAGAAGTCGTGTTCTTCTCTAAGAGGAGGAAATATATGGGTCTAGTATATACTGTAAACACATTTTTGTTCAATTTTCTATCCCGCGAGCAGGCTCGTGTATGTTAGCATGTTAGTATTTTAGACAGGTTTCGCATTAGGTGCACTGATGTTGCTTATTGTTGCATTGCAGTTGTGCGGTGATGTTTGTGTGAAATCTCCTTTTGGAGAGTAGTAGGTGTTTTCAAGTAAATTGTAATATTCGTAGAATATCGCTTAACAGTATCATTGTAGCCACCAATGTGGCAGTAGATAAGTAAGGCAAAATTAACCATTTTTATACACATTTAATTTAACCAAAGGAAAAATCAACTGTGGCGTCGTTTACCCACACTACCTGTGCATCCAGCACAGTCCACCACACACAGACTGGTGGCCCTGTGGTTTACCTAATACGTGGTTACCGAGGGAGACAGTCTTCTTAGCTTTTGCGTCGGCGCGAAAATCACACCGGATAGGGATTCTTTTCACACATAACAACGGTGATTTCGGTGCGATTTCTGTAACGGAACGAAGCTGCTTCGCAAAAGAGAAAACTGCTGGTGAATCCCTGTGAGAAATTTCCTTCCCAGTTACAAAGTAATCAAAAGAAAACACTGTTGTGTGGGAACTCGGATCACAGTATTTTTTCCTTTCGGTCATATGCAGATTTTGGTTATTTTTCGACAAATTTGTGAAAGCTTGGCTTATTTTGTTGTAAGATGCTATGTTTCTGCAAAAGCATGTTTTTCAGCAGTATAGACAAGTAATGTAAATTACTATGCATTCCAGATTTAGTGTGCTTTACGTCTTGATCCGTAAGTTGTTCTTTTCATAACGGAATTGTCAAATATTTAAATCCAGAAGGAGTTACCACCATCTTGCCCTGAAATCTAGCCCCTAACCCTAGCCCTGTTGACGCTGTAATTTAACGGTCGCAAACTCGTTCTTTTCTGAGTGAATTAATGAGTTTGCGTAGGAAAACAGACATAATTCTCGTATACTACGATTGATAAGTTATCAATAGTATATGCGGAGAATTTAAACCGAAAAGAAAACTCGTCGAGGAGAATTTTTTAACAATTAGAAATACCCTATTTTTTCCTCTTGCTAATCATTTTCCGGCTTAATCCTCGTACCCTGTGCAGCTGATCATTTAAGGGGATATCAGATGCTAGTCACCCTTAAATGGTTAAATACCCCCTGTAAAGTCAAGTGCATTTTCCTAATCCCTTGCTGTTCTTTGTGTCGTCACGCAACGCTCATTTTGCAAGGAGAAGCGTTGCGTGACGACTCAAAGGTTTCCTTATTTTGTTTTGGACTCTTGAGGATCAAAGAATTTATAATTTAAGATCGATACGCATGATTTCGCTTAAGGTTAATGTATTATTTTGTTGCTTTGTTTTGTATATTTATTTGTGGAAACGAATTGACGCTTTTTTTTTATAAGAAACACCCTTTGTTAGAATATATTTTGTTAATGACCATTTTAACAGGTAGAATAAATTTTGTACGTAAAGTGTAAGGTTAAATCCTAAAAAAATGAAGCTAATAAAATAATTTAATGATTTGAGACAGCGTGAGTGGTTTAAACTGTTTAGTAAGTTTGGAAAGAATATTTTAGTAGTAACGATCAACGCGACTCATAGCGCTTCCCATAATGCACCGCAGTAATGACGATATTGCAGCGGGGGAAGGCGGTAAAATCTGGCTCTTTTACATTTAGGTCCGTTTCAAACGTCCTGATGTGCTTGGCTGTAGTCCGGCTGTTTCTATCCATTTATTTCCAATAGGGTCTTTCAGGTACAGGAAACGAAAGGTTTCATCAAGCTCGTATGTGTGTAGTCTTTCTTTAAAAGTCAGCTGTGGAAGCTTAAAAGGTTCTCGAGGTGGAAGAAAAAATAATCCACCAAACTGCGATTTCGTTCAATTTCATTCGCGAGGAATTTTTTTAATACGTGCTGTTAAATAATGCAAAAATATTTTTAACTTGTGTAGAGATAAATGTGTTGGGGATCACAATTATCGTTGGAAATGAACAGGGAAAAAGACTCGGGAACGGAATCGGTAATTGGTAATCCGCGGTGATAGTACTGTAATCGTGTGTAATTTTTATGTATAAGTTCAGCTGTAGCCACTTGCTTGAAAGCAAACTTATCCAAAGAGTTTCTATTTCCTAACGGAGTGAATACTCCCGAAATTAGTTTTTTTTTGGTGAACGAGGATGTTGTTTTCAACGACCACAGATGGGTTTTGCTTCTTTTTCTGCCAAAATGAAAAGCTTTATTGTTTAAAATGGATAAAATCACCTCTTTCTAAAGCAGAACAAGCAGTATTAATTAAAAATGCTCTCCGGTGAAATGCAGTCATAAAAAACAGGATTTATTCTATTGATATATGTAACTTTCTCTTTAGAGAATGACTTAAAAGCAGGTTCGTTTTCAAACTTCAAGTTCCAAGCCGCGAGGTGCATGTTCAGACACTCCTATCCTGTTGCTAGCGCCGGGCGCGTACCATCAAGTTTTCAGTGAGTCATTTTTAAAGTAAAATGCCCGCTTTGACTAACTACTCTTCGCCTTCGTACAGGTTAGTGCACTGAATTGCTATTAATCATTCAGTCATATCCATTAGCTTATTAGATCAGGGGCACCCAACGTTAATTTTCGGAAAATTTCTGTTCGGAAGACGATTTGAGATCTAGAATTTCGGAACATTTGTTGTAAAATTTCTTGCTTGCCTGCCTCTCCTAGGATTTTCGAACACCTAAAAAATGGTATAATTGCTCATTTTTAACGGATTTTACCCTAAAAAGATCACCTAGAATTTTCGGGAGCCTTTTTTCTGGTTGAAATTTTCGAATAGGTAGATTTTGATCCCTATAATTTTCGGATCACTAGACTTTCAGCTAGGAAATCCGAAGAGATGAAAATTTTTTAGGGGATAAAAATATGCCTATATCTACCGTTTAAATACTAAAAAAGTTTAACAGTGCTGTGTTTAAGTGGTCTTGAACAATATTCTTGTTGGGTGCCCCTGTTATATTACAAACTGGGGCATGAAAAATTTCGCGGTTTTGCGATTTCAACCGTTTTGGAGATACGTTGTTCTTGAAATTGCCCCCGGAGTGCAGTTTTTTGGCGTTTAGAGCCCTCAGCGATTACTCATTTTTATTTTGTGAAGACCGTTTGAGCTTTGTCAATTACACATTTCGCCAGCTGAATGTTATAACCACCGCGAAAAAATTAAAATCAAGGTTTGGCAGGTCAAAAGACACCGAGACTTCAGAAAGATAGATTGTGGACAGATAATTTTTTGGCAATTTTTTACTAACATTTTTACGGCCGAAAACTAACAGTTGTATCCGACTGTCTCTACTAAGAACCGCCTTGTTCGGTTCTGTTTTATATCTTTTTAATCACTTACAAAGGAGACGTCTCTTTATATTTGGGTGGCAAGTTTTGTTTTTCCCATAAAAATCCTTCTAAGGAGGGGCCGACCATTTGACTCTTGAGGCGGAGTATCGGTGATTTCAGGAAAAATAACCTGCTGATTTCGAGGAAAAAAAATTCTTGAAAGGAAATACCGGGCGAAAAAAAAATTCCCTTTCCGAAAAAATGATCTTTCACAGCCTATAATCCTGAAAAATATTATTACACCGTTGTATGTCAGGAAAAAAATTCTATCACCAGAGGTTAGGGGACAAAAAAAATTCTTTCCCAAACCAAATAATTCATACCACCCTCAAAGGTTAAATGGTCGGCCCCTAATTTTCGGCGGCCGTTGCAACCGCTACTTTTGAGATATAAGGCTGAAAATTGTCAGGTTACCTAATTTTATTATGCTGTTTCAGTTCCTGCTGGCAAAATTTTTCAAAAGTACACTGTTTTCGTGTTTACAGAAAGTTAATCACCTGATCAACTAATGCAAAAGCCTATTGGTAGAGCACTGCAGCGCTAACGCAGAGGCCATGGTTTCGAATCCCGTTAAAGTCCCGGAATTTTTTTCGGGTTAATTTGTAATAGCAATTACCACTGCGATGACCAAATCTCACTTGTGTTGACAATTCGCAGTATTAAAATAAAAATAGCAGCAAAAAGAAGGAAACTAGCTATTTATTTTTAGCCTCGTTTTTCAGTTCAGGAAACGAAACTCAGAAACTGGAAACTTTGCAACAGCTGGGGCCACTTGAACAAATTTTGTTGTGGAGCGAAAGTGTTAATCCCGATACTTCGCTATTTCAATCGCGTGAAATAGTAACCATAACAACGACTGCCACCAAATTTCACCAAGATGTACTTTATAGGGTGTTTACAGGATATAAGCAAAATCACAAAATCTATCTTATTGGGACCAGAATTTATGATAAAATTTACTTAAAACAGCATACTATCTTTTAATGATCACACTATTATACAATTATTGAAATTTATGTTAGTAAAACGTTTACTCGGGTTCGGGAGGACTATTGCCCGTTTATTTCATTTCCAGATTTGTCTTATTTATGTTTTGGTTCAGGGAAACAACAGAAAACTAATGATCATAAACTACCCCTTAAAAACCTGGGCTTGTAAATCTTTGAAAGGGGTTTTAGGAGAGGCTTACAATCGGAATAGAAAAAGCTCTTAGAAAAAAGTTACAGCAGTAAGGATCAAAATACGTTTTTCATTTGCTGGTTTTCTATAAAGCTTCAAAAAGTCATAATAAATCGAATTACAATTTCATTACAAGCCAGAGATCGAAGGGGCTTATATCCGGAGGGCTTATAAATATCGGATGAATTGTTTTGTTTATAGGTAGATGGGCCTATAACTGAGGGCTTATAAGTGAGGCGGCGGGAAGGGGGGAGGGGTCTTATAACCGGCGGTTTACGGTATAAGAACAGTCGTCTTCGACGCCAACACAAGGTAACACCGCGACACGAATTTATGGAGTTGCCTGCGCTGGGTCCCCCGGGGCCGGGTCATAGGCCCTGTCCCTTGCCTGATATTTTACGCCTTCATCTCTCCAGGTCTTTTAGCTTAGAAAAAGAAATATGCAATTATGTAACTGTTTGGCAAACGGAGTACTTAGGAGAAGACACCTACAAACATCTGATTGCTCTAGCCAGTATCGATTTAATGGCAGCACTTCTGACGGTTCTACTAAACTCGCTGGTCATTTTTGCCATAGTAACAAGACGCCGATTGCGGGACAACGCAACCATATTACTAGCCTGTTTAGCCGGGGCTGATTTGCTTACAGGACTGGTTGCTCTCCCCATTGCGTTCTCGGTAGAATTGAAGCGGCTTCTTGATGTTGGTCCATTCTGTCCTTTAGAAAAGACGTATGTAGCGGCCGTTGCGATCGTCGGGTTTGCTTCGCTCAGTCATCTGGTCGTGATTAGCATGGACCGATTCATTGCCATTAAATATCCCTTGAAGTACCAGGACATTGTCACAGTAAAGAAGATAGTAATCAGTATTATCCTAGCCTGGGCTATCACACTTCTTGTGACAATCAATGAAACTGTTTTGGCTTCGATAGACAGTGAAGGGAAAATCTACTCACTTTTCTTTAACGTGACTTTAATAATAAATCTTATCATCGTAACTTTCTTCCTTGCTGCCATTTCACTCTCATACGGTTACATTTACTCAGAAACTCGCCGGCAGATTAAGCGTCTCAACACCGAACAGCTACCTCAAGAAGAAATTGAAAAAGTCAAAAAAGACCGCAAGGCAGCTACCACTTTGGCAATCATTCTTATTGCTTTAGTGATGACCTATATACCAATAATACTGGCTGCAGTTGCTGCTTCTCAAAACAGCAACGTACCGCCGCGTTTTCTAATCATCTTAACGAGCTGGGTACAAACCTGTGTTATGTTGGGTTCTCTTTGTAATCCTATTATTTACTGCTGGCGAATGAAGAAGTTACGGCGCGCATTTCTCGACGGGGGGGGGGGGGGGGAGGGGGGGGACTCCCATATGAAAGTGACGGGGATGCTCGTCGTCTCGCTTAGGAGTGTAAATTGTAGATTTTGGACTCACTTAGGATTTTGGGACGGAAAGTTACCATATTTGCCCATTCAGGTATTCATATTGGGCCAACAATGTTGGGAGTAGAAACTCTCGAAAGCAGAGGTCCAATCAACTGGTTCTTTCTTAAAAACGAGAGGTCCAAACTACTGCAAAGCTGATCAGAACAACGTGTGATTTCTTTTACAACAACGTCATATTGTTTCTTTTTTGGTTCAATACACGTTGTTCTTTTCTAGATCAACATTTATAACCAGTAGGATGTTTGTGACTTCTTTGCAGTTTTTCATTCTGGTTCTATTTTGGCTGATTAGATCTGCTTTTCTAGAGATCCAACATTTATAACCAGTAGGATGTTCGTGCACGGTTTTTGCAGTTAATTTCATTTCATGGTTCTTTCTTGTGGGATCTCTAATGTAGAGATGCTACTGCCAGACGTCACTTGAAATGGGAATTAAATCAAAACTGAATGCAAGGCTGGCAGTACGGGGTCCCAGCCATATATGGGCTATATAGGTATGTGGCTGATTTATTGTAGGCCAATATTCGGCTAACAAAATTAGCCTTCCTCAGGGCCAGAGCTACACCGAAAAAGAATACTATAACGGCTGCTAAAATTTGAATTTAAATTTACGTAAGAGGTTAAAAATGAGAACAATAGATAGCACGATCGATAGGTAAATAAGGTACAGTTTAACGTTCGTCCTTGCGGTTTAAACCATCCGGTGAAAGAGTTTTGCCTCTATTTTAGTAATGCTTTAATAATGTTGGAAGTTGTTGCGTTCGTGTTGGCGGTGGTGTGCAAACATCGCTCTTTTAAAAACTGCAACAGGACAGAAAACCTTTTACTATAGAAGTGTATCTATTTGGAATAAGCTCGATTCAAGCTTGAAATTATTCAAGAATCCCGCGCGCCTTCTTAATTTTAATAGAGCTTTAAAAAATCATCTTCTGAAGGAATTTTTATAGTCAAATACTGTAATTTGTAATGTATCTAGTGAGCTATATCGTATGTACTTAGTTATTCAGTGTAATTTAAATGGACATAATTGTTCGATTTCCGTGAATAAGTTTTATTTTTAGTTGTTAATTTTTACCAGATGTAATCCTATTTTATCACTTATAAGTCCCAGATGGGAATGTACTCAATGAATGTATGCATGTAAATAGAAACATGTAAATAAAACTCCCAACAATGTTGGGACCTGCAATGCATAGTGGGAAGGATACAGCCCATAACACCTTGTGCGCCATGTGTAATGCGCTTGCGTGGCCTCAACAATGTTGAAAGAGCTTAGGGAAGAGCTGTGCAAACGGATCCAACATTGTTATAGCCTGTGCCAGGCTATCAGATAGTATAGTGGGGACGTATCAAAACGAGTAAAGCGAAAATAAGACGCGCTCGACTTGGGAAAGGGGGCTCCCCCGCGCGACTTTTCACCACTATCTCGGAGCCTGGAACAGTCATACATTGTTACGCTGCGCTTTGGCGGTCACGGAACAAAAGAAATGTTGGGGGTTGTTGACTCAAAAGTTTGACCGGTTTCAATTTTTGCGGAACAACATGCAACAGGGTGTGGGTGTGCAAACGGTCGCAACAAGTAACACCCAACAATGTTGCAGCCGTTTGCAGTGGGGCGGCTATAGCGCCGAAGAAGAGAACGTCTACGTATGAATTTTAAAGCAAGCCTTCACTAAGCATGCGCACGTTCTGAAATCTCAATGCCCACAAGTAGTCCACTCCCATAGTACGAGGAGTTTGAGATGAAGACTCGTCTTACAGAAACGAGTTGGCTGGATTTTGGTAGGCTTGGTACATGCATGCGTAAAAAAACTGTATTCATTGATCTTTGAAAACTGAAAACATGTTCTGGGCTCGAATAATTTCAGGTAGCCAGCCAATACAGCCGTCTTTTCTTGCTCGTTGCCGCTAGGGACGTTTCACAGGAAAAACGTTCCTATTCGCAGGCTAAATTTTAGGCGGTCGCAATAGCATTCCAAGCCGAGTTGTCCATTTGCGAAGTCTGAGTAAGATAGACGAAAAATGTTTTTCATTTGTACGATTTTCATTTTTCATTCTTTAAATCATCTATTTTCGATTACGACCTCTACTACATAAACAAAGCTAGTGTCACGTACTCGTAGATGTGTTCGTCGTCGGTGCCCTCCCCTCCCCCCTAACCTCCGCACCCCGTGGGTTAGAGAGAGGAAACAACTGAGCTTTCAGATCAGTGCGAAAACTCTCTAATACTGGTTAGAAGCTGCTATGTACCTAAAAATTCAAACCCACTAAGTGTATACAATAATAAACATTTAATACATATTTAACCACTGTCCACCTTGAAAGCTTTGGGTCTTTATGACAATAATAATATAATGACATTAAAGTGAAGCAAGTTAAACAAATTTTCTGGCTTTTATTTGGGACAGGTGATATCAGGGAATGATCTGATCCGTCAGAATGTACGAAAGGGACTGTGTGAGGGCCGTTTGGTCAACGCATTTTGTTTAGTTTTAGGAGTTACTTTCCATAACATAAAGAAGGAAAGGAAGTTAACAAATCAGTCCAATGACAAAACTGACAAAATTACACCTTCACGACAAACAGTTATGTCTCCAAACGCTTTAAATCTCCGTTACAAACAACGGTCTCAGATAAACAAAGAAAAACAGTTTTCAGCTCATCCGTGCCTCAACTTGTTGTGTTTCATGAATATTTTGCGCGGTTATTAGCGTATGGGAACAGGAGAGAAATGTTAAGAGAAACACTACAAGCAGACGAAGAGAACCCGTGAAAGCTATCATCCGTTTTATCATTCTTCCAGCTTCCCACAAAAGCAAATGGTTTGGTTTGTTTTAGCCTGAGAGAACAGCCGACTTTTTGCGACGCCATCACTGGTTTCCGGCGAAAAGACGTGTGAGCGACCAGCGCAGAAATTCTTTACTGATGACCTGTCATTACCCAGATCTGGGTAGTACTTCTGATTGGTTGAAGCAAAATGTTCTTTCGCCCCAACCAATCAGAAGCACTACGTAGACCTGGATAGTGACACGTCATTTCCTGCTCGTTTCTCAGACGCCATTTCGCGAGGAAACCAATGCTGGCGTCGCGCAATGTCGGCTGTTTTCTTAGGCTAGGCTTGTTTTATTCTCTGCGTCATCCCCGCTGTTCATGTCATTTGCGAGCCCGCTGCAAAAACCAAATTGCAACTGTTGAACTGCACGCAATGAACGGAACAGTTTTTAGTAGAGAAAGAAGCCATCAGTTCAGGAGAAGCATTAGCATTTGCGCCACTGCTGTTATTAGAAGTCTTGACAGCTAGTCCAAAATCCCATATCCTTACACTACTGTCCAGACCCCCAGAGGCCAGCAGCGTCCCATCTGCGCTAAAAGCGAGACTATACACAGAATCCGAGTGCCCGCGCAACTCTTTAACCATACTTCCAGCGGACAGGTCCCACAGAAGAATGCGCCGGTCCTCTCCCGCTGACACCAGGTACTGTCCGTCGGGGGAAATTGCCAGATCGTGTATCGAACCCTTCAAGCAAACATAGATTAACTATTATTACCGTAAATCCTCTACTAACTCCCCTGGGGGCATATTTATTTCAAACGCCTTTGAGGGGCGCTTAATAGAGACGGGGGGCGTATTAGAGAGAGGGGGGGGGACTTATTTAATTTAGCAAAGATGGTGGTATCAGCTCCCCAAAAAGAACCAGAATAAAAAGTGGAAAAGCTCAATACAGGAAGTTGGAGTTAATAAAGCTGAGGATCAAAAACAAATCCGACCTTCCAACACGTGAATAAACCATCCTGGATCAGTCCACTAAAATGAAGTTTTACAGTCGTGATTCATTTATACAGTCTACCATTTATTTGTGAAGAGTAATAAGGGGGAGGGGAGGAGAGAGGGAGGGGCTTAAGGTCTCGGTAAATGAAAATTTTAGTACATTGCTCGATTTTGTTTTTTTGGGATTTTTGGCATGAGTGGGTCCTAAATGTTATTTTGGAAGAAAAAGAAAATCAGAAAGTGCCTTTTAACCCTTCTAAAATGAGCCTTTTCTGAGCTAACCAGCCAAGCGTGGACCTCGCGCTAAATCTTTAGAGCTGATTTTCTCTCACTCTATTTTAGACGCAAAAATCAAAATTCTCCGACCTCCAGTCGGGACAGGTTTTAAGCTATCGCTTTGAAACTTTCAGATATGATGGATAATGATATAGACTCAAAAAGGGTGTGAGGAATTTTCCGATTTCCCTTTGTAACTCATATTATGCCAGTTTCTTTGCGTAAATCGCGCTCGAGATTCGACTTTTTAGTTTGAAATGCAATAATTCCGCTAATACGAGACATATGCAAATTTCCTCACACCCTTTTTTAGGTCTTTCATCTGTCAATCAGACGCAATAAAAAGGAAGTGAATATTTAACAACGCGAAAGGGCTGGAGCTTCAGCAGTAAACTCGATACCTCTGAGTTCGAGAGCAAAAAACTTAAGCGCCTTTTGAAATTCGATGAAATAAAATCTTTCATAAGGTAATTTAGTCTTTTAGCTTTTATTTGATATATAACTTGCCTTTGTAGCGAAAATACTCGCGCGACTAGCTCGTTTTCCTTTACCGAGACCTTAAAACAGAGGGAGTATTTTAATAGAGGATTTACGGTATATGATGCAAAACAGCGTAAGCCTCCTCCAAATGAGAAATGTATACCCAATAATGAAACCTTTAAGGCTTAATAAGTGGAAATCAGAACCTATTTTATCCGAGGGACGGCAGGGGGAGCACTTCCCGATTTATCCTAAACGCGTTCCGTATTTACTCGAATAAGCGCCTTAAATGCTGTGCTTATTTGAAGGAGGCGTTTAGGAAAGTTGGACGTGAAAAAATTGTTTTACCAACGGTATTATTATTATCCGTATTAAACTACCAGAATTAACGTCTTTTGATTTTGTTTATATCAGGGCCGCGGCACTTATTAACAATTTGTCCCAACTACGGCGCTTATTGGAGGGCGGCGCTTATTCAAGTAAATACGATATGTGCCACTTAACAGGGTGTGGTTTTCGGAGTCTTGAATCTTATACAGGCTATTCATCATTTCACATAGACCATGATGCACTACGTTTAATATAAAAACAATTCCCAAAACCATCGACACAATGAAATCTGCAAAGCTGATCGTATTACGTGAAAATTATCTTTGCAAGACATCAACACGACGCCGAAAAAACCCCAGGGCGAGGTCGTAGCCGTAGACAGCTGTTCAGCCATTATTGTGGCTCGTCAGGACGGTGCATCAATAGAAAGAACAGAAGCTTTGCTGAGAAAATACCCGCTCGCTCTATTTTAAGCCCTAACATTGAACTTCAACACCCACCGAATCACGCCATCTCACGTGTCTCCGGAAAAGTAAAAGTCCAAGTGTCCATCAATCAATCAATCATATCATTATTTCAATTCAGATTTTAGAATACATTTCTGCTAGTATCTCCGTGCCACGTTGATGTCTCGCAAAGAAAATGTATAGGATGGCCAAAACCAACCTTAGAAACATGGGCAAAACCATGCAAAATGAACAGCATATCGGATCTACAAAATAGGTATAACGATTGCCTTCGATTTCTCTTAGGACGACTGTAATACCCAGGAGAAAACAGAAACAATAGGGCTGCTTAAACGAGGGAAAATAAGACGCGTCTTACGTAGGAAGCCTCCTAAATAAGAATCAAACTATCCCGTATAAACGGCGCATTTCGTTTGAAATTTAGCTAAGACTCGTCTTATCCAAGAACAGCCCTTAACACTTGTTCTTCGATAAGACGCGTCTTTGCTAAGTCGCGTCTTAATGTGCCGTTTATGTGGGATAGTTTGCGTCTTATTTAGGACGTGTCTAATGAAAGACGCGTCTTATTTTTCCTCGTATAAATGGCCTTAATGTTTATGCAAAATTTTGGGTGGTAATCAACATGCATTAGGGTCCATGTGAAAATGGTCAATATACAAGTTTTTCATTTTATTTTTTTTCTTACCTCAACAAAATGAACTACAATTAAGCTAGAACCTCGCATTGCAGGGGATAACTAGGAGGGGAGGGGAGAAAAGGGGAAGGGTCGCTTAGTCGACAGAAGTGCCTATTTGTTAGTTTGGCTAAGGGATGAGCGTTTATTCAAGGGATGGGCGATTGCTGGGCGCGGTCGCTCATTGGAGGGAGTACAGTAGTAACGTACCTTATGTCCAGTGAAAAGCCTGACACAGTTTCCAGATTGTAGGTCCCACAGTCGACACGTTCGGTCGGCTGAGGCTGTGGCGAGATACGTGCAATTATGATGAAATTTCACGCACTGAAAAAAGAAGACATTTTAAAAATCTCTTCAAGTAATTGTAAAATGGCTTGAGACGTTTTCCTTACTAGGTCCATTTTTTATCAGACCGTGTACGTTTTACCCTATCTCCCCCCCCCTCCCCCCCCCCCCCCAACTTAAGAGAGCTGTTAGGATTCCATCGTATGTTCCAGCAAGTCATCTGCTAACTGAATCATTAACTAAGCAAGAAGTGGCCCTGTAAAGTAAAATGTGAGAGCTGCTTGCCCAAAGGACAAGCTGGAATTCAAGGTTTTGTCGAGCCCTGTAAAGTTGAAGACTACAGAATCACGAGCCACACTTTCTAGTTATCTGAGCACAAAGAAAAACTTACATCGACGTCTTGTAGGTGTCCTGCAAATATTCTTAAGGGGAAAGTATATTCAAAGTTCCAAAGCCTGGCCGTGCGGTCCTGGGATGCAGTGGCAAAGTACAGGCACTGTGGGCTGATGTCCAGGCTCCAAACGGGAAAGTTATGTCCTTTGTATGCTACTACGTTGTTGTATGAATGAAGGCTCCACAAACGAACTGTTCAGACAAACACATGAAAGGCAGCATTAGGATCTTTTATTATTATTATTACTTTTAGCAATTATTGGCAATTCTATAGTTTCTCTATAAGGACTGCAGAAATAACAGAAATTGTATGAAACAACGCGGGTGTTTCCAGTCTAACTAGGAAGTGAATAGAATTTGCGGACTTTGCGGCTGGTTATAATATTATAGTTCGAACTATGGCCAGATTTAAACACTTTAAGACTGGTACACTGCGAAAAGTCTTCCTTTTGCTATAAAATCAGTGCAAAGAATTAAAGAAGTGAGCGCGTTATACGAGCACAACTTGCTTATCGCGCTCGCCTTTCTACTTCGTTCCACATATGTTAGAGCAAAAGGTAGACCGCTCGCAGTCTATCACATTGGGAACTGAACTCCACCAACTGTTTTCAGTAGTCTCCTTCACACAGGCTTTCTCTCAACTTATCACTGGAGGTACACGGTTTCGAAATTGCAAGATAAGCCGCAAATATGCCAACTTTTTTTAAAATTAAATATCATATAAAATGTTTTCAGCTGGACTTTGAACATGTGAACATCAAGCGGTCATTTTTTGGGCAAAATTTCCACTCAGTTACGCCAAAGTAAGGCGGCAAAGACTGGTGAAAGGAGATAAACAGGTGATCATATGACTGCACCCTCCCAGACCACTCCCCCCGCCCCACCCTTCAGAGGAATTCGACCTCACGCGTTGGGACGGGAAGCATTGCGTGACTCCAGCCCGAGGGACTTCGAAGCAGTCTACCATATGATTTAATGCTTATGTTTGAACTAATCTTTTTTCTGCCTAGTTTAAAATGTGGACTTTCAAAATTATAATGTGCTGTGTGGATGAGCGCGCCGGTGAATTTGTCCTGGAAGAGGGGACAAGAGAAGACATAGTGAAGGAGGAAAGGAAAAGAACCAAACTCAAAAGACTTTCCCGGGGTGTGTGGGTGGGAGACTGGGTGAGGTGGCTGAAAAGAAGTTACACTTGATAGCCTGCGAGCAAGTTCTCCATTTGGGGGAGGCACGAGAAGTCACAGTCACGTTAAGGCAGAGGATACACACTTGACAGAGCACTGCCCTGTTGGGGCTGATACTCTCCTAGAGATGGAAACGTAAAGTCAGAAGAAAAACTCAGAATAAGGACAGTCTGTGTTGACGTTTTCTTCAGTTAGAGTTCAGTGTAAGGAACCAGAGATGACACAAAACAATAACAGCAACAAATCCACGGCTTGCTCTATCTAGCCTGTGTTAACTTGTTTCAAAAACATGCTTCGTTTAGCCACACGTCCCCATTCAGTCCAAATAAAGGAGATCCCTTCGCAATTTGCCCCTCCCCCGACCCCCGCCCAGAGCTGAAATCGACGCGCAACAAAACAAGCATTTTACACAAAGATAACTTACAATTACGCCCACTCACATTGTCATGACAAATTTCATGTATTGATTCTTCAACGAAACAGTAACGCAACGCGATTACGTTAGAGGTCTTCTTTGCATGCACGTGCGGATACTGAAATCCGATTATCACAGCTCGCGCTGCAAAGGGCGTAAGGCCTCCCAAAGCGTAGCTTTGCAGGTGCTGGGATAAAACGACTGAATAGGAGTCGCATCAGTTCCTAACAATAATTGCGCAGATGAAATTTCATAGTACAGCTTTGCACGTGTCGAGAGCACCTGTTATCATGATTTCCCCCAAATCTTTCCAAAAGGGCTTTAGTTGTTCCAGGTTTTACGTCTGCAGGAGTCAATAAAATTACGTAGTGGGACAATTAGAATGCCGAATGTCCTACTTGCTTTTAGGGCTAACTACTTGAGACATCCGTTGCTGATTTTACAAGGCGGATTTTTCACGATACTGGAGAAAAAGGTCGATGCCTTTTTAAGGACACTGTGTCCAATTGAAGAGTTTTCATGGAATCTCAAGGCTAAAGGTTAATTGAATTCTCTTTCATCAGGAATTGAACAACCCAGAGGAAGATGATGAGGGAAGCAAATTCTCCCTAGTTACAAAGAGAGCACTCAGTAGACAAAATTTACGATTCTTTAGTAATATCAATTCGATATTGACAAACAAAACGGTGAAATGTATTACACACTGAGGTTTTTTCATCGGTAGAATGTATCCTAAGACTTGTCTACAACAATGATATGAGCGCCGGAAATATCTTTTAATGTCAGCTGAAACAGAAGGCAACTCCCACATCACACCATATCCGCCCTCGTCAAGGGGAGTATCACGACTTCGGTTTAAATTTAGCTTCTTCTTGGCTTTAAGTCAATGAGATGTAACATCATCGCACGGATGACAAACTACTCTTGGTTTCAGGCAACTAGAAATCGTCTTCGATAACCGATCACCGACACGCGCAATTTGTAAGCACACGTATAACAACTCACGACCTCTCTTTGCTCAGGAAGCTAAATGATTCTCATCTTTCTAGCTCCTAAGGAAAGCTCGGGGCATCTCGTGCTCTACTACTACTACTACAAAAAAACTGTCTATAAATATCTTGGCTTATTGGGACCTTGTTTTTTCCTGACTTTTTCCTGAGCGTCGTGAAGTTATGTTGTACGGACTTGCTCTAACTTTTCAAATCCTTTGAGATTGTGGAGAAAATAAAATAAGTGGAACCATTCAAATTAAAGCTACTGAGCTGCACATCACACTGACATCAGTTTCCAGGGAACTGTAACTGATTGAATATAGCATTTTCTCGAAAATACAAGGAAAAAAGAAAGAGACAAAATACAAATGGAACGTGCTGCTCTTGTTGTTTGGGGCACATTAAGGCCATTTACACAAGGAAAAATAAGACGCGTCTTACATAAGACGCGTCTTGACGCGAACTTTCCGTATAAACGGCACATTTCGTCTAAAATAAGACGCGGCTCAGCTAAGACGCGTCTTATTAGAGAAGACATGCTCGTATAAATGGTACAGTTCGCGTCTTATTTTTCCCCGTATAAATGGCCCTATTGTTCATATTTGAAAACGAAACTATTTTTCCAAGTTCGTGTTCAACAGTTTGGTAAGTCAGCCCGGGGAAGAGTTAACATAATCATGAGCTGACCCCTTTCACTGCCGGTCTCGAAAATCGAAGCAGTAGACAAATGTCATACTACAAGTAATCCTTGGAGATTCTTTCTGTGTTATACCGGGACAAAATTGTTTGGTGCAAGACTCTGGTGGGAAGCAATTTTACAAGCCGCCAACGAGCAGTTCATTTTGGAGGAGTAGAAGGAGAATTGTACCAATCTACCTCACGTTCATCCGTTTTTAAACAGAAACGTATGAACTGAAGAACGCTTCAATGGACGAGAGGTTTTTGTTTGAAAACGTACAAAAAACTAGTCGTTTTGAACTGAATAAAAGATAGATACTTCTAAACAAAGCTAATCTCTTTTGGAATGGCCCACTTTTTGCGTACATTTTTTTTTTGCTGTTCGGTAAGACTTTTCTGACATCACTGATCTGAACACGACCATTTTCTCTGATGCTTGACGGATGTGTTTGTGCAACGGCAAAGCCCTTCCATTTGGCTTCGGTGTGCAAGGATGGTACGTCGCTACTTGAATCAAACATATCCGTAGCTCACCAGTTGGATTAACTAGATATTCAAAGAACACGTGAACAACAAGGTCAAGGCTCGACGTAAACAATTGAAACAGGAGAAGTTAACTGAGAAAAGGGAAAAGGTCACCTGTGTTACTTAATACCAGCAAAGCATGGCACGCGAGCTATAGTGCGATCTCAGTATAAACATTCAAATCTCAGCAAACACCTAACTGCACTTTGCGAGGCTGCACTGAAAAGCGAGGAACGAGAAATCCGCAAGTCACAAGCACTGTAAGTAGCATGAATTTAATTCACGTACTTTATTCCCAACATGTTGAAAAGATTTTTTAGAAAAAGCACAAAAAGGGAGGAAAAAACGCCAGCACATCTCGCTCAAACATGAGGTGCATTCGATTGCCAGAATTCCTCGACAAAGAAAGATTTAACACATCTCATCTATCGAGATTTTAGACACGCAGTGCTATGAAGATGTGAGTAATGCATATCAGCTTTGTATAGCCTGCAATGCCCTGATGTCGGCTGCAACCCTGCCAGGGTTGCGGGCGATTAAAGGCAGTGGATACCTGCCTCATTAGCTAAACAAGTGATTTTCACAGTTAGTTTGATGTAAATTCTTTTTTCGGAGTACCTTTCTTACGGAAACGCGCCATGGAAAAATTAGACCTCGTTAATTACGTCTAGTAACCCTTTAAACCCTAAGATCAAAATTTGAATTCTCATTTATTGTCACTATTCATTTCCCACAGAAGTAGTGGGGAGAAGTTGATAAAATATCAAGCAAATTTTGCGTGATCATGTCCGTAATTCTCATGACCACTCTCTTTTACAGAGCATTGATATTACAAGGAGAAATTTGATGCTGATCACTTTGAGGGCTTAAAGGGTTAACTGTTGCAGTGAAATCACTTGAAGTACTCTGCGCGAATTAGTTATGCAAGCAGCACAAGCCCTCGCACATGCACACTACCCTGCACGTTTCCTGTGTTATGTTACACAATCTTCACTTAGCAATTCTAGGATTTCCACTTGAGACAATTAGCCCTTCAAGTGACTCAATACACTGGAACCTTGTTGTAGCTGGAACGAAGGCTATGAAATGTACTCAGTTACCAGTATTATACACGAATCACTGTGAAAAAATATTACCATTTTATTTGAGGCCAGTTTGACCAAAGTTAAGTATTGTGAATGACAATTATTTAGGAACGTTGTTGATCACTTTTTCAGCCTGATTTTGCAGTATTAGCAGTATCCAAGCACATGAAAAATAAACTTTTTAACAATGAGATTTCTTTCTATATCGTACCCGGTACGTTAAGTCTAGAGGAGCAATCATATTCACAGCTTTCACTGCCTACAATTTTTATCATTTTCAAGATCTCCAATTTGAGCCCCTGTTCTCCATCCTGGGCAATGTTTGTCCACCGATACAAGTCTTTTTAATTAAAATGTTGTTTTTCCGGCCCAAGCTAAATATTCTTATTCTTTGCCGATTTTAGCGGTTGAAAATATTCTTGAATCGGTTAAAAATTATAGCGTATGACATTTACTTTTTATTGGGTATCAATTACAGTTAGTGCAGGTATTTTCGTTTTGTTGGCTCGTTTAGAGAAAGGAATAATTTTATACGGTTAAGTCATAAGCATATAATTGTACGTATTTGCAAATTTTCAACACACAAAATTAAATCCTTTTCAAAATCTCAGGCTCGGCTTTTTTTCTTCAAATATTCTTAAAATTTCGCCTCGATTTTTTATAAAATATATTCTTATATAAATAATAAAAAGAGTGTATGCGCTGCATTCAATGCATTCATATTAATCAGGAAGTCTCATTCGGATGAATTCGAAGTTCTCAGACATCTGACTGTTCTATGTCACTGGGACGAAAACATGCAAAAATAAGGCAAAGATAAAACCCGATCCTCCGTCATGGACAAAAGAGAAGTCAGTGATTATTTGATGCTGAACAAGGCAAGGTTTTAATTTTGTGCAAATAGCCTGCTCCTGGAGTTACGCAAAGACGCTCGCAAAACCTCTTTTTTGTCAAATCACATTTCATTGAAACCTCGACAGTGCCGCCTGTGAAAATGAGTGAGGAACTCCCAGCCTGGCGATCGGCCATAGGGTCACGTGCATGTAAAACGTGTCGTGTGATTATGTGAGCACTGCATGATAACATATGTTTTGACAAGTGAGCAGTCGCGTGCAAGACTTATCTTGGTCTTTCCCGGGGTCTTACCACCAAGTTTTTGTTCCGAAATTTTTGCCAAATTAAAATTCAAAAAAGCATTATCTTCAAAATAAAAATAGCAAGAGCCCCGCCGAAACACGTCTTTGAAAAATGCTGTACCATAATTTTAAATTTCTGCACCACTCTATCATGTATACACAGGAAACGCCCCCAGAAATGCCCCAAAACGAGCAGATGGAACAGGCTTTAACAACAGTGGGGACTCAAACGTGTTTGACGAAAATCGTTTTGAACTGAAGTATTATACTTAGATCCACAAATGATCAACAGTTAGACTTCGGGATTTGAATTTTACAACGTTATAAAAGTAGTTACAAAATAATGAAATCAGGGTGAATCTGGCACCCCGTCTTGATCATCATCCTTCGCACCGGAAGACGCACGAGATCGTGTCACTTTTAAAACTTGTAAGGTAAATGTTCGTTTTAAGTACGCGCGCACTTTGCAGTTTTTTCATGGTCTAGTAATACTTGGCAGTAACTTTTTTTTTTCTGGCAACTTGATGAAACTCGGCGGTTTCAAATAACCTGAATTTTGATAAATTAAAACTTAAAAGTAGATGCTGATTTGAGTTAAAAAGACCTTTTTTCACCGCCGAAAGCTGTGTCGTAGATGAAAAAAACAACAATACATGTCCCTGATATAATAAAGGGGCCATATATGGTACAAAGATATTGCAGTTTTGGGTCAATTCTGTGCTGAAGTCACTACTTGATGCCTTTAACCCATACACAAAATGCTCCTGTACAGGAAGATATCAAACATAATAATATTGTTTTGGTAATTTTTACAGACACAGACATTAAAGCTTAAAAAGTTTCAATCCATGTCCATCCTTGGCATCCATAGCAACAGAAGACAGGATCACTTTCATTGCCTAAGTAGAGCCTTAAATAACAAACCTTACGCATAATTTTTGGAACTGAATTGATGCAAAGAGATGTTTTAGGTTTTGAAAAAGATAAAAGATAGCGTGACACACCCCCTTTAAATATTAACAGTAAGCTAAGATGTCAGCATACAAGGCCAACCCTGCTGCAACCATATTGGTCCATTTATGAGCTTACCATAACCAACTCAAGCAATCTTATGTGAGATGTGTGAGGCGATAACAACCAAGGCTGTGCTGTAAGAAAAAGTCCATAATCTTAGTACCTGAAGTATCCTCTGATGCTGAGAGTAAAATTGAGCTGTCTGGTGAAAATTGTGTGCTGTAAACCGAGCCACAGTGACCTTGAAGAGAAACACACTCACTAGAGACTGTTTCCAGTTTAGATGATACTGAAACCAGGTCTAAAAGAAAAAAAAAAAAAGCACATAATTACATCACTGGCTATCATGAAAATTACTTGGTCTTAAAGTTTCTTCAGAGTACCAGACGCAAAACATCTGTGACTATGGTTGCAGTTTTGTTAAAGGTTGTTTCTGTTAAGTAGTTTTTCGCTTAATCACATGCATTGGAGTCCTATTTTCAGGGGCACCCAGCGAGAATATAGTTCAAAACCACTTAAACATAGAATTGTTAAACGTATTTTAGTATTTAAATGGTAGATATAGGCATATTTTAATCCCCTAAAAATTTTTCATCTGTTCGGATTTCTTAGCTGAAAGTCTAGTGATCTGAAAATTATAGGGATCAAAACTTAACTTTTCAAAAATTTCAGCCAGAAAAAAGGCTCCCGAAAATTCTAGGTGACCTTTTTAGGGTAAAAATCCTTTAAAAATAGGCAATTATACCATTTTTTAGATGTTCGAAAATCCTAGGAGAGGCAGGCAAGCAAGAAATTTTACAACAAATGTTCCGAAAATTCTAGATCTCAAATCGTCTTCCGAACAGATATTTTTCGGAAAATTGTCGTTGGGTGCCCCTGTGTTTTAACACATCAGTGTAATCAAAGGCAACCCAGACTCAATGAGAGATGCTGGAATCAATTGGCCATATTCCAAATGAGTGAAAAGCTTCTTGGATCATATGGAGGGACAACATGAAGGTCAACAAACAACTGCTGTGTTCAAAAAGCCATTAATAGTTTCACAAATGCAACTAATTTTCACTTACAGAATTCCTAAAGACCCTGTTACACAAGGTATGTCTTGCAAAAGAAAAACCCTAAGTAAATCTAAATCAGGTGGCTTACTGCTGTCTACCATGTTTGTGCTGCCCTTCCAAACGATCCCTAAAGCCTTTACATTGTACTGCAGCCCCGGAGGTTAGTTGGGTTAATTTTTGCTGGGTATGTGCCACTGGCCCCTCAGAACCCCAACCCCATTATAGTCTATTCTGTGGCCAAATATAGACCCCATCTCAGTCACTTTCGGGAAAATGTAATCTTCACGATCCCAACTTAGTAACTTTCTGTTTATGCATCTACTTTTTAAAGCCTTTTAACTAGGTCACCCTGAGATGACTGGACACATTGGTTAAACAAGTAAAAATCTTTCCATTTTTAAATTCTTACCTACCTGAATTTTCTCATCTCCCAAATCCCGAAAATGTGCGATCCCATTCTAGTACTTCTAATGAAAATGCAAACCCATTATAGTAAATCTAGCTGTGAAAATGCAATCCCATCCAGCGGCACATCCCCATTAGCCTATTACCAGGACGTACCCCCCTGGGACTGCAGCTCTATAAAATTTGTAGCTGTTCGGTCATTCTAGGGCAACTTGAGTCTTTTCAAAATAACAAGGGTTTCAGTTTAATTTTCCTGAAAAATAATTTCACATGTAATTTAAGGCTCTATGAAGGTGAGAATACATTTGTTTTTTCACTCATCTCTCCCTCACATTTTCCAGTCTGAAAGTTTCAGATTTCCTTTTTCTACAAAATATTGCTTAACCTGAGAAGGAAAATGTGAAAAATTAAACTTCAGAAAATAATAGGAAATTTACTAGATGAGCTTTAAAAAACTGTACATGAATGGATTATCAGTCATCTGGAAAAATAAAAATATTAATTGTAAGCTATCCGCAAGCTATTGATAATCCTAGCCAGTCATTGCTTCTTCAATCCATTCATTAGATACCTGAGGATAGATGTATTTTAGAGATGTCAGGTTTTCTCTTGGGATGGACAAGCTTCTTAGGAGTAAGGCTCCAGAGCATGATAGAGGAATCTTCAAAACCACCGCAAATGAGTCCAGCATCCTTAGATACCGCAGCAGAACTCAGTCTTAAGAATAAGAAAACAAAAGCACACTGTCAGTAAGATGGACACCACCCCAAACACTGGACACCCAGAGTTGGCCTTTGCTCATATCTGTTTGACTGTCAATGCATTAGACTCCTCTATATCAGAAACAAAAAAAAATCTGCTCTGGGCTCCTTCTCAAGTGATGCAACTAGACTTCAAAAACACCCTTCCAATTTTCTTCAACTCTTGACTTGGGTCAGTTAGTGAAAATCCATTGGAACTGCTAAGATAGAGCCTAAAAATACTAAATTGGCAAGTTTGAGAGTGATTTGTTTAAAGAGAACGAAGACATTCTTGAGATGATTGTCTGGTGGGGGGCACCAACTTGCTTCCTACTCATGTTTAGGTATTCCTTTCAGCAGCGTTGATGCATCAAAACTTGAAAATGAAAGGTATGGAAGGGCATATCAGGGGCAGATCAGGGAATTTTTGATTGAGGGGGTCCAAACTTTGGTGCAGAAGGGACTGTTGAACTTTCTTGTGGCAAATTACTTCTCAGAGATGACAACTTGTTTCTCAATCTGTGGCACGGGAAATACTGCTTTGTGATCAGAGGCGAACAGATCATAGGGGGGTACCCAAAAACAATTACATTTTTTATATCCCTTGAACTAAGTATAGTGGCAAAATGCATTGTGCATTTCAGTAAAAAAATCAGCCAGTTAAAAAGTGATATATGATCTTTTCAATGTAAGAATTTCAGTCTCAAACAAGCGTCAGGTCTGATCAGGGAGGGGGGTCCAGACCCCCTGAACCCTCCCCCTCGATCCACCACTGCATATCTCAAACATCACACAGGCTATAGGACTTGGCTTAGGCAGATTAATGGTAAGAAATTTCTGAGTCAAAATGTGTCTGTGTGAAAGAGAAAATGCATAATTCACAGTGCTTAATTAAAGTAACAAAACTAAAACTTTGCTGTAAACAATACAAATTAATACCAGAACTCAAAGCATGTTATCTCCCTACCCTTGAGATGCATTTACAAATGTGTAAAAACAAATTGACGGTAAACATGCAGGTCCACTCCTAATACGTCCAATGCTTTCTCTCAAAGTCACCAAGTTTTCATTCTCTTTATCTGTCATGGATTTTGTTTGCTTTACTGCTCTTGTAGCACGGTGACTTGATACAGCGTTCTCGCCGGCGTCATTTTCTATTTCATCACCATTTTGCTTTTGTCCTGGTTTGCTATGAGTGATTTCTAGGCTAAAATGTTTATTCAGTAAATGAAGCAGCAGCACGTGATCTCCACTCCTGAGATACTGGAGAAAGTAGGTGAAGACCTTATTGCTCAGTTTAACAACAAATTTACTGCGTCTAAAATTGCTAGCAACATCACTGGATTTCACACGTTCCAAATCAGTGATTACTTGCAAATGCTGTATTTCCTCTTTGTGCTCGATCGAAAATTCACCACTGTGCTTTGAAAAAAATGTTTGAGCGGGGATTGCTTGACCTTTTGCAACTATATCCAGATAAATGTTTGCAAACATTGGAAATAAAAACTTAGAGAGCTCTTGTCTATAGGCCTGGTTTGTTCCTATAATAAATGACTTTAAGCTGGAATACTGCTCGTCTAGGATGGCTGGTTCGCAGCTGTTAATGGCAAAAGAAAAGACATCGGTGATTCCAGTTTCGTTAGAAACTGTCGTCTTGAATGCCATGTCTTCCACCTTCTGTTCTGCTGTGAAATCCTTCACTGAACTTACACCCTCTGTGTACTTTCTCTTTTTCAAAAAGCTGTTAATTACACTTGAAACCTGTTCTTGCATCTGATTCTTTTCATTTGCGCTCATATTTTGCAGTACAACTTCTTATTTACTGCTCTATTGTCGAAAAAAACAGTCAAATCACTTGTCCGCCATGTTGAAAATGGAGACGGAGGCAGCAGACTACTTTATGTATGAGTACACAGTTTGTCCACCGGGTTTAGACGAGTGTACTCGAACACGTCCGAAGATTCTTCGTGCCAAGTCTCCACCCTCGGATCGCGGATTACAGCAACAAAGACGTCATATTCTGTGGATCCTTTCGTAAATGCAGCTATCGGGTTTCATAGATTTGTAATCTTCTAAAAACACGAGCACACTGAGCTCAAACTGAAAGAGTCATCAGTTCGAAAACGTTAAAGGCTACTCAGAGAGTGACTGATATATTTATACCAAGAAGGACAGACAGAATAGTTCGTTTCAGTGAGTAGGTCTTTTTTATTCTTAAGTATGGCCCAATTAATTCTTGTGCTATTTTGTTCCGTCAAGTTCTAAAAGTCTTAACGGTCCTCGCTCGCACGTCAAAGTCTTCATTTATTAGGCTTTAATATTTTGTACTGAACAGGCAAATCTCAGGATATCGATGAGATACGCATTATGCTGCCACGTTACCTGTAAATACAAGCTATCAGTAAGCCCTTTGACAGTCTATGAATTTGGTCTGCTGGTGTACGGGACTATTTTGAGTGTACCATGACATAGGGTGCTATGAGGTTGAAGTATTGAAACAAGTTTTGTACGGTGTGGTACTTCAATAGTGTAAAAGCTCACTTGGTAATTACAATTATGCAAATATTTCTCCGTTGATGTATACATAGTCAAATTCTATTGCGTGCATCATTTTGTTTGGAAATGCGATAAATTTTGAAAATTAAATTTAAAACGCCAAGAATTCTGCTCATGCATCATGGAGTTGTTTGGAGAGCTTATTATTATTTAAGATCTTAATTTGATTATCCCAGGCATTTATTTCAGACCCCATTGCCTAAAGTGGCAAAGTTTGACTTATTCTTAGACTAGGGATGACTTAATTATTATCAACAAATGAATGCATAATAAACAACTGTTTACAAAACCCCATAGATTAAGGCAACAATATTTAACGTCAATTCATTGTTTGTTTTTTAAGCCAGGATCAAGGGTCCTGATGTTAGTAACATTTGCAAAATATTTTTAAACTTGAGCTCATACTTGGTCCATACCATTCAAGAAGGGTGATCCTCGATCATGTGAATATTTCCAATGGTCATAGTCGCCTTGCAACCTAGTTGGCCATGAATTACGTAGATTTTTCAAGTACCTAGGCTGCTTGGTCTGATTTCTTCAATACAGAGGCCCCCTTAAATGGGAGTATGTATGTCAGTAGTCGAAAATTCAAAGCCAGTGTCATTTGGCATATAATAAAGGAGGAACCCATGTTTTCATCTGTATTTTACTGATGTTGTTGTCTTTGTCACTGTTTCATTTTCAACCCATTATATGTCATTTGTTGCCATTTCATCTGTCATATATGGCTGTTTCAAGGCCATACGGCTCATCAGAACCCTAACAGAGCCTCAAATATGCACATTTGTTATTGTAACATAATTTTCACATAGGGTATGTAAACTGAGATTTTTGTAAACTAAAAAGGATGCTAATCTGTGGAGAGAATATTTTGAGTGGTGACGTGGTTTGAAGTTAAACATTACTGTGTTGTTTTCTTATTATATTTATATTATTGTATCCAAGTTTACTCTTGTTCATTATTCCTTGCAGACATATAGCTGAATTTTGATCCAAGATGTTTTCAGTTCTACCGTTAGCACATCGCCTTTTAACTTCCTTTTCCGATGCCTTAACAGGAAGAAAAAAGGTATCAGATTTTTTTCCTTCTGAGGGTTTCAAGACCCTTCGTATAGAAAGCTCTTAATAATCTTGATCATTAAAAAATCCTACATTTATTTGTTCAATAACATTTAGTGGCTGACAAAAGCTAAAGCTTACTGGTAATTTAACGTGATGGGATATTACCCTTTCCCTTAGATATTTACGGTTATTTGCTGGCTACTTCCCCTTCCTCGTAACTTGCACTTTCTCTTGTTTTTCCTTTGATTTTTTATTTTCTTACAAGGTTTACCATTCCCTGCCATTTTTAACACATTCCTTTTTCATCCTTTAATGATGGTGGAGTTCACATTATTATTACGTTAATGATAATAATAATAATAATTATGATAATGATATTGATAAAGATGTACTCATTGCGTGTTGCCAAAGCTCAATGTGCCTTACAATACTGTAATTATTAATGCCTACATAAAACATTAAATAAGGACAGAAATCCCTATCTAATGATATACAACTTTTTATAGCTGTTTACTTTTTTGTTTTCTTGCAGATTGTTAATGTTTTAGAGACATTTAACTTATCACGTGAATCCCTTGAGGAAATTGTCAACATTCTTGTTAGTGACTTTACTAAAGGCCTCTCCGCCGATGAACGAGTACGAGCAGAAAGCCCAGTAAAAATGCTTCCAACCTATGTGCGAGCAATACCTGATAGAACAGAAGAAGGATCCTTTTTGGCTCTGGACTTAGGGGGTAGCAACTTCCGGGTGCTTCTGATCACAATTGACCAAGGCACTGTTTATATGGAAAGTGAATTGTACCCACTGGATAAAGCTTTGATGACAAGTGATGCTATAACACTTTTTGATTACATCGCTGATTCCATCGCTCTGTTTGTCAAGAAACAAGGAGTCGGTTCTAAACATTTACCCCTTGGGTTTACATTTTCATTTCCAGTTCAACAGCTATCATTAACTTCTGGTTTGCTGATTAAGTGGACCAAAGGTTTCTCTGCTGCTGGTGTGGAGAATAAAGATGTTGTCAAACTTCTCAGAGAGGCGATTGTTAGAAAAGGAGTGGTGAGTCTTTATATATTACGTAAAGGCTGTGAGTTCTTGATTTACATGTACCAAAGTAAGTTTTTTGGTCACAATTAATTGTCTAGCTAAATATGAATACGATTCCTCTTTAGTAGATTGGTGTAAAAGTCTGGCTGTTGTGATATTCACAATGTCAGAAAATTCAAGGGAAGCTCTGCTTGATTATGATACAGGTCAAATTTGACTTAGGGTTAATTTTGATTAAACCTAATTTGATTCTCAATAGCTGCAGGAGACAAAGGAAATGGAGAATCAACCTAGGTTTATTAATTTTGTACAGATAATTTGCTATCACTGTCTTATGAGACTTCTTGTAAACTTATTATTCAATAATATTATAATGATAAGCCGAGGATAAAATTGAATGGCTACCAGATGGTAGAAATTTGATTTCATTTGCCTGTAATCAATAATTATTTAACACTACTGAGCATGTGAATGTCTCTATATACATGTTGAGCAAAAACCCTCACCTCAAAACAACATGCAGCCTCTAAAGTGTTAGGTACCCCAAGGTTGACCATTGTGCAGTGGTTCATCTGCCCACTTTTGCAAGTGAGTCAGCTCAACATGAAAACTGCTGTTTTTAATTTTCAGAATGCAAGCGTGGATGTTGTGGCACTTGTCAATGACACAACAGGCACAATGATGTCATGTGCATTTAACAACCCTGATGTCAGTGCAGGATTGATTCTAGGAACTGGAACAAATGCCTGCTATATGGAGAGCCTTGATAATGTACCAAAATGGACTGGTGATTGTAAAGATCCACGAGAAGTTATCATCAACACTGAATGGGGAGCATTTGGTGATAATGGTTCCTGGAATCATTTAAGAACAGCCTTTGATGAGAAAGTGGACAGAGAGTCCATTAATCCTGGAATGCAGTTGTAAGTTTTTTTGGTTCTTTTGCTTTTTTTCAAGTGCTGCTGTCTATGCAGTGACGATTACTCACCTAGAATAAAATTATTTTTAGTAAGAAAAAATAGGTTCTTTGTTAAAATGAAGAAAACAAGCAAAGCAAAACAAAAAGAAAGAGCCTTTAGTTGGGGGCATATTATTACAGTTTCCATATATGTCACCCTGCAAACATAGCCCCTTTTTGACTTTTTTTCAATCAAGGAGAAGAAAAGGATGCTCTGCCTAAATCTCATCAAGCCTTTGAAGATGCCACAGTCCAAACTTTTGGACTAGTTAATTTTGTTTTCTCTCATCGAACATTTTTTTTGAGTGCAAGCATCCAGTTTATCAATAAATTTTATTGATAAACTGATTATCATCATGTTTGTGATAAAGCTATGTACAGTTTAAAGATTATAACAACTGAGACCAAAAAATGCACTGTTTTTCAAATTCTACCAGAGATCCAGACATATCAATTGAAGAGTCAGCGTGCTAAGAAAGTCGTGTCCGGGCTAGTGGGTTTTGCTATCGGGCTAGTGTTTTTTGTTCTTAACTTGCCCAACGGGCAAGTTTGGGGAAATTCAAATCACAGAAGGATTGTTATCAATCCTGCTAATCAAAAAGGGTTTTGGGGCTAGTTGAAATGACTTGTGGGCTAGTACATGCTAGCTACAGCTTGCCTGAATGGCAGGCTGTAAAACTGACTTTCTTTGCACCCTGAGAGTTCATCATGTTTATGGCAGCTGAGAACAAACATCAGATTCAAGTTGACAAGTTCTCAAATTAGGAAATGAGCAGATAAAAATTATTCAATAAATAATTCTTGACAATAAACCCTGTCATGAAACTTGTTAATATTTTTGTGCAATGTGTATAATGTCAAGAGAGAATTATGGGAGAGAGAGGTAAACACCCAGTCTAGCCCTTAGGATATGTGAGTTTCACCAAAGTTATTTTTAGACCAATTAAACCCTTGAAATTAATTGGAAGTTGGTTTCTGGAGAGTTTATTCAGTGTTGTCAAGAGAGAATAATGTGCCATTATGCCCTCATGGCTGTTTCAAATCGATGTTTACCATAAATTTTGCTATAAACAGGATTCTTAATCTCTCTAATAATCCACTTAATAATAGTTAAGTGTGTCACATTTGTTTCATTTTTATTTTGTCAGTTATGGGGTCCTCTTAGGGGGAATGTGTTACAGGTCAAAATTAAATTCAGGTTAAAATTTTTTAACCTAGGTTAAAAAATTTTAACCTGAATTGAATGTTGACCTGTAACAGATTATGTAAAGTACATATTGTCCCCAGTCTGAATTTAAATGTGGTTGTTCTGCATATTGTTGCTGTCGGTACACATGTATTTTATTATTGTATTTGTGATTTTCCCAATGTTGTACATAAGCAGGTTCAACCCATCTTTGTGTTGTTTGTTTCCATGTGATCTGTAGTATGTCTCTGTTTCAAGGCCGTGTCACTTGTCAGGCCTCAGTTAAGCTAATTATTATGCACATGGTAAACACATGATTTCCATATGACCTGCATGTGAAATGTTGTGTATTTATTTTGTCAGTCATTGATACAGTCTGTAACATGCACATGGTAAACACATGATCTGCATGTAACTTGCATGTGAAAAGTCCTGGGTATTTTTCTTGTAGTCAAATACCATCCTTGACGTAAGAAATAACCGTAGTTACTAAAACATGGAACGACCTAAAACCATCTACAACCACCTGCAACCACCTCAAAAAATTCAACAACCACCTACAACCATCTACAACCACCTCAAAAACATCTACAACCACTCGCAAACAATCTAAAACCATCTAAAACAAGGTATAAATGTCTCAAGTAAGGCGAGACGACAACATGTCACGTACATGAAATACGAGAATCGAACAAAACATCCACTTCCCCCCAAAATCTTACTCTCCCTGGTCCCTTGTATCATCAACCATTGGCTTAAGTCACGAAATGAAATGCGAGATCATGCTAAGTATATTAAAAGACTTAAAGAACTTTACAAAATGAACTATCAAGTCACAAAAATAATAAAATAAAATAACAAACTCGTAGTCGAAAGACTGACTTGATTTGGCTTTTTCTACCCTGGGTACCAGTGAGACGTTTTGGTTCACGTTCCATTCGTTTACCTAATAGCACAAGGTAGGGTTTCTCTCTCTCTCGGAGAGGTATTATATAACGTCGTGGTTTGGAGATAAGAACTAGACGGATTTTAAGAGAAAAGGCGGAATGCAAGCAGTCTAGAAAAAGTATGTATAAGAATGGTCTGCATTAGAAATATTTTAAAGGAACTGTACGTACCTTCGGGATCTTCCTTTGGCACGAACGCCATGGTGCCTGGCTGCGTTCATACCGCACACAGTTGTACGAATGGTGACACGTTATGCAATGGTGACTCATGATCACGTTTTGCTCCAGCTGAGATTATAAATGAATTTTCCAGACATATTCCAGACTTCGCACCATATGTAATCACTGGTAATGTGACATTTTAAACATGATTTTAAAACAATTAAAAATCACAAACCATCAGTTGTTGCTTAAATTATAATCAAATTGTCGATGAGTTTCACAAGAGAGAGGAAACAAAATCAAACTTATATCCCAGCCCTCCCAACATAAGAGGACAGTGCGGTGGAAGTTTTGTGCTAAGCTTAATGGTTGATAATACAGGGGACCAGGGAGAGTAAGATTTTAGGGGGGAAGTGGATTTTTTGTTCGATTCTCGTATTTCATGTACGTGACATGTTGTCGTCTCGCCTTATTTGAGACATTTATACCTTGTTTTAGATGGTTTTAGATTGTTTGCGAGTGGTTGTAGATGTTTTTGAGGTGGTTGTAGATGGTTGTAGGTGGTTGTTGATTTTTTTGAGGTGGTTGTAGATGGTTTTAGGTGGTTTTAGGTGATTTTAGGTCGTTCCATGTTTTAGTAACTACGAAGAAATAACAGTATTATAAATGCACTTTACTGTTTTGTCAAAAATGAATTTTTGTAATACCTGTAAAAGCATTTTACAAAGAGATGTTTCACCAGTCAGACATCAGTTGACAGCCACAATTCATGGTTAGACTCTTAGAGAGAAGTCATGTTCACTCTTGAGACTTTGAGAACTACCAGCCCACCATCTCATCACCTGTGATTTTTGTTACTCTATTCAGATTTGAGAAGATGATATCTGGAATGTACCTTGGTGAAATCGCCAGAGTTGTTTGTATGGAGCTTATTCAGAACAAACTCCTTTTTAATGGCCAGGCTGGGAAGTTTAGTACTAAAGACAGCTTTCAAACCAAATTTGTTTCAGATATTGAAAGGTAAGGTGAAAAGAAGAAAACTGGTGATGTTAATCAATTTTACATTTATTAATCTGATCTTGTCTGAGAAAAATCAAGGAGTAAAATTCCCAGAAAAATGGACACTGGTAAAATGAAATTAATAGGTGTCATCAAATGGCAAACTGGTGAAATTATTCCCAATTTTACTTGTCACCATTTGATTACATTCTACTAATGATCATCAATTTTTTTTCCAAAGAAATACCCATACAGATTCTCATTCATGTTTTCGTAACATTTTTTTCAACAGCCATGACAGATACAAGATTGATCAGGTCATAAATGAAATGAGAGTGAATGCATCTGAGTCTGATATTGAGATATTAAAACAAGTTTGCACCGCTGTTTCCATCAGAGCTGCCAGGCTAGCTGCTGCAGGAATTGCTGGAATTGTCAAGGTATAATCATGTAAATCTTTATTGTACCAATTGATGTAAATTATTTTGTGCAGCCCTAACTTTGTGTCAAAGTCATTGATGAGAAAGACACGGCTAGAGAGCGTTAGAAGCTACACTGGAGGCCGAAAATCATTGGAACCATTACTGAAAACCTTCCTTCATCAGCGCTAACAAATCAAATATGCAAGTGTACCATAGTATCCACTTTTGATATAGTTTGGATGCCTGAAATGGCCCTCCCCTCCCCTCCCCACTCTAAACAATGTTGGGATAACTGTTGTAGATTTTTTTTTTCTCAGGTAATTTTTGCTTTTCTTTTGTTTTTGGTTATGGTAATGTCTGCTAATGAAGTCGAAACAAAGGAAAAATAAAAATTTCCTGAGATAAAAAATTAACTACAACATAAACACTTTTCAGTGTACAGGGTGCACAAAATACAACTTTGTTTGTTTGTTTGTTTCATTCTATTACACTGATCATTTAAATTTGCAGAATTAAATATATTGCCAAAAAGTGAATCTTTTGCCATATCTGTCTCCTTAATGTACAACTGCATATAGCGATTACGGTGCATACTATCACGAAAAAATATGCTGGTACTTCTTTTTTGTTGCTGTATCATAGTAAAGAAATTTTTTTCCCTTAGTTAAATACACATTTAAGCTGTCAATACGATTCATTGAAATTTAGTAGTTTAAACCCAATGTTTTTATTTTTTCAAAAAACAGAAAACAAGGAACTATACCACTACTATTGCTGTTGATGGCAGCCTGTTTAAGAAGCATCCAAAGTTTAAGGGATACATGGAAGAAACACTGAGAGACATTTTACCAAAAGGCAATGTTACTCTTATGCTGTCCGAGGATGGTTCTGGAAAAGGGGCAGCACTTGTTGCTGCAGTTGCATCCAAAAAATATTAAGCTAATTTTATTATATAAACACCAATGAAATACCAGGTGGGCTTTCGCGCGAAAACATGATATCTTCACGCGTGAAAATAACATGTTATTTGCACGTGTGAAAATATCACTGTTGCTATTGCTACATAATAAATCGCGCCTTTCGCAGGATAAAATGGTTTGGCATTTCATTGGTGTTTATATAATAAATAGAACATTACATGGCCGCTTGGAGATACGAAATTTCTCTTCTCGTGTTGAAACACTCGTGAAATATTTTTCAACACTCGAAGAGAAATTTCGTATCTCCAAGGGGCCATGTAATATCATCTATATAATGCGCAGTGAAAACTGTGTCGTCACAAGGTGAACAAGAGACCCGTGAGTTCTAAGACAAGTACAACTACGAGTAGGAGATTTTCTCAACACTAAGTAGTGCTCGCGCGCAAGTCAGCGTCGTTTTGCGGAAAAACGTGATAGCCGTCTTTCTACCATCAGTTTTAGCATAGACTATGGTTTTAACGAGAATGTGGTAATGGTCGTCGTAGTGACCAAAAAAAGCAGGCACGAATCTAGGATAGATACTGGCCAATTTCCTAAACAAGCGCGAGCTTGTAGGGTGGTCAGGAGGCGGGCTTCCCCACCTGGAAATTTTTGTGGATTTTCACTCCTTGAATTCCCTTTTCCTGGGTTTTTGAGTCATTCAGACAGGGTATTGGTCAGATTTCGACTTTGAAAGTGTTTTTTTATTGTTCAAAATATATTTATTATGAAAAAGGTGACCGATTTCCGTGAAACAGTGGAAACCGGTGTGGATCCGCGCCTGAAAAGTTTATCAAATGTTAGAAGTTCTTTCATTTTGTGATCACTTTTTGGGTGAAAAAAGTGCAAAAAAGCCTTTCGAGATGTCTATTTTTGAGAATACGCGAAAAAAAATTGAAACAAATCTGCTCCTCGAAGTCATTCTCGTCTTTGAATCTATTAAGGTCTCTAATTTCAAGGAGAAAGATGTAAATTTATATCAGTTGAATTACTCCTGATTCGAGCACATTGTAAATTTTACAAGAACCTCATATTTGTATCATGGAACGCGTGCTCTTTTTGGTTCTAGATAATAACTCCGTACTTAATCCCTACATCTGTTACTATAAATATATGAACACTTCTAAAACATGAACACTGTAACTTACTAAGGTTGAACATTTTGTTGAAAATGTTGTTTAAGCAAGCACCTGTGTACAAAAAGCCAGTAGTACCTAGTTTGATTTGTGTAGACAATATTGTCACAAAATTGAACAAAGTAAGTCAACATCTCATTTAGCCATCATCCTTCATTTTTTCAATGACAGTAAAATTAATCTGTGTTGTGCACGGATAACCATGAAAATTTTCATTTTCCAAAAACTTGTGATGAAATTGTGACGAAGTTTGGAATACAATGATGCTTTTGTCCCTTGGGATGCTGTTAACACAGGTTTTTCTGTCACTGTAGACCTCAAAACAGTCGGGTTTTTCTCAATAGGTATTGCAAGCGCTTTCGACGTGATGAGAAATTCAAGTTCCCCTGTCTCTCTCCTGTATCAATCTCCGTTTTCACCCAGCTCCAATCGCTCCGGACCACACCTTTACTCTGACCGCTCGCGCGAGCGCGCGATGTTAACCTAGGCGGAAAAGGGGCTGTTTTGAAGTTAACCGTCACTTATTCGTAAGTGAAGAAAGCCAAAGTGAAATAAAAATATCTTTGGTATTTTAAACATTTGAATATAGCGCGAAAAGGTTGTAAAGTAGTCGTTAGATATTCCTTCAAATTTAAATATAGTCATAACACTGCACATGTTGTAAAGCCTTGAAGAAAAGTGGTTTTCAGGCTTCTTTGTAACAAACGTTTGTAAGCTCTGATACCTTCTCTCTCTAAGGGTCCGTCCTTGTGAGTCATTTTTTGGGTCAACCTAATTTCGAATTCATTGCCTCGCCGAACTCAAATGACTCCGTCCTCTATAGACATCAGTTTCGTCAGTTGCATCATCTGGTTAACCTACATGCCCATATAACGTATTGAAAATGGCGCCGAAAATGCAGACGGATAACAAAAAAATTGGTAAAAAGGTCACTCTAAATACTACAAGATTCACAAGATAAGGAATTACATTCTCCTAACGTCCAACGCTTAAAAAGAGCTCACGTAATATCTTTTTTTCGCCGTATGCATGTAAGGGAGTCTAAGATAGTCTTGGATTCTGGATTCCACATGCAAACGTATACTTTCCCAGATTCGCCTTACATGGGGCGATTTTTTCTCTCTTTTTTCCACGAAAATGGTTTGTTTCAGCCCGTTGCGCCAAAGAAAACGAGAACTGGACAAACCCTAGTTCTTCCCACTATTCAGCCACGCATTCAAAGTTTGGTCCATAATCCTTTTGGTTTTAAAGCAGAGCAAACTGTATGAATTTAAAGTAGCCCATTCATAGTTGAATGTTTGTAAATTGCTATTTGCCAATTGAGAAGGATTGTAGTGTTGGTCATCAAATCTGGGGTTGAATACACGAGGGTTCTATCTATACTTTCTTTCTCCCCGTACCCCCCCCCCCCCCTCCTCCTTTTTCCCGTTTAACCTCGGCTCAGCTCAGATGAGGCCGTATCTCTTTCTATTGGAACCACCCCTGAAACGAAAAAGACACCAAAAATAACCGCCTGCTACTGTCAGGGCAAGGCGACTGGCCCCATGATCATGGAACTGGAGAATTCTTGGTTTTCACGTGATTATGAGTCTGTAAGTTTCCATTACAGGGAAACGATTTGCAAAGCACGCCGCTTAAGGTCCTTAAGCCACAGTAAAACGGGCAACAGAACACGTGGAACAAGTACATCTTTTGCAATGTGGCTGCGATGTAGCGATATAGCGATGTTGCGCGTTTTAGCCCCCATAACAAACGTGTCTTGCAACAAATAAGGTTGCAAGGTTTTTTTGCGTGGGTGGTAAAACACGCAACATTGCTATTCAACTCGTTATGCAGTAATGTTGCAAAATAAGTTACATTTTTTTTTGCCCATTTTACCGCACCTTACAGAGGCAAGCGACGGTGTTGAATTGACTGTTCCGGTTTTTTTTTTTTTCAGTTGGACTATACCAGAGCAAGTTACTAGTAGCTATAACAGCGTCGTAAGTTTTTTCCGCATCCATTCAGAAAATTCAGCCAGGGTTTGAAACTTCATGAAAATCAGCGTGCTTGTGTCACAATAATATATGACAGGCTAGAGGAAAACAATGACATGAAATGATGGCAGTCCTCTCTCACCTCATGTGAGACAAGATGAAAATTATACGATTCATCGACCGGTAAAGGCGTTATTCAACCCCTTGTAAAATAATACGATTTGCTTTGTCCTCGCTATGTCACACAGGAAAAGGAAGAGAACCTTTCTGGAAATGTAGTATCATTTGTACTCTTCCGTATTAAAGGGTGCATGATATAAAACCAAGCGAACGTCACAAAAATAAGGTTATGCTGTGTGCAGTGGCCCACCAAATCCCAAGACTAACGTAATAATTATCCGTACAAAACAGCGTAGCAACTTCGGACAAATAAAAAACAACAGGTTGCAAGGCGTTTTTTTGTACATATTTATTGGAATAATCGTGAATTAACGCTTTTGTTTGGTGTTAAGCCCTTTGAAAAGGCTATTTCCAGCTTTGTGAAAAGTGTTTCTCCTCGAAAGAGCTTAATAAATTAGAGTTCATTTTTAAAGGTATAGACCAGTGGTTGGAACTGGCGAACTGAATTTTGTGGTTTCTCCTCCGGCTTATGAATCAATTGGTGCCACATCACTTTCAGACGATAGCAGGTTTGTTCGTTTCACACAATGCATTGACAATGTCAATTCTGTAAGAGTTTAATCCTCAGTACTTAGTCTCTATAACTGCAGAGGTATTATAACGTTAAGACGACATTGACATGTCGACTGAAGTTCGCGGCAAAACTTAAATATCCCACGATCAGATTGAGTTGTTGTTCCGGCTGTTTAATTTTTTCATGACACGATCTCGGCTGTTTGTGACCATCAACGCGTATATGCAGGTGCAGCACCGAGCAAATCCCATCAATTTTGTGTTTCGTACATCACCCAGGTTACACTGAAACTTTTCGTGAACCGCACTTTGTTGGTGGGCCAAATTTCTCGCGCTTTAAGATCTTCATTTTTCATTTTTTGCTGCGGATGAACACCATTCGGATCATTTTTTTAACCTTTGAGCTGAGATCGTGAGACAGTGTGATCACCGAGTTTTGATCCTTGAACGGTATGGTAAGATGACACGATTCGTGCCCATTTTCTCATGTGACATTCGCGGAAATTGTAGGTCGTCTGACACTTTTTAGAGACAACGAAACCTTTGAGAACTGCTGCGGTTTGGAAGAAATGGCTAAAATCGCATCGGAGCGGGAAAATTAACACACAGGAAGCAAGAGAACAAAAAGTAAAACAAGGTGAGGCGTATTTTATTGATAATTGCTACGTGTATTTATCTTTTTGAATCTACAGTAGAGCCCCGGTATAAACTCAAACTCTGAAGGGTAGCGACAACCAGTTCGAGTTAGTGGAAGCTTGAGTTATGGGGGTCTATCGAATGTTTACTTAGCCAAAATAACTGATAGTTTACTGTTTTCAGCAGTTCAGTATACAATACTTTACAAATTAATCTTGTCTCGCCAGGAACTGCACAATGACACAATTATGCATTCTTATTCTGATGATCCGGTATTGCTCATAAGATTGGGAAATGACTGTCAAATCTTCGCACTGATTAAAATCAAATTACGATAGTGTAACTTTTAGACTTTTACACGACAAGAAGAGCTAATGGAATGGCATCCGTAGTGAGTTGCTAGGACCAGAAGTCAAGTTATCGGGGCAAATTCTATCAATGAAGGAAAACGAAATTAGTTCGAGTTGGCGAGGAATTCGAGTTATGCCAGTTATCCGAGTTCGAGTATGACTGACAGCCGTGACAAGTGGGGTCAAATTTAGAAGAAATGGGACTTTATTAATTCGAGTAGCCGTATTAAACTTTCGGAATTCTACGGGTCGTAAGTCATCATGGCAACAATTTGTTATTTTTGTTCGCCACGACAACATGATATGCGCCAGTAAATGTTTACGTATTATGGTATAACGAGTTTTGCATGACCCTCTGGAAAAGTCATTTCACATGGACACCCCTACCCTTCAAAAAATTTACTCTTTACCCCTCCCCCTTCGGAAATTCCATTGACTACCCGTAGGGCAGGTATGGATTTTTTATAGACCAAAGTTTGATTTTATTCTTAGACCAAGAGTGACTTAGTTTAGAACAGGCATAGACGCACAATAAATAAACTAGTGGTTCCTAAAAGGAGGTTAAGTGCTGTGAGAAGAAGCTTAAGTAACAAGCGACTTATTTCTCGATAACGAAAAATGGGCTGGAAAAACAGAGAACGTGTTTGGAAACAGCGTCCATTTCGCATAGCCTGTTCCAGGCGTTCCCTTTCTTTACTTCGCACCGCTCTCCACTATCTGAACGCTTGGAACAGGCTAATTTCGCATGATGTAAACATTATACCACAGGTTACCCAGGCTCACTGTTTGTGTCACGTACGGGTTTCTATAGATCATGATAGATAACATATGGGGCGAAGTTTAGGTCTGGAAATTTGCTAGAAAATGGAAATAAAAATCGATGAAATTTACCGTGTTGCGAGTTGTTGTTGTCGTTAATATGCACACGAAGTTTCGAGAAAAATAGTCTGCTTCATCTTTCCTACATACCATGTAGGAAGCAGACTATTTTTCTCCAGGATTTTAAACTTCGGGTGCATATTAACGTCAACAACAACTCGCTACATGATAAGTTTCATCGATTTTTATTTCCATTTTCTAGCACATTTCCAGACCTAAACTTCGCCCAATATGTTCTCTATATTTACTCATGTTATGAAACCAGTACGTGACTAGCCCGCGTGCCAGTGAGCCTGGGTTACCTGTGATTATACGTGTAAGGGCGTTTGTGTTCGTGCATATGGTCATTAGGTGATCTATAAATCACAAATTCTTGTACATCCTACAAGACAAGCATTTAGTATCAATATAGGTGTTAAAATACTGTAGACGAAATAAGAGTGCAAACAATGATAGCAACCTTCGATGAAATTTTTGCCTGTGCATGCACCGACAAAATGACTCGACTAATTTCGTAACAATATATTATGAAGGCGCATTTCTGCGACTCTTTGTAGTGACAGAACAGTAAAGTATAAACAGGAAAAATACTTGACGAATGCGATCAGATGAGCAAAGAAAGGAGGTCCTTCATCTTGTCTTACGTCATAGTTATTTCAAGGCCATGTCGCTATTCGGAGTTTTACCGTAACAGCTGGGCCTCAGAAAGTGTCTAGAAGCGCCACTCCACGGTAAACATCATGTTTTTAGCATATTTAGTGTTCTATGTCACCATGAAACCGATCGAAAAGAACCAAATGTAATGACTAAGCACTTAGACAAAGACGAATAACATAGGACACATAGTGCCCCTCTTGTTCATAACTGTGTCTCGGTTCTGTTTGGTTCGATTTGTATCAAACTTGTTTCGATGTCAATATATGATTTACCGGAGAACATCGTCCCAATCGTTTTATGTAAGTTGCCATTTCTCCCTCCTTTAAAACTCATTGTTTTTCCAGTCAATGCCGTTTGTATATGCCCCGATTCTTCAACCGCTGAAAAATGCTCAACCCGTCAGCAACTCCAGTTATTGACAAAGAAGCTACTAAAATAAGACTAAGCATACACTAGAACGCCATTCCAAATACTCGACAAATAACTGCTCTACGAAGCGAGTCGAGTAAAGGTCATGAAAGAAAGAAAGAGTCAAGAAAGGGTCTTGGTAACATTTGTAACACATTTTCATGCATGAGCTCATACTAGGCCTGTATACCAGTGGAGAAGGGTGATCTAACATCTTCATGTGTATCCCATTAGCTATAGTCGGCTTACCACCTAATCGGCCATGAATTTCTTAGATATTTAACAGTATCCTCTAATTAGTAAGGTGTGTATGTCCCAAGTTTGAATTTCAAAACCTTTTTTTTCGTGCGTTGAGGAGGAAGCCATATCCCTATATTTCACTAATGTGCTTGTCTTCATCACCGTTGCATGACCTTGCATGTTAAACACATCTTTGTGTTGTTTGTCACTACCTCATCTGAGCGCTTTATGTCGCTGTTTCGAAAGCCACATCCCTCGTCGGAATTCTACGTGAACAGAGCTTCAATAAGAGTTGTTATCTTTACATATTTTTCACATACATGAAGTTTACCCTGTATACTTTTTCTTCCAGATTTTTAGCTGAATTGTGATCCAAGATGTTTTCAGCTCTACCATTTGCACGTCAACTTTTTACTTCCTTGTCCGATGCCCTAACAGGAAGAAATGAGGTATCAGAATTTGCTTTTTCCTTCTGAGTGTTGAGACATACATTTGTGTTTTCTGCTCTCTCGCAAATTCTAGCTCTGGCTATCATGGCACGTGGTCAAGTCCAAATATGGAAAACTTATGCCAAGAGTTATGCAAAGTCCTCGCCATGAAGAAGGGTTAAAGCTAAAACTCCAGAGACTCTTGCACAAGGGTTTTATTACCATTCATACGCTTATTTTATTATATCCAGCTCTTATCCATTTATTTCCGTAGTTTAAATATTCCTTTTGCTCAATAACATGTAATGACGGACACAAACTAAAGCGTAAATTAAAGAGACATGATTTTATACCATCCGAAATGACAACTCTCCCTTAGAAATTATCCACTAGACTCTTACTTCCCCTTGTTGCACTTTGTCTCGTTGATTCTTATATTTTTATGATTTGTCAAGGTTTTGGCTGTGCTCTGCCATAATCTATGCATTTTTGTCATTCTTTAATTTTGTGATATTTCTTTGACGCAATTCAGTTGAATATTACTTTGTCCTCCTGTTAATTTGTTTTGTTGTTTTCTTGTAGATTGTGAAAATCTTAGAAACCTTTGACATATCCCATGAATCCCTTGAGGAAATTGTCAACCTTCTCGTTAGTGACTTTACTAAAGGCCTCTCAGCCGATGAACGAGTACGAGCAGATAGCCCAGTAAAAATGCTTCCAACCTATGTTCGAGCAATACCAGATGGAACAGAAGAGGGATCCTTTTTGGCTGTGGACTTAGGAGGTAGCAACTTCCGGGTGCTTTCGATCTCCGTTTACAAAGGCGAGGTTGAAAAGAAAAGCGACATTTACCCACTAGAAAAAGCGTTGATGACAAGTGATGCTATAACGCTTTTTGATTACATCGCTGATTGCATCGCGCTGTTTGTCAAGAAAAATAGAATCATTGCTAATAATCTGCCACTGGGGTTCACATTTTCATTTCCAGTTCAGCAACTATCCTTGACGTCTGGTTTACTGATTAAGTGGACCAAAGGCTTTTCTGCCATTGGTGTAGAGAATAAAGATGTTGTCAGACTTCTCAAAGAAGCGATAGATAGAAAAGGATTGGTGAGTTTTGGGTTTTATTTGTAGTTTCCCAAATCTATAAGTATTCAATTCAACAACTAAGATGTAGTTCGAAAGCTTGCTGTTTTCACGGTCACAGTCAGAAATTTAAGACGACCTCTGCACGTAATTTTGTCTACACTGTGCCTTGGTTATCCCCTATGAGCTAGAGTTCTTATTCATTTTAAAAGTTTTGTTCTGAGGGGAATAAAATTGCACCAGGTCAGGACATTACATGTCAAAATGCTTGTTATTTAAATTTACCCTGCTTTTCTAAACATCCGGTTTCTCTGGCTTTCTTGGAACAGTCAAACCTCAGTGCATGATCACCTTTACTTACTGGGTCCTACACGGCCTCGTTCCCTTTCACCCACGGTGATTTCGGATTTGACGTCACCTTTCAAGCTTGCTACTCGGATAGCGCGAATTAATTTTCCTAGGACGAGGCTAGGTCTCACAAGATAAAACTGTGTTACTCTGGCTACAAGCCCACTTGAATGTTTCTTTATTGAGACTTCTGCATAATAGCCACCTTTGTATACTACATTGAGATTACGCTGTTTGCACTAAAAAATGCACCAAAGGCTGAATTGCCAATTTTTGCTTCAAAAAGGCCCAGGCAAAAATCCTATCCTGGAAAAACAACCTCCATCGTTTTGCCTTAATGGTAGCCCTTGTAAGGTTTGTGTTCCAGCCTCCGCTGCAAGCAAGTCAGCGCAACATGAAAATTACCGTTTTTTTTCAGAGTGGAAGTGTGGGTCTTGTGGCACTTGTCAATGATACAACAGGAACAATGATGTCGTGCGCACTCAGCAATCCATATGTCAGTGCTGGACTGATTCTCGGAACTGGAACAAATGCGTGCTATATGGAGAGCCTTAATAATGTACCAAAATGGACTGGCGATTGTAACGATCCACGAGAAGTTATTATCAACACTGAGTGGGGTGCATTTGGAGATAATGGTTCTTGGAATCATCTAAGAACAGCCTTTGATGAAAAAGTGGACAAAGAGTCCATTAACCCTGGAATGCAGATGCAAGTTTGTTTTTACTTGTGTTGTAGTCTCAGCTGTAATCTATTCAGTGACCATTCCCACCTCGAGTAGAAGTGCTAATTGGGACTAACCAATATTATCAAGTGTATATGTTGTAGGTCAAATTTGATTTTGAGGTTAATTATGATACGGTGTAGGTGGATTCTCATCTTCCTTTCGACTCCTAGCCCTAAAAGACAAAGGAAATTGAGAAGCAACCTGGGGGAAACGTTTTTAAACCTGAAATCAAATTTAACCGGTAACATGTACATTATAAAACAAGTAACGTTTAGCACCTACTAAGTTTCCTCCACAGTCGGACAAGCAAACACGTGGGTGGCCCACAAGCTCACGAAATGACGGAAAGCCATCAAAAAGGCATCAGCTGTTCTGTCATTAACAAGTTCTGTTCTTGCTGTCATGCAGGCGAATTTTACAACTTGAGCCTCTTTCAGAGTCTTCCTATTGAGCGTGATATGTAAGGGTCCGAACATGTTAATGGTGGTGTCGGAAGAGGGAGGACCCTGCCGCCACTCGTAAAGACGAAATCTGCTCCATTAGCTGGTCCAGCGGTTTCTTGCGAAGCTTCCTGCACGTGATATACGTCATCGGCGTTAATGTATTCCACTGCAAATTAATGAGATTCCACCGCAAAAAACGGACGATTTCATCCCTCCTGTACTACTTTCTTCGCAGACACAATAACTTTTGCGGCGTTATTATTTTTTCTTAGCGGCATAAACAGGCAGTGTATTTGGGTAAAATATTTTGAACTCAATTCGATTGCATGACCGAAAATTACCTCAAAAATGGTGAACTAAACTGTTCTACTCCATAAAGATTTGAAATCCTGACTTTTTACATGGCATATTTTTCTTATATTTTCTGTTCTGCATTACGTCATAAAAGTTACCTTTCGTTTCTTCGCGAGGTTGCTCGTTGGCAATTAATGTAATTTATTAATTTGTAAAATAACAACCCTTATATTATTGCAATAACTGTTGAAATGCACAGCATTTTACAAAGTTAAGACGTGCATCAGGGTGCATCATCAGTAAGATATCATTCAGGATTAGTCATGTTAACTCCTAGGTCTTGTTCAATACCGGATAGCTTTTACGCCGGCTTGAAAAAAATCCTGGATAGGGCTTCTGTTCCCTAATACGGGGCGGTGATTGTCACAAATTATGTGTGATAAACCATGCAGTTCTGTTTAGCTTTAATTCTTCACTCCATTCAAAGTATATTTCTTCACATGTTCATATTTTAGAATTCTGTACTCTGTTCTACACTTAAAGGATTCATCGACATCAATTCGTGTAAAAATTCGATGATCTACACTTCATCTACACACTAGACTAGCTCCACGACTCCGAACGACTACACAGTTCCTAGACTCTTGTGCAAAGCTGAGTTTCCAGAACACGTGACGAGTTTTCCCACCACAATGACGCAATACTTTCCTAACAGTGATTTTGGCGCGATTTCTGAGACGAAGCAAAGCTGCCCCGCGCCGCTCTCTAAAGTGGAGAGTCAAATAATTGGATAGGTGTTCATACTCATACCGGAATTTGCTTTTCGTATCGATTATGCCCATACGAAAAGTTATCTGGAAAAGTATGAATATAGCCTTAGCTTGAGACTGAGACTAGTATTACCTGTCCATGGCCAGTCCATCTTATCACTCATGATTTCTCTTTCAGTGTAGCTCTTCCCCTGAGGAAGGCTAATTTTTTTAGCCATAATATTGACCTCCAATAAATCAGCCCTTTGCCGTATTGTCATCCTTGCATTCAATTCAGTTTTTTTAATTCCCATGATTTTTGTTACTCTATTCAGATTTGAGAAGATGATTTCTGGGATGTACCTAGGTGAAATCGCCAGACTTGTTTGTATGGAGCTTATTCAGAAGAAACTCCTTTTCAATGGCCAGGCTGGGAGGTTTAGTAAAAAAGACAGCTTTCACACCAAGTTTATTTCCGATATTGAAAGGTAGGGTGAAGAAAAGAAATATAAGTATTCTGTTTGTTATTAAAATAACCTTCTGATATCAATACACCTCGGTGGAGAGCCATGACCGATACGTACACATTTTTTACGGGCTCCTGCATTTTTTTACTCGTTTTTGACAACAGTTTTACAAATTTGGCACCCCTACGGGTAGCGTAAGCTTTTCTAGGTCAGTCATATCCTATAATAATAATAATGATAATGATAAATATAACAATAATGATAATGATAACGATGATGATGATGACGATGATGATAGATGACAAACACGTTTACAAAGGACTAGCCAAAGTGAACAATGTCATTAAATAATGTCATTTCTTTGGAATAAAATGTAATATTGTCTCTCAAAAACCAACTGATCAACACCTTTGTGTGTGAAGCCTGGACAAAGTAGCAGGAAGAGGCGATAAGAGTTAAACCTCCCTAATTAATTTTGAAAATACATGAGTATAACTAGCCTGTGTACAGCCGCCCCTCCCCTCCTTTCCGATTTTTTTGAGGGGAGGGGCGGCTGTACACAGGCTAGAGTATAACTTGCTTAATTGAATTCCACGATCTTGTAGATTTCATTTAATCTTTATGAGATCGTGTAAATCCCACGAAATAGGCATGTTTTAAATCATATTATAGATCCCGCTATGTGTGAATATGTAACATTTGGATAAAAGAGTTAACAGCTTCCAGAAAACAGATCTTGTCTGTTTAATATGTAACCTTTCACTAAAGGTGTTCAGTTTCTACAGAAAAAAAGGTGCTGGTGGAGTCATTAACAGAATAATATATCATTTGTGGTAGCAGTACTAGCGAGCTTGAGCCCCCTAGACGGTGACAGCAGAAATTCATAATGAGAAAATAAAAATAAATAGTTAAATACGTAAACCAATGACTCAAAACAAGCATCACACTTTTTGGTAGATTTCTTTGCTGTCATCGCATGACTATAGACCTTGCCAGCCAATGCTCGTTCTTTGAAGATTGTCGTTTCATCAATAGCTATTAAATTCGTCATGTTTTTTGTTTGTTTACCCACGGAGCACTTAGCAGTTGCACTCAAACATGTCCGTGCTTTCCAAGCTGTTCCAGATCGAACTGGAACTTGGAAGTGTTCGTTTTTAAGGAGAGGGGAAAAGTCCGGAGTACCTTGAGAAAACCCTCTCGGAGCAAGGGAGAGGACCAACAACAAACTCAACCCACATGGTTCTCATTTGTGAATTTTTTTAACAGCCATGACGGATACAAGATTGATCAGGTCATGAATGAAATGGGAGTGAATGCATCTGAGTCTGATATTGAGATATTAAAACAAGTTTGTGCCGCTGTTTCTATCAGAGCTGCCAGGCTAGCTGCTGCAGGAATTGCTGCAATTATCAAGGTATGTTAGTCCACCAATATAATTAAAGGACCAAAATAACGTGTGCTGCCATTACTTTTTGTCAAATTAAGTCAGCGAGGAGAAAGACACAGCTACGATAGACCCTTGAACGGTTTATTCAACTTTTGACATGCCCTAGGTAGGTAAAATTCGTCAATACCACTAGACAAAGAGGGCCTTAAAATTACTAAACTTGCAAGGTTTGGAAGTGATACGTCCTAAATGAGCGAAGATATACCATCGCAAAATTGCGAAAATTTACTGACTCTCGTCTGAGGCATAGCCAGTCCATAGACTTGTACGCCAAGGCCTACAAATTTTTGGTTTGATCAGTCTACCTCTTCTCATAAATTATGTGTTGTTGGGGAGAGCTTATTGAGCTCTTACAAGAGCTCAAAGTGTTGGTGAGGTCAGTGCGTACTAGACATGCGTGCAATTTTCAGGATATGTGGAAATGAAAGGCAGCCAGGCCTACAAATAATCGACAAGCTGGCTACGCTCCTGTTCGGTGTATGGTGGGGGACAAGTTTATCCCCCCACCATATGACAAACGTCTGTAAAACGCCGCGACTTTGAGGAGCTATATTTCCGTTAGTTTTCAACAAATTACCTTCAAACTTAACAAGGGTTCTAATTTAAAGGTGCTCTTTCCAGCGGTGTCGACAGATTTTCCCTAACATGTCCATGTCAAAGGCTGAAAAACAAAAACACCGTGGAATGGTCTGTTAGAAGCTAAATGTTATCAACTAATTATCTTTCATTTTGTGACAAACCTGAGTGCTTGGTTTGATTCGCAGCTTAACATGCATAACCTCTATAACAAAATAAATAAAATTTATAAAAAATTTGCTCACGGTTTATTTTGATTTGTTTTGCTCCTTTTTTTTCATTCTATTACATTTATGTATTCTGTTACAAATACGTAGCAAAAAAGTGAATTTTTGATTAATTTACAACTGCTAATACATTGATGTCAGGGATGCAATGCAAGAGAAAAATATGTTGTAACTTTTTCTTCGCTTTGTTACAGTGTCTATCAAATAATAATTAATGAAGAAGTTCTTTCTTTGGTCCAAAACACACGAAAGCTGTCAAATAAGGTTCATTAAATTTAGTTTTTAACCCAGTGTTTTAATTTTCAAAAACAGAAAACAAAGAACTATACCACTACTATTGGTGTTGATGGCAGCTTGTTTAAGAAGCACCCAAAGTTCAAGCGATATATGGACGAAACCCTAAAAGATATTTTACCAGAAGGCAATGTTTCTCTTGTACTGTCTGAGGATGGTTCTGGAAAAGGGGCAGCACTTGTTGCTGCTGTTGCATCCAAACATAAACCTGATTATACGCAATGAAAACTGTGTGGTCACAATGTGAATATCACGGAGAAAGATGTAGATTGATATCAGCTGAATTACTCTTGATGAGCACATTGTAAATTATACGAAAAACTCACGCTATCACTGATGGCTCTTTTTTTGGTCCTGAATAGAGCCATTTTCGTATGACCTTGAAATGAAAACTCGCCAACAAAACAGAAACAACAAACGAACGGAAATGGAGCGATTTGATTGGTTAATCGAATGGATACAAACGCGCGTGGCTTTTCGCTGGTTAAGCGAACGCTCGGGTGAAAAAACTTCATACCCAAGAACTTTCTAGAAATCAATCGATACTTCGCTTTGACGTCATACTGCAACACGATTGGCCAATCGAACAATGCCTTCTCCATATTAGGGTTTTCTTTGGCGGGAAAAGGAAGAGGCCATGTTTTGACCTTTTTATCCATTGGCTGATAAAACCAATAACGAACACTTACCGGAACCATTTTTCGAGGTCATACGAAAAACGCTCTGACAACTTAGTACAATATAGACATCTCTAAGTTTCTATGTTGAGTGTGTTTTGTAGATATTTTTTTCATTACTCTAGTTTGGTTCATTTAAGCAATCTGAATTAACCAGAATGAAAAACAGTATATAATAATATTTCAATAATACTAGATTATAACCACAGGTCACGGAGTACGGTGACGACAATCCAAGGTCAATCCAGCTCTTGCTCCAACTCAAGCAAGTTTTCAGAAACTTTTAGAATCAAATGAATGGTACTAAAAGGAAAACATTTTCATCTTTGCAAGGGGTTGAGAACAAAACTTGAGCCATGCCTTAACATGTTTGAGAACGCTGTGGTTTGCGTAAGTTTGATAGATGATAAATAGAAAACACAGTTAAACAGATTATGAGTGATGGAGTGTCCAAACTGCGTTTTGTGCATTCCGTTTATTTTAAGTGGAAGTTTAAACGAAGCTAGCTATAACAAACGTGCCTTGCATGCGTCAAAGAAACCTAGCGATTAGGAATGCCAGGGGCACCCAACGACAATTTTCGGAAAATATCTGTTCGGAAGACGATTTGAGATCTAGCATTTTCGGAACATTTGTTGTAAAATTTCTTGCTTGCCTGCTCCTCCTAGGATTTTCGAACCTCTAAAAAAGGGTATAATTGCCCATTTTTAACAGATTTTTACCCTAAAAAGGTCACCTAGAACTTTCGGGAGGCTTTTTTCTGGCTGGAATGATCGAAAAGGTAAGTTTTGATCCCTATAATTTTCGGATCACTAGACTTTCAGCTGAGAAATCCGAACAGATGAAAAATTTTTAGGGGATAAAAATATGCCTATGTCTACCATTTAAATACTAAAATATGCTTATAACAATGCTATGTTCAAGTGGTTTTGAACAATATTGTCGTTGGGTGCCCCTGGAATGCAGGCACCTCTTGTCGCCTGCAATTAGATTTCACACAGTCCCCCCCTCAGGATTGTCAATTGGGAGCTTAAGCAACGACGACGGCGACGTTAACGAGAACGGCAAAAAAGCAATTGGTTTAGATTGCCGAAACAACAACTTTGCACGTGCATCACGCTTTTTTGTACATTTCTTTACATTTTCTGCTATGCCTAATTTCACGTTCTGCAGTGGAGGACGTGGACACTCGACTACGACTTTCTTTTTCTTTTCCTGAACCTCGATAAAGTTTTTTAGAATTCAAATCCAGAAAAATTTGGCAACATTTTAATTGAACGAAATGGAATATGCGCGATAAACTTTGAAGCAGTGCGACTTTGCTTTTTAAGTGACGTTTTCGTAGCCGTCACAGTATTTGTTCAGTACTTGTTGCTTGAGCTCCAATTTCATGACAGAGCTCCTTTAAGGAAATAAGGAGAGTTTGCTCTCTCTCTCTCTTCAGTCCTGCCAAGGCTTGATACACTAGACTGACTGAACAGGGTTTGCATTGCACCCCTCGAGAGAACAACAACGACAACAGAAGAAAACAACAACACCTACTAAATTTATCAACAGGGGCTATATTACAGTAGATTTAATACATTAAGAGATCTACAATTCATGGGCGGATTTAGAGGTCGGCCAGGGGGACTGCAGCTTTTCTGTGAAATTTTGTATTCTTTCAAAAAGAATTTCGGGTAAAATAAATAGAATCTTTACAGCTTATAGGTGTCCCGGACACCCCTTTCTGAATTTTCTGGATCCGCCCCTGTAATTCCTAATCTAAATTATATTCTGTTAATAGAAATATGTATTGATATCAAGGCTAGCCAGTGTTTTCTTGACGTCAGCAAAGTTACTAATTCTCATAGAGTTCGGCAGTAAGTTCCATTGTTTGCCAGCATGTTAAGAAAAGAATGGAAGCTGTAATTTGTAGATTAAGGTAAAGGAAGCTAGAATTATATTATTATAGCGGCTGCATAAATTATATAGGATTGAATAAATAGACTGAACATATTCTTCATGTAGATGGAATACTTACATTAGTAAAAAATAAACTTTTGATGAATAAAATTAACGTATTATGCATACATCCTTGTATCAAGTGTTATAACTAGGTTCCAAGTCATCTAATATAAATCTAAGAATCCTTTTGTAGGAGAATTTAAAAACCACTGGCTGATGCCACAAAGACGCCACAAATTCTCCAAAGGAAACAGTTTCTGTAACTGATCTTTTGAAATTTGAGCACATTAAGAGTTGTACACTGAGTAAAATTTACCTTCCCTAATTCCAAATTAATTGAAGTGTGAATTATTGAATGTCATATTGACCTCAACTTCTTATCGAATGGATCCAGCACTCCAATATTTTTTGAAGTGACTGAATTGTTTTGACAAAAACTCATTATCCTTTGTCTTTGTTATCTGTTTTAAGGGCTGTCCAGAGTGTTTGGAGTATTTTCTGCAGCCAGATTTAAATCTGCGAGTCATTTTTCATTCTTTATCACATTAAACGTCTTTTTATTGATGTATGAAAGCTTGCTCTGTTAGTGGAATGTCAGTTACTAAGGCATACACTGTAACTCAGAAATCTATAGCAACCCCTCCCCTTCCTCCACCTCTTGTTATCAACCCCACCCCACATTCCCTTCCCTTAACTGCAACCTCCCCTCCCCTCCCCTCCCCTCCCACCCCACCCCTCCCCTTTTGCTACTCTCATGATTATGTTAAATTTTGTAAATCTTCTGTGCACTTCACTTAAAAAAGGAGCAGCTAAATTTTCACTAGGGCATTGATAACTTTCTTACAGTAACAATAATTTACTGTGTAACTATTGATGAAATTTGAAGTCAAATGTGCCAGACTATTGTCACAAAATAATATATCTTAATTTCCTTAACAATTTGAAAGCTACAGCTGTATATCATTAGTATTATTAAAATCCTGAATGCAAGGTAAGCTGAGGTAAGGTACCGGTAATCATATTTTACATCAATACCTAATGACAGTTGATATTCAACTGATGAACTTGAGTGCGAATACGCTCTGCTCAACATTTTTTATCAGTTAGAGCTGCAACATTATTTTTATTTTGTTGATCAACAAAATTAATGTTGAATTCATGTGTGCCATTGGTCTACCAGGTCCAGAGCAAATTAATAAAACCAAAACTGTCTTAAATTTTAAGAAAAGAAAAAAAAGACAATATGGGTAACAAGAGCATATAGCACATTTGACTAAATATAAGAGGAAAAAAAATGGGCTTTTAAGGCGTAAGAATAACTTTCATCCTCCAAATATTGGAAGCCGCTTTTTCAAAATGTAAAGAACAGTGGAAAAGAACAGTACAAGTCCAAAGAAAATAAGTAAGCGATCTGTGATTTCTCTTCTGTTGTATTTGTTCAGCAGGTTTTTGCTGGTCTGAATTATACCTGATAATCCCTTGTATTCATCTTGTGTATCTTTTATCTGCGCAGATGAGGAAGCTAGAAATCAGACATAACAAAAAATGTTACTCCACTTCCAAGCCTGACTCCTCAAAGAAGGTTTTAAAAGTTAAAACTTTTACTCAGGAATAAGGAAAATGTTAGATAAAAATTTTTCTATCTAGGAATGTGCAGTTGACTCCCAATAGAACTCGAACCCTCGCTAACTTGAACATCACGCTAATTTGAGCCAACATCATTTTCCCCTGGATTTTTGTTGTTAATTTAACTCCTTTTTCAAAATATCAAAAATATCTCTTCAGGGGCGGATCCAGGATTTTTTTTAGGAGGGGGTGCACTCGTCTCTTGCTCTAGTTTTTTTTTTGGCAGAATACCAGTTGTATTAGAAAACCGCAGGTCATCTCAGGGGGGGGTGCACACCCCCTGCACCCTCCCCCTAGATCCGACCCTGCTCTTGCTCTCTTTAATGAAGTGATTTGTGCATGATACTTGTATTCCTTTCCTATCCCATTTGTTTATTTTCAGTCATTTTCCTCAAACTCCTGATAACTTGAACTCTCAATAAACTAGAATTTTTTTCGATTTCCCTTGAAGGTTTGAGTTACCAGGAGTTGACTGTACGTAACCGCCAATACAAAAAGCCTGGTCTTGCTCAAGAAACAATGTTAACACTCGTTAAATGCTCACTAAAACTCCAAAGTCTACAAGACACTTTGTTTCAAAATCATGCAGAATCCTTGCCATGCAAATGTGCCATTAACTGTAAAGGAAAGACTGGTGTTCCTTGTAGGTGTTGTTCACACCAACAGTTATTTGGCTGTCTGTTTCACAATTCTTCAAGGTGCATTCTCAACTATCAGTTAACTTACACTTGTTTAAGATTAGCCTGTGTAGCTATAAAACAACTGGGCCCAACATTTACCAAAGGAGAATGACTTGTGTTGTATCTTACCTAATGTCTGCATATCTGCTTCACTCTGCTTGACTTGACTCTCCATCATTCTTGCAATGCTCCGTAAATCTTGTGTTATATTGCTTGCAGTCTTGGCTAAGTTCTCCTTGTTAAAATTTCTAAATTAAAAGTAACAGATACCATTACCACAAGCAGTACTGCTACACTAATCTTCAGACTGTTTTGAATATACCCCACCACCCCCCCACCCAAAAAACTGTATAAACCAAGGCACCAAATTTTCACTAAATTTTCCTAACCAAAAGAATCCCAGAATGGAAAATTTTAAACCCCTCAAAATTCCTTTGATCACTCCTGCCTCTCCATATTAACTCCAGAGTACCTGGGGTTACAACAGTGTGAACAGATATTTTCCAGGATCAGCTATTCATCTATAGCTTAAATGCATAATAAAAGCCCTTTCGGCCTTACATGGGGGTCTTAGGTAGGAATTGAATTCCCATGCTGTTGTGAACAAGCAGTGCTGACAACAAGATATTAATTATTTTTATAAATTTTTTTGGAATAAGGCTATCCTCTTTTTTTTCTCTGTTTAGCATTGTCCGACCGACCCAAATTTTTAACACTTTCAAAAAAAAAAAGTAATGACGTACTTAAACCATTTTTCACTTGGAATAATTCTTTTTATCTGTCTGAAAAATGATCATAGTAACAACATAGAGAAAAACAGGAATATTTTTTACTGTAAATGGTACATTTTGTTAATCCAATTATGTGAATGTTAACTTTTAATCGTCCCAGGGTACCGGGCCTCCTATTCCCAGACTTCTTGTGATTTTTTTTTTCAATCCAACCAACCGACCCAATATCAGGAAATGCATTCGATGCTACACAAAAAAAGGGGGGATGGCCTAATAGCTATTTATAGCCATTGGCATCATCAATAATTGCCAATTATATTAGAAATCCCCTTTTTTCTTAACCAACCTTTGTCTCATATTGGAGCTAGACTGTCGACCCAGCAACTCTTCCTTTTCACTTTTGTCAATAATGGCCTTTGAATCCAGATTGGCTTTCCTGATTGATGTTTGTAGACTGGAAAGAATTATGAAAAAAAGACAAATTAAAATAAATAAATGAGTAAGTAAGTAAAAACAAGAACAATAGTACAGTATCACTGCTCTGGTTACTACAAATCATTAAAATCAAATTACGGTTAACTGATATTTTTTAACCAAGGTTGATTCTCTGCTTCCTTTGTCTCCTAAGCCCTAATAATATTATTATTCATGAATTAGGGCTAGAAGACAAAGAAAATTGAGAATCAACCTTGGTTGAAAAATTTTAACCTGAATTTAATTTTGACATGTAACATACATGTATATAATTATATGCACTCAGTAGAGTCATTCCTAGTTCTCTTGGTATACTACGAATGCTGGTAAATGAAATTTGCTAATATCAATGTAGAAAAAAGAATTCAATATACTTTGACAACTCCTTTCTATGATGTTGCATCACTGCTAGAATTGCCAGGCGGTCAGATTCTTTATCTTGCTCAAAGGCCACTTGCTCTAAACACTAAAAGAAATTAATACAATATTTTGTCTTTGGCTTTTTGTGCTCATGATACTTTTCTCAGAGAGAAACTTGTGTTCGTAATAGTTTCCACATTTCTCTTTTCCATGTTTGCTGAGTAGTTATTTCTCAGCAAACATGAAAGTCGATCTCCGTGGATGTGTTTTCTCAGCTGTACTATCTGACTAATGCCAAAAAAAAACAATGGCGGACTTCCATTATAATCGTTAAAATCATGAAAAGTCAATAATATTGATTTAACACAGCAATTTAGTTTGTCAAGTTTGACTGATTTCCAATATCAATTGATAAAAATCACTTGATGGATACCCATTTTTATCGATCGACTACTCCGGGTAAAGAGAGCCAAAAAAAAAAAAGTTCATCAGAAAAATCTCAGGTGAAGTCTACCTCCAAGAAACCTGAAAGTTGTCACAGGGTCCTCAATAGAAGCTGGCACCTGGCGATTGATTGCCACCTATCGGTACTTTGCAAGTGCAAGCCGCTTAATTTGCATTCTATTTGCTGGTTTTCCCTCCATAGTTTACAGTCCATCCGTTTGTCACAGCCGCCTACTTAAGGTTGAGCAGACGCCTACTTCAAATCTTATTAAGAACCCTGTGTCACTTTAAGAAACAATATTGAATACAAAGGGTCCTATCCATTAAACAAGAAAATAATAAGAAAATAACTTAGTCCCTGGAACCTTATCATTTAGTTGGATACTTGGAGAATTGTTTGGTAGGTTGGACCATTGGCAGGGATTTTGGAGTTCTTAGCCTATATCAGATTCAGCTGTATTTTGTAAATGCAGTCTAGAAAAGGCATCAAAAATCCCTAATCAGGGTGACTGCAAACTTTTATTCTTCATGCTGCTGATCAGTTTCCCTATACCATATTTAAGACCACAGCCATGGGTAATATTTTAATCATAACTATAACAAAAATGGTTAGCTATCAAGGGTCCTGATTTCAGCATTTATTATATCCATTTTGAAATCAGTGGTGATCCCTGTAATCTGATTGGCCCTCAGCGGTGTGATTTATTAATGAATCACACTATTTTTTACTGTAAATTACAGCTGTTCTAAATCCCGTCATTCGCGCTCTAAATCATGTCATTTCTTTTTTAAATCGCACCATTGAGTTTGTTAATCACTTGTATGATTTCCTACCGAATAGGACTCCACTCAGTCCTATTACCATTATTAATCATAACTATAACAAAATTCTCTAATCTGATTGGCTACCAGCTGTCCTGATTTCAGCATTAGGGAGCTTAAGCAATGACGACGGCAACGTCAACGAGAACGGTAAAAAAGCAGTGGGTTTGGATTGGCAAAACAATGACTCTGCACGTGCTCTCACTGCACGACAACAACGTGAAAATACCTAATTTCACGTTTTGTGGAGGACGTGAACACAAGACAATGACTTTCTTTTTCTTTTCACTGAACTTTAAAACAGTCTTTTAGAATTCAGCTCTAGAAAAAGCAGCCAACATTTGACGCATTGAATGAGGTGGAATAAGCGCGATAAAGTTTGAAGCAGCGCGACTTCACTTTTTAAGTGATGTTTTCGTAGCCGTCACCATTGTTGTTGCTTAAGCTCCCTGTTATAAATAGGACAGTGTATAGGACAGTGTGCATCTTGAAAGTTTTTTTTTTTTCACTGCTCGCAAAAACTTTCAAAGATCATGTGTTTAATTAAAAAAAGGTTAAAATATTGCAAATTTTTCTATAGTTTTTAATTGGCAGTTGTAGAGAACTGTCACCTCAGTCATTCATCCGATTATGAATAACAGTGGTGAAAGTTTTACATAGCTACCAATTAATGATAACTATAGCAAAATTTGAAATATTTACGCTTCTTCTTTTTCTTTTTTTTTTATATATAGAGAACTTCATATTGTCCAATTTTGTCAATAATCAAACTCGATTTTGTTAATAACTCGTACAATTATAGGTCAAGTGGACTCCAGTTAATCCTATTACCAAAGCTATCCGGATCACAGACTAAAATAAACTGCCTCAAAGCGGCAGGCAGGCAACCTGGATCTCAGCGGATTCATCCAATCTTTGTATGAATGAAGAAGCAACAGTCAAGATTTATATAGGTAACTTACAATTTTACAAATAAATACTCATATTGATTGTTAATACATATTAATCCTGTAATCTTCATCATCCCAGGTAACGATTTTACTAATTTATACTAGCTAACAAGCTTAAGGTTCTGAAGAAACTTCCCAGAACTTCTACGTACCTCAACTTTTTGTCTCAGAGAATTCAGCTTTTGTTTCACCTTCAAGTTGATATCATTAAGTAAACTTAATGGTCCATAACATTTCCGTATGTCTTGTATAATGTTTTGAATCTCAAACTCAGTTTTAACCATTTCTTGAACGTGAATCTTCACTTGCACCGGAATGGCGATACCGTCCGCCATTTTGAAAATCTCCGACAGCTAGACCTTATGGGAAAATGACAACTCCATACCCGTGTATAGTGCACAGGGGATGAGTTTTGGGAGAAGTCACGTGCGAAGCGCACGTGGACTCTGGCCTGGCATTTTTTTTTCCGTGTAAGCTGAACCGGACCGAACCAGAAAAACAATAACTTCGCGCTGCTGAATACCGTGAAATTCCGAAAATAAGCCCCGGGGCTTATATTTTTCAAAGGCCCTTTTTGAGGGGCTTATTTTTGGAGGGGTTTATATTCGGAGGGGCAATTTAAGGTTTTTTGCGTTACGAGTTTGTGGGGCTTATATTCGGGAGGGGCATATACATGGAGGGGCTTATTTTCGGAAGTTTACGGTATATGGGCGCCAAAAACAAAAATCAACCCCCGCCCCCCCCCCCAAAAAAAAAAAAAAAAAAAAAAAAAACCGACCAGCTACGCAGGCTAATCTTTGGCCTGCGGAGAGAGGCGAGGGGCCACAACTGGGTTAGTGGAAACCCCAAAGGTTCATTTTTTATTTATTTTTTGATTTTTAAAACCATTTTTAAATTATAATCGACTTTTCGAAGGTGGAATTAAAATAAGTCTGCGTTGCGAAATCGATATGGGTGGTCGCTTGAATCTGACTGATCTTCGGCAATTCTCGGGTTTACTCGGTTGATTTACAAAAATTGTCGACCAATATTCGGCAACCATTCGGCGACCGCCAATTTTGAGCCATGTGTATCGCGAGAACCAATCAGAATGACAGAACCGTTGTTCGACTGCAACGCTTTGAAGATTTAGCCCGCGACGAGAGTGAAGCGCTGCTTTAACCTAAATTTATTGCGTGGATTTTTACTCTGCCGTCTATTTGGATGGCAGCAGTAGAGTCCAAAGATGAAGCCAGTTCGTCGGAACTTTCGGAGAGTCCCCACGCGAAGGATTCGAAAGTTTCAACAAGTCCGAACCAGAGTAACAACTCAGCTTCATGGCTCGTCGGAGATGTAGTGTGGTCGAAAATCCCAGGCCATCCATGGTGGCCTTCGATGGTTTCTTACGACCCAAACACTGCGGTGTCCTTCAAGTATAAGGGAAGAGCTAGATTTTATCATGTGCAGTTTTTTGGACAGGATCCTGTGAGAGGCTGGGTCGCTGAAAGATCGATCTTAAAATTTGAAGGTGAGGGCCATTCTTGCGTGCACTACCGACTAATAGAGAAGAAAGTGATAAGCTCATGTTGGGCGAATACTCGGGTATTAAATCTCGCAAGTTTTATCTATAATTGCGGGATTAACTTTAACACACTGTCCTGCTAGGTGTCGTAATTAAAGGCACAATTTCTTTCTGTGGCATGAGGAATCGGCGGCGATGTAATCACTTGCGCGTTGTGTGTTCAAAAATACATTTTGTCCCGCCATGTTTATCTAAATTTCATTCAAAACAAGTAAGTCGCCAACCGACAACGAAAACGATTGGAAAATATCGCCAAAATGTGTCCAATTTCATTTAAATTTCACTTATCGCGTATTGAATAGCATTACGAAGTTCTCAGGCAGCAGATCCCTGTTTTTGGATCGTAACTTGGTTATGTAAATATGTTGGGTGTACTTGAGTCTTTTCAATATGTTTTGGCGCTTCGCCATGCTAAGATTCACCAGTCTTCAGGCGCATGATCATCAAAAACAGGACAGCTGCTTGGGAAGGAAAAGTCTGAATGTTACCAATGTGCCCTTATGCACGCCGATGATAGAATTTTTTTCGTGAATCTCTTCATTCGACTTAATTTTGTTTTGCTTGAAAGGTGTTTTTTTTTCCAAAAAGCAGCACATTTGTCAAAATTATCATTATTATTCATTCTCGCAGAAAGACACTTTATGTCATGAATATTTGTGTCAGGATTCAGCTGCCTAAGTTGCATTGAATTAAGCTCAGTTTTGGCTTTCTGTCTATATGTTACATTTTTATTAAATTTACCAGGTAATATGACTTTGTCTGATTTTGTTTTAAAAAGTTTTTACAATCTCACAATTTATTATGCCAGCATGTGAAAATCATAGCTCATTATTTCTTGGTATCTTTCCCAATTCTTATTTTATTTTTTACTGCCCGACTATTCCCAAGATTGAAATTGATCATCCTGCACAGAAAATTAAATAGTCTTTCTTTTATGATCCAATTGTCAATATTTGACTTAAAACCTTTTGCAAGCATCATAAGTAATATTGTTAAAAGTCTGATGTGGATATGCACTACTTTGCTTGATCTCCCAGACAAACCTCTAGATTTCCATTAATTTTTAATTTGCTACTTGTATTGTAGGTTTTGAAATAAAAACAAAAACGTTGCTGCTCCTGTGCTTTCATGTTACCAGTATCTTTTGTTCAATTCAGTGTTGAATTTCAGCATTTATGCCCTAGAAATGCGATGTAAATAAATTATTGTCTACCGTACCTCGTTTTGTGACTGGCAAGTAAATTGAGGTGAAAAGGGCTTGATATTTTTCTTTTCATCCAGCACAATGACATTTTCTATTAACATTCAAAACAGCTATATTTAAAAATAGTATGGTAAAAAATCCAAATAATAGTTTTGCAACATTCTTTAGATCAAAAAGTAGATTTCATTAGCAGATTACTCTTTGTTAGTGAAAGAGAAGTCTTCAAGATTTGTTACAAAATTCTAACAGTTTTAATGTTTTGTTTGCATGCCTATTTACCAGTTTATTAATACAGTGAATTTTTTAGAAATCTGTCAGTAATACATTGGAAAGGATTGCTCAAGTTATTCTGTAGCAATAGCAGCAGTCTTAGTGATATATGAAGCCAGCCTTCAAAGAAAATGTTTTGCAGGTTATCCTTTAGTGGATTATTGATTTAACATAGCTTTCTGGTTTAGCTTCAAGTGCTGTAGCCTGCGAAAACATCCGTTTCTCCTCGCTCTTCGCCGCTGGGGACGTTTCGCGCGGAGGAACGTCTACGACTCAGCGACAGAAATTCCATACTGATGATGCAAATCAATGTTTACATAATAAATCCGATAGTCATGGAGTTCAAATATAAATTTGTCTATTTTTATGTGTCTTCTGATCGATTTTGGTAAAGTATGGTGCTCGTCTGCCAACGAGCTCCAGCAAAACTCAAATGCTTCTTCTAGAGAAGACTATATTCCACAAATATTGACTGTTTTGTCAGAGATTCTTCGCGTTTTACATTTGACCTTTGTGGCCTTTTGTCTTTTGTCAGTCATTCGTAAATAATAGCTAAAACAATGTAATTACTCTGTCGACCAATCAGCACTTCTGACTGGATTCCGGACAGATTTTACGTCATCAGTATGGAATTTCTGTTGCTGAATTGCAGACGTTCCTCCGCGCGAAACGTCCCCAGCGGCGAAGAGCAAGGAGAAACGGATGTTTTCGCAGGCCACAAGTGCTGCCTAAGAAAATTTTTTGGGAGCCCTTTTTGCCGCATTTCTAGGAGCCCAGTTTAAAAAAAAAAAGTGACTTTATTAAATATGTCAAACTTCTAGCACACAACAACTGGTGCACTAATTGGTTGATTGATATAGTCGACGATATAGGCGAAATGGACTAGAGGAACGTTGTTCTATTTTAAAGTGGTCACCATTAAAGAATCGAAGACAGTATTTTTCTCTGATTGAGTGTTATAAATGTACATTTTCTTTAAGTAATCTAGAATTTCAAGACTTCTTCCAGTTAGCGTCGAAACGAACAAGAAGTAATCGTAATTACAAGTTGAAGTTTCAAACATCTAGTTGGAAGGGAGTTGTCAGAAATTAGCAGGGCGGAGCGGGGGTGGGAATTTTAAATTTGGGTTTGGAAATGAGGTGACCCATCCCTGCAATGGGAGTGAAATTTTCTAACCCTCCCCTTGACCTTGGCTTAAAATATCATGACCCTCCCCCTCTTGTATAAATGATAAAATCTAGTTCTTGCAATACACTCGGGTGAGTCAGTATTATGAAAGCTCAAAATATATTTCTAATCTGTTCATTGTAATGCCATATACATACATACTAGGTGACATCATTAGGAGTCCGACTCTGATTCTGACAGCTGATCACTCGACTCTCCTATTTTTCTCAGGATTTTTTTTACAAAATAAAGAACTTCTTTTTTCTTCTGTGGGTGAACCTCTACATGATCATGGACACATATTTGCATGACTCTCCCCCTTTTAACGGCCCATTTTTCATGACCGCTCCCTTTTCTGCAGTCTCAAAAAGTTGTGACCCTCCCTCTGTTTCCCCCCCCCCCCCCTGCTAATTTCTGACACGTCCCTAATTGTTACAAATATTCATTTTTTGTGAGAATTGTAAAAGAATGGAACGATTTACCCGAGTGGGTTGTCAAGGCGGGAAATCGTGCATGTTTTAAGTGTTCTTTAGGATCATTTTTATATATCTCGTAGTATTTTCATTTTATTCCTTACTGGCTTTTTTTTAGCTACCTTTTTGGATGTACATTTTTAACATTACATTCTAATATTAAATGCTTTGAATAAACACATGTATGTATGTATAAGCTTAAAATTCATCATTTATCCAACTCTGGGGCACAAATATTAGCATAGTAAAGGGTCAACTAACATTCAAGGGCCAATGTCCTTTTTTCTGTACTTTAGAGGTCTTTTACTTCATTGTATTCCTCAAGAACAGAACCCTGTATCTAAACCTAGTTTAGTTAGTTCCCCAGAATGGCCCTTATGCGACATCCCTACTTTCTGAGATGAACAGATTAATCTCTCTGTTACTATTGACTGCAGGAATAAGTAGTGAGTTTTGTTAAATTGTGTCTTACTTGAATTACACCACAGGTCGAGAAAACTTTGAGAACTCTCAAGGCAAACAGCTCAAAATTGCACAGAAGCGTGTGGCACAGTGGGAAGCTGCAGTAAAAGTAGCTGAAAAAGCAAAACCAATGAACAGACATGAACGGCAACTATGTTATACATTCAAGTACTATGACAAGAATGAAGCAAAACGAACGGAACCTTTGAAATTGAAAAAGTTGAATGGTTTGAGTGTTATGTCTGTGGCTCAACAAATGAATGGGGTAGCTGAAAATCATGAAAATAAAACAAGTGGTGTCTGCAATGTTGAAAGTGTGGTTTCGGAAGTCAAAGCTGTAAATGGAGTTGGGGTTGCCAAGAGCAGTGTGAAAACTGACCAGCGGAAAACTACTAATGAGAAGACACAGAGGAAAAGGAAACTAAGTTCTATAGCGGGGACTTCGAAGTTGTTCCCGAATCATGTAGAAGCTTCTAAGGCTTCAGAACCTCCAAAGAAAAGGAAAAAACAAACTGCCAAAAAGCAAAGTAGTGAGGTTGACCCTGTTGAGTCAACTCTGGAGGTTACCAGTGACAGATTTGACATACCAATCAACCTAAACATGGAAGACAAAATGGATTTTAACTCAGACTTGCATGGCAAGTGTAATGGCGTTTGTAGTAAAGCTAGTTCAACTCCTCCTAGATTAAATGGTGATATTTCTGCTTATGGAGCAAACATGGAGGTTTCACCCAATACTGCTTTGAAGTTAAAGATCAGAAAAATCACACCAGAGCAAACCCAAAAAGAAGGAAAGCGAAAGAGAGGACGGCCTCGTAAGCCGCATTTTGTTATTGTCAGTGAGAGTGAGAGCAGTATGGAAGTTGAAAGTTTGTCTGAATCACCGGACAAAGTTAAAAGTACCGGTAAGCAGAGTTCTTCTAGTGGCAAGGACTCCATGCTAGACTCTGATGAGTTAAGAAATGGTGAATCGATATTGACGAAGAAACGCATCCGTAAACCCTCCAGCAAAGTATTGAGTGCACAAGAAGTGGCAATATTGATGAAAAAAGATTCAACAGCTGTGAAGGAAAAGAAGAAAGCTAGTCGCAATAGCAAAAAAGTAAAAGATGAGGATGATGTTGAAGCAAAAACTAAAAAGGTGAAAAAGGCAGAAAGTGCTGAGGTTAAAAGTAAAAAAGAAGCACAAATGGAAGTTGTTGATCCAAAAAACAACAAGTTGGAAAAAATAGAAAATGTTGAGCCAAAATGTAAAAAGATAAAAGTTGAGGAGAGAAACAGTGAACCTTCTGAACTGAGTAGTACTGTTGAAATTGAAGGAAGTGTGACTTCCTCGAGTGACGATACAGGCAGTATAAAGAATGGTACAGTGGCCAAAAGGGAAAAAGATGCTGTTTGTGTTGTTTGTGAGCAGCAAGAAAACCTAACTCACTGTGAGGGAATCTGTGGAAATGCTTTTCATTTGGATTGCATCGGGCTTTCTGTTGTTCCTAAAGGGAAGTTTATATGTGATGAATGTGTAACTGGCAATCACTGTTGCTTTGTCTGTCGACAGACTGGGAATGTTAAGCAATGCTGTCAACCACTTTGTACTAAATTTTATCACGATGAATGTTTGAGAATTTTTAAGACTGCTAAATTTGATGGTGATCGCTTTTTCTGCCCACTTCATTTCTGTGGTACATGCGTTTCTAACAAGTCTGCTGTCACTAGAAAACGAATGATCCGTTGTGTACGTTGCCCAACAGCCTATCACGTCTCAGGTTGCCTTGTTGCAGGATGTATTCCTGTAAGTTCGCAGCTGATGGTTTGTGCAAAGCACTTTTTACGTGAGAAAAACAAGGCTCACCATACTCATGTCAACGTAAACTGGTGTTTTGTGTGTTCCATTGGTGGTACACTGATTTGTTGCGAGAGCTGCCCTGCTGCATTTCATCCTGAATGCATCAGTTATGAGGGGATTCCTGAAGGACATTTCTTTTGTAAAGACTGCACTGAAGGCAAGCAGCTTCTTTATGGAGACATTGTCTGGGTTAAACTAGGAATGTACAGGTAATAACAGTGAATTATATAATGTTCAAAGAACTGTGTATGCTTCGATTGGTCAGAACTATTCAACTTTCCATAAAGTACAGTAAACACCCGCTAATAAGAACGTACCTTTTTTAAAGTGTGGCAAAGTAGGTCCTTTTATTTTGGAGTACTTATTGGCAATTTAGGCTAAGTAGTGTCTTAATTTTTAAGGAGATACAGTCGAGTCCCGGTAACTCAAACCCTCTATAACTCAAACCTCCCGCTAAGTCGAAGCAATTTACATTTCTCTTCGGATCATTTTCTGTGTAATTTTACCCTCGATAACTCGAACTTCCAATAACTTGAACTTTTTTCTGTTTCCCATAAAGGTTCGAATTATCAGGAGTCAACTGTAATAGATTGATTATCAGAAAAATAAATGAACTTTTCATTTATTCACAATTGTATTATTATAGCCCTGACAAAACTGATCATTGAATTTGTATACAGTTAAGCACAGTATGTTCTTGTTATACTTAAATTTACAACTCAAAGTTAAATTTTTTATGATAATTTAACTGTAATCCACGTACAAGAACCTGCTTGATGTTGCTTGGCTAAATGTGTTGTTATATTTTTGGGTATTAAAGTGCCGAATTTGTGCCAGGAGGTTCTTAATCCACAGGTTCTTATTAGCGGGTGTTTATTGTATGCACAGCATCATGGGTGCTACAGTCATATGGACATATTATAAGCATGCATCCTATGTCACAAATTCAGTAAGCTCAATTTATGGGATGTTTTATGAAAGAAATAGAAAAATGATAATTTTGTTGCACCTGCATTGTTGAGTTACAGTGTATAGGCGAATCTTTGCTGACGTCATTGTTTACATTTTTCCTCATTAGCATACGACTTAACTCACAGAAGCCGTGGCCGTATATATGAAATAAATGCGAAAGTCGAAAGAGCTGATAAAGTTGGGCAATTTGTGCAATTTTCAGCTCTTTGCGAGCAATATTGAACGAAATATCAGCCATCAAAAACTGCGAAATTGCTGTGTGGCAAAAAAGTTAATTAGCCATACATTTTCTTTAAAATTTCGAGTTTTTAGAAGATAATTTCTCCGAAACCATTCGGTGTATTGGGCTCAAATTTTCAGGCATAACTGAAACTATTATGCCCTTTCAATATTCAGAGTTTTGATTTTATTAGCGTCATCAGACAGTGATAAGCATATGTTAATGAGGCAAAAAGTGTAAACAAAGATTCGCCTATAAGCTCTTGGAATTGTGAAAAGAAGTACGAGAAGCACTTTGTATTTGTGCTACACAATTTCCATGTGCATATATATTGAAATCTCTCTGTAATATCATTGTCATATGTGACAATTAAGATAGTTCTAAATATTTAATTGCAAAGACAATGACTGTCTGGTTGTTTTAGCCCTGTGGTTATTCCAGACATCCAGAACTTTGATTATGCAGTAGTTGTACTTAGTTCCATTGTAAAGTTGTGTTGCTGGACTACAACAATGATTGTTGTTGTTGCTGTAAAGAGAGAAAGGAGTAATTTAAAACAAAAGCTGTAAATGGTCAATTTGGGGAAGATTTCGAAAATTTTAATAAGTATTCTGTAAAATGATTCTTCCGGTTAGTTTTTCAAAGTTTTTTTTTTGGTTTGTAAATTTGAGTTATAACTTTCTGGGGACTTAAACCATTTTACTTGATTTGGTTTGTCCAAATTCAGCACAAATGTCCCTTAAAGTGTATCAGAAAAATACTTGCAATTACTGTATTAACTTGACTGCTGACCTTGTTTAAACACTGCAGATTGAAGCAAACTTATCAATGAACACCACCCTCAAATAAACAGAGTGTGGGGTTTATTTGATGGTAATAAGAAAAATGTCGGTAAAACTTGGTATTATACAACATCCAGACAATTAAGAGTCTATCTAATATATAAAGCAAGGTATTGGAACTTTAAACAACTTCCTGTTGTACCTAACATTTGCAAATGATTGATCATAATTATTGTCAGTGGTTAATAAATGTGATTTCAAAAGAATGTGTCACGATGAATCAAAAATTCGTAAAAAATTTATTAACACCCCAGTTTTTAATCAAAGAAATATGACAACTACTGTTAACTTCTATGCTGTCTAATTCTCTAGCTATTTTCATTAAGAGTTGTTTTATGCATATCTGTAGATGGTGGCCAGCACAGATCTGTAATCCACGCGATGTCCCAACAAACATTCAAAACATGCGTCATCAACCTGGCGAGTTTCCTGTTCAGTTTCTTGGATCACATGATTATTACTGGATTCACAGAGGTCGCGTGTTTAGCTATCAGGAAGGTGACAAAGGATCTACAGACTCTGGTACCAACAAGAATCTGGCCAAAATTTTCAAAAAAGGTGAGTGTACTGGTGAAAAAAATTTTTTTTGATGTACAACTGTACAAGACTTGACAATCACATAGCACCATACCCTCGACACATAATACTTGTCTGTTGATCTCAAGCATTTGAAATCAACAACCACAAGTCAGGTTAGGACTCTCAAATGGATTTTCATAAAAATACTGTAGTTGCCATCAAGAACAAAAGTCCATTATTAATCGGAATATGTTCATAGTTTATTTGGAATGTGTGTTAAAAGTTATAAATTAGTTGAAGGCTAAAAGTGGCATAAATTACAGAAGTAAAATAGTTAGAGATATTTTTCTGGCAAGGAAGCAGGAAGCTCAAATTGAAACTATAGGGGCTTATTACTTACTTACCATCCCCTTTTTCAGCACTTGTTGAAGCGAAAGAGAAGTACAGTGAGTGGAGAATAGAACAAGAAAACAAAGCAGAGCAAGATCTTCAGAAGATGTCCAAAAAACCAGCTCCATATAAACACATCAGGGTTAGTTTAAGTTACTGTATGTTATTTTCCATCTTGCAGTGCGACTACTGTAACCCGGGCCACCTAGATAAAATTGACCAATCAGATTACAGGAAAACAACAATACATTCCAAGAAAGTTAGTTGTCAATCATAATTACCATGAAACAAAATAAACTAGTTACATGGATTAACACCAACCAATTACAACCTACAGAGGTGACCTTTTGAATCCGCTGAAGAAAGCCTGTTGTTTCCTGAGAAGTGGGTTTGACCGAATGGCGGAGGCAAATGTTTATTATATTTTTAACTGTGGCAATGGTAGGGAAGAAATTGCTGGTAGATGACCAAATATTATAAGAGCTAATTGTGCCTCTTTGTGTTTACATGTGTATGTAAGTTTCAAATAGAAAAACATTTTCTCAGTCTGGTGAAACAATTTGCTTTCTTGAAAAACGTTTGCTATCAATATTTAAAATTTGTGCTTCGAGTAACTTATTGTTTTCTTACAAGCTGCTGATTGGCCCACAACCAACTTTCTTGAAATGTATCATTATTTTCCTGTAATCCAATTGTTCAACTTTGTCTATGTGGCCCCAGTTACAGTGGTCACACTGTAAGTTTAAAACCTTAACGTCTGCCTTATGACTTCAGGAAGGTGGCACCTTTTCAGGCTAATTTGGAAATCTGTAGGTTTCTACATGCAGGGTTTAACTGTACATTTGAAAATCAAACCGGGAGTATTCCAATTCAATCAGGTAGTATTGTAAACTCTGACTGAGTAAATCTTACTTTTGCCACTCCAAGTCTAACAGTTAGATTTCATGGAGCTTTCTGTTTCATGTGGTAAAACGTCCCTGAGGATTGGTGATAATAAATCAACCTGAAAAAAGGACAAGAAATTGCATTTCATTAATAAACTCTGAACCCTGATTAAATGCAGGGAGCATTATTTTAATCAAGTAATGTTTTGAATCAAAATGTTAACAGGACAAAACAAGCAAGGTTAGCAACATTTGCTTTAAGTTTGATGGACAATTTACTGTATAGTATAAATTCCACACAATCAAAATAATGACAGCTGCAATTCATCATTAGCACACCATACAGATCAAATTTCTTGCCTATTTTTGACTCCTTCATCAGTTGCTGAAAAAACTGGTCGTTGTCAAGAGGTTTATTTGCAGGTTGGGGACACGCTTTAGTGGCCCTTACTGTTGTAGTGAGGTTTAAACAAAAGACAATGTAAGGGCTGTCTGCCAGGACTAAAAAATATGGCCGTTGTAGAGAGGTGTCTGTTTGTGGAGGTTCAACTGTATTAATTTTCCCCTCCTGCGAACCATTACCTGCAGTTCCCATTGCAGAGTTTATGCAACCTCAGGAGGAAAAGCAAACGTTAGGAAATGTATTGTAGAGGGCTTCAAGTAAATACCACATCCCTTCATTCAATTCATTCTTTTGCCTACTTTCAGTCGTTCGACTTACATACATATGCAAACAACAAAATCATTCATTCATTGCTGCACACACATTCTCCTTGCCTTGAAGCTTTCAACATGTTTCCACAATTTCTGAAATAAAATCTAAAATATTATTTTATATTAGTTGAGATGCTAACTAGATTAATCTTTTATTATCCATGACCAATTTATAGTTTTAAATTATTTATATTTTTTAATGTATTGGTTGATTGGGCTAAGATGCTCTTCGAAAGTACTTATTAATATTATGTATAGGTTTCAAGGCTGTGCTCTAGCAGAGCACGGTGGCCCATGGCGCCTAACTTTTGTTCTCGGGTGACTAGAAAATCTTTGCTTTTTTATAGAAATCATATGCTGGGCACACTGGATTTCACAAGTTCAGAGCCCTGGGCTCCCTTTAATTTTTCTTAGAGCACAGCCTTGGGTTTTGATATGGAAAAGACTGATCTTAGTAATTAATAAACTTGTTGCTGCCTGATGTTTGGCCTCTGAAAATTAGTAGGGAGTTTAGGCAACAACAACGGCGACAGCTATGAAAGCATGACTTAAAAAGTGAATTCACACTGCTTCAAATTTTATCGCACTTATTCCATCTTGTTTACTTCGTCAAATGTTGGCAATTGTTTCTGGAGTTGAATTCTAAAGGACTGTATCAAAGTTCAGGAAAAGAAAAAGACAGTTGTTGTCTTGTGTTCCTGTCCTTGACAAAACGCGAATTTGGGCACTTTCACATTGTAGTCGTGCAACAACAGCAAATAAATGTACAAAAAAGCATGATGCACGTGCAAAGTTGTGTTGTTAATCAAACCTATTGCTTTTTTCTGTCGCCGTCATCATTGCTTAAGCTCATGCACTGTTATAACTTAAATTTCTCGTTGCCACTTACAGTGAAACCTGTATTAAGCGGACACCCTCGGGGAATGCTGTGGTGTCCGCTTAATACAGGTTTCGATATATAACGTCATATGAGGTGTCAAATGCCATTCAAATGAACAGTGGAAGCGTTTATAATACTCCCAGAGACTATGAGGATAGACGTTTGCATTAATTTCTTTATCAAAGTGAACCAATTGATCATAGTACGATAAACATGGATTGCAACTCAAATTTGAAGAAATCAGATGAGTGAAACAAGCTCTATACAAACAAAACGAAATAGAAAACAATCCTGTACTGTGGAACTAATCAAATAAGTTCATCAAGTCACGTTTTTTAATGTAAAAATCGAAAAATTTGTGGGTGGCAATTAGAGGCAATCTTTCGCATTTCCGGTGTCTGGCATGTTGGGTGATGGAATTTAATTACAAGTGTCCGTTTAATACAGGTTGGCAACAATATAAATGGCCCTTTTTAGGTACTTTTTAGGTGTCCGTGTCCGCTTAATAGAGGTGTCCGCTTAATAAAGGTTTCATTTAAAGTAAATAAGGGAAATAAATTTGGGGACTTCGGCTACTGTCCGCTTAATAGAGGGTGTCCGCTTAATACAGGTTTCACTGTATATAAATTGTCCACCTTAGTCTCCATACATTTCCTCAAAGAATTTGCTGAGAGAATTTGATAACAGAGCAAAGCGTTTTTCCTGTGCACTTCATTTTATTAAGTGGTGTGTCTATCAAAAAGAAAGTTAACTATATTCTAAATAATTTTTGTTAAGATTTGACATAATATCAGATACAAAACACCAACTATTGAAGGTTATATGTTATACTTTACACATAGGCTTTTTTGTTGCAACTTCTCTGCAGTTATGACAATTCTCATTCTCATGTCAGGTAAACAAGTGCACGACAGCCGTACGCATTCTGATTGATCCTTCAGAACTGCCTGTCTGTGACTGCACCGCAGATAGTGAGAATTCTTGTGGTGCGGACTGCAACTGCCTGAATCGCATGCTTCAGTTTGAGTGCAATCCTCAAACATGCCCATCAAAGGAAAACTGTCATAATCAAAGATTTCAAAAAAGGCAGTATGTGGATTGTGAAGCATTTAGAACATTGCACCGCGGATGGGGATTAAGATGCAAACAGGGTGAGTGGTCTCTGTGATTGTAACTGTAATGATACAAACTCTTCAGTTTTCTTGTGACTGAATTGCTGGGCATAGCCTCTCAAGATTTTTTCTAAAACAATTAACCCTTTAAACCCCAATATCCACAAACAAATTCTCCAAACTGATCTCTATACATTTCCTTACAGAATTAGATGGGAGAAATTGATAAAAGATCAGAGATTTTTCTCTTTGTGATCATTTGATTAATTCTCATAGATGTTGCACTTTACAATCTATGGATATTGTTAGGAGAAAATTGATGTTGGTCACTATTGGGACGTAAAGGGTTGATGGCAGTTGCTGAAAGGAGCTGTGTCACAAATTTTATCAAAATTCTAACCACAGGAACTGTAAATAAAACTCTGTTAGTTCCTGATAACCTTGTTACCACAAGTCATATTTATTCGTCTGTTAATAGTGCACTGGACAAAATTGTTCTGGATTAACTTTTTACTATACAAGAATAAAACAAGCAAAGGAACCTCGATTATACTTTTGAACTTTATTAAATTCCACACATGGAAAAATATTTTCATGTTGATCACGCAAGGAGGAATTGTATTAAGGTGTATACAAACTTGTTCCCTGCTAGCAGAGGTCTCTCACGACGAGGCAAAAATGAGAGAAAGGAGAGAGACCTCTGCCGGCTTCCGACGTGTTTCCTATCACGCATGCGCTGGCGTTTCCTTAACAACCAGTGATGTTTTTCTCACGTGCGACACAACCCACAGAACCGGTTTGCGTGCGAAACTTCAGCTGAAGGCGGGGGTATATGTTGTGGAGAATTCTTCGCAATGTGAAACGATGCCGAGAACTCCACAATCTCGCAAATTTGGGGAAAGCGCGTCACCTCGGACGCCCATTAAACCAGTTGGGTCTGGAAAAGACGTTAGATGCCTTTTGTGTGGTTTAGATTTTAAAGGTGAAAGGTGTTGACAGGCCAAACACGACTCATAAGCTCGTGATAGTGTGATACGTGACCTTATAGTTTTGTTCTAACAAGGATATCTCCCAGCCATTTTGCTCTTTTATATGAAATGATCGGAGGCTTGTTGTATATTTCTCTCAGTAGTGGTTGATCTTGAATTAAGTGCCATTTGCTCATTAAAATGTTTTTAAGGTTCGGCAAAGCAGGGTGGTATGTGGTAACGAAAGGCAGAATTTTCTTTCGCACTTCATTGTTCCTTTGTAAAGCTGACTTCCGTTCGGTAAATTTAACCTCAGAGGTGATTTTTTCTATGAGATTGTGAGGGTAACCTCCAGCGCAAAGGCGTTTTTTGAAGTTGTAGATGTTCTCATAGAAGGATTTAGCTGAAGAGTTCAAAGGAGAGACAACTAAAACCACTGGTTCTGTAGAGAAGAGATCCTTGTAATTGTAAACAACAGATAACTCGGCCGCCACTCGTACTGCTAGTTGGTAAATTAAAAATTTGCCGTAGCCCGTCGGGAGACACGCAAACGTATCGCGTCCTTTGAGGAAACCAAGTAAGACTTTTCTTTGTAGGGAAGTTATTTCTTTTATACATACGTTTGTCGCCAAGCTTAGAAACGGATGATCTTATGGCTTGATCAAAGTGAGAAATTTCGAAACTCGCGGATCTCATGGAAGCCATAATTCACTGTGGGCTCAATAATTGTCAGCGTACAGTTTAACAAGGCACGCGCATTACACATTAAACGTAACCGGTTTTAAAAACCGGTAAGATTCGACCAGAAATCTGGTCGGCGGCTTCATCAAACAACGTGTCGAAAGCTGGCAGAGGTCTCTCTCCTTTCTCTCATTTTTGCCTCGTCGTGAGAGACCTCTGCTAGCAGGGAAACAAACTTGGTAACATAATCACAAAGGCACGCAAAATCACACAATTTCTCTCACTGAAAACAAAGTGTTATTGTGTGAAGAATATGTCGTGTTCATGTTTTGCTGGACCATTATTTCTGGGTTCTTCTCCCAGGAGCATAACAACACTTCGTTTTCAGCATGCTCAGTGAAAAGCGTGATTTGTTTTTCTTAGAAATGATGTGATTTTGCCTACCTCTTTGATTTCATTACCAAGTTTGGATATGACGTAATGCAAGTCCTCCTTACGTGATAACCATGAAAATATTTTTCCATGTGTGGAATTTAATAAAGTTTAAAGGACAAGAATATCATTAAGGTTCCTTGACTTGTTTTATTTTTGTATAGTGAAACATCAATCCAGAATAGTTTTGTCCAGTGTACTAATAACACTCATAAACCCTCTGTTTACCTATTTCAGATGTCAAGAAAGGTCAGTTTGTTATCGAGTATGTAGGAGAACTTATTGATGAAGCCACTTGCCAAGAACGTGTGCGAAAAGGTGAAGACGTGACCAACTATTACATGTTGACAATAGATAAAGATTGTATCATAGACGCTGGTCCAATGGGCAATCTCTCACGGTTTATGAACCATAGTTGTGATCCCAATTGTGAGACCCAGAAGTGGACTGTTAATGGAGAAGTCAGGGTTGGACTGTTTGCTTCACGAGACATCAAGGATGGAGAGGAACTGACTTTTGACTATCAGCTGGATTGTTTAGGTGAGTAAAGGTAACATGGGTTCCTTTTGTTGAAATACAGCAAGACCCTGTTAATACAACCGCAGCTGAGCTGTTCATGTGATGAGGGAAAAAAATAATTGTGACTAGTTATCAATTTGCTAAGTATTTCAGACACAGTGGAAGTTCTCTCAATGGACAGCTCTACATGTTCGTATGGCCACCTTCACAAAACCCTGTTTCAACCCTCATACAAATTCTGTATTTTTACATTCCTGTAAGTTGCCCCAGACACTTTTGGGGTTTACCAGTTAGGCTCCTGTTACCCTGGGTACCAGGTCTTTTTCTCACGTGCAGCAGGATGCTTCGGTGTCGGTCACAGGTTGAAGTCACGAGCGGTAAAGCCACGAGAAAAAACCTCTGGTATGGAGTGATGCCGTTCACTGTCACTGCTGAAGTTGAAGCTTTTTTATTGGATTACATTTGAACCAGTGAGATCAGACATCTCCAACTCTGATCATATGGACTGGCACATGAAGTAACGCTGCAAATGAGTTTTCAATATCAGGCAAACAAAGGAGAAATAATTTTGACAACTCTCAATGTAATATAATTTGCAACCTTGTAAGTTTACATTACTAGCATAAACAACAAAGTCTTTAGCGCCTCATTTCAGAGTAAGGCCATCAGCCAGACAAACAAAAATCACTGGAATACCTTTGGGATACTCGCTGATCCCACTTGATTAAATGACACACATAGTCCAGCAATATTCAGCAGGAGAACTCTAACAACAACGATATTCCATTCCCAGTCTACAAGGTCACCAGAACATCCATAAAATAAAACATGTCAGTTGTTTGCCTTGCGCTTCATTCAATCACTACTCCGCTCCATTGCCCATTGTCTTTTGCTGGTTCTTTCCGTCATTACTGTTTCCAAACTTTCAGCATTGCAAGACCAGAGTACATTGTTTTCCTAACATAAACAACACTGTATCTTTCATTTGGTGTCCCATTCTTGTCAACCAATTGTAGCATTTGTTAGATTCAAAGTCCCTTTGGTGTTTGTTAGGAGGCAATCAGCTGTCAGGTCCAAAACCTGGACCAAACCGAGAGACTTGACCGCAATCGGAAACGGTGCATGAAAAGTCTCTGGTCTCTGAATGATACTGCACAGTGACACTGACCTACTTAGTCTCAAATTGTGTAAATTGTGTGAACTGCTGCAAATGACCAGTAAGCTTAGACCTGTCATTAGCAGTGGGCAACTGCCTTTTATAACCTGCTGGCCTACAGCAGTGAAATTAATGGTCAGATGCCACAATGTCTGTACAGGAGTGTATCCAGTAATTGAACAAACAGCTAACAGGAGGATTTTTTTTTCAATGTGTCTGAATATTTTATCAGGAAATGAGAAGAAGAAATGCCACTGTGGAGCTAAAAACTGCAGCAGTTTTCTTGGAGTGAGACCGAAGAACCAGGTCCAAGAGGAAAAATCTAAAAAACCAGTAGATAAAAGAAAGAAGAAACGAATCAAGAAAACTGTTGTCAAAGAAGGTAAATGGATGTTTCTTTTGCATGTGGGGACGGTTTTACTGAAAGTCATCAGTGAGCTTATGCAATGGGACAGCAGAAAGACAAGGGGCGCGATCCATTCAACCAAAATTCAGACCGGTCCGACCAGGAAAAGAGGACCACCTCAAAAGGTTTTTTCAAAACTTTTCCGGTTGGACCGAACTGATCCATTGAGTTTTGGACTGAAATTTTCGGAAATTTTGGTTGAATGGATTGCGCCCAAGGACGGCGAAACACTTGTGCATGACAAACTATTAGGGCTATTATTTGCAAGTTTTTTTGTGATCTTCAGTTAACATTATTGTGTTCTGGTCTTTTGCAAATAGGTTTGTCAAAAGGAAGGTAAAGTTTTGTGGAAAATTTTTTTTTGAATATTATTATTCTCACACTTTTTACACAAGGTTTGCAGTCGTCTTTCCTCTGCTGTCCTTTTGTGTAAGTTCACTAATTTGACAATATCCTCAGAAAATGTTGAGTGCAATAATGTAATAAAAACGCGCTTTTTTAACAAAATGTGCTCAAGCTTCAATATTGAAAATGCAACATTTTCATTTTACCATATAATAATTCAGTATTAAATCCTTTATTCTGCTTTAAAGACCAAAAGCAATGAGTTAAGCAGCTCAAACTTAACAATAAGCTGTGACTTTCAGTTTAAAATTATTGTAAGTAATGGTTATTTCTCTTTAAACTGTAATTGCCTAAATACGATTGCCTAACACTGTGCTGTATAAAGCTACGCTTTTCAAAGTTGCTTCTTTAGTGATAAAAGCTAAAACAAGTGTACATTACTGAAGCAAACATTTCCGTTTGGCCTCAGATCTGCCAGTGTCATCTGAACATCGCAAGCGTCCCCCTCCTCTGCCAGCTGTTCAACATGAAGTCTTTAATGAGCATGGCACCAGTTGTAACACCACTGACCAGGCAATAAAGCTCACAGGCACCTCTCCTCTCAATAGCGCATTGCCATGGACATATAGCCCTCTGCAACCAGGGTTGTCCTTAAGTAATAATGTCTAAACAAGGTGTGATATGTATGTTTTAAATTTCATTCCTAAAGAAACTAAATGAATAAACTAGATGGCCAAATTAAGTGTAAATTTAATTGTAAAATATTTTACCTGACTGAAGTGCTGTCGCACATTGTTAAAAAAAAAAAATTATTCTGTACATTCAATCCTTAATAATGTAGTGGTAATGATAAAATGAAACATAATAGGCGATACGTAAAGAAGAATTGTTATTAATTGTTAGAGGATGTCACATACTTAAGAACCCATAATAAAAATCACCCCGTGTCTTCCCATACCTTTACTACCATTACCTTGTGCGCTTGCGAATATTTGAGCTATTATTTGTTTTAAATATTCACATATTTTAAATGATTTTCGTATAGAATAGAATATTGATTTGATTTGATATAGCATTACTTATTGTAGTATATTTATTCTATTTTTTCTTTATTGGCCTTGGTGTAAGCCAGTACTTAGGAATAAAGTCTTTATTATATACGGTAGTCTAAGAAATCTCAATTACTCAAGACTTAAAATACAAGTTTCACTTTACTTTAATTCAATTATAATAAATCTAAGATCTGATGCAATGCTTAGCTCATTACAAGTAAAGGTAGTTCATGATAGTTAATGATGCGCTTTTGATAGACGTATTCAAATTGGGTTCTGTACTGATACAGGACTCCGCACCATTAGACTGATAGTTTGATACAAAATACATGTAACTAAAAAGTTATAGGGCTTTTACCCATATGTCAGTCACAAGAAATGCAATCTAAGTCGGTTCGTATTCTCATTTCAGTCCATGAAGACGATTGCTTTATTTGTGGTGATGGTGGCGAGCTTCTGATGTGTGACAAGGGAGGCTGTTCAAAGTGCTACCACAAGGGTTGTCTTGGTGGTGATGTTAATGTTCGTGGCAAGTGGATCTGCCCTTGGCATTTCTGTGATGAATGCGGCAAATGGGCGAATGTTCTGTGTTCAGAATGCCCAAACTCTTACTGCAGGGGTCATTCCTCTGGTCAAATTACCGACGTAGGAAATGGAATCCTGCTCTGCTCTGATCACATTTTGACGAGGACCAAAACATCACAAAATCAGCCCGTCGAAGAGGAAAAGATTAATGGAGAAGTGAGCAGGACAGATACACTTGATTAAAACATCAATCAATATTTAGAAGTTGTTTTATAATTTTTGCACATTAGACATTTAGTTTGTACAAGAGGCTTCCTCGATTGCTATCTTTTATCTTTCTACAAAATCTGGGATGATTTAAATCACTGGAAACTTAACTGTATTAGATGTTTTCTTTAGTCCATATATTTCATTTTGATCTGCCCATTGATAAGTTTTTTTCGGAACAAAGTAAGGTATTAATGGCCCTGGAAAGGGCGTTCTCCTGGGATGGCATTAAAATGATTGGCCACCTTCTATTTCTGTAACTGTTGTTACATATTAAAAACATGAGCTGAAAACTAGTACACATTGACCTGACCTTAACTTTAAGTTAATCTGGGTTTAAATTGATAGTAAACTTCCTTTAGCTTTTTGAACTACTCTAGATTTTAAAGGTATGTAATGGAAAAATTCTTCTGAGGTTGTGTATGGTCATAAACTGACCATATGTAAAACTTTTTTCTGGTCTTAGCAGATTTTATAGGTTTCCTGTTTTGCAACTGCGATAGTGATGCAAATCATTGTTCAGCCGGTGATAAAAACTGATTCTTGAATAGTTAGCACAGAAACTACAATATTAGTATTATTATTTCAAAACCAGTCAAATACTCTTAACTGCAAGCAAAGTGCAGTTCAGCCAGCAGTACTTTAGAAAGTGGTATGTGTCACTGGTCAGCATTAAACTTAAAGCAATCACGGAGTTTAAACCCACACTTAGTTCATAACTCTTGTAGTAGCTTGTATTTCATTGACCACACTTCAAGATTTCATTTCTTAAAAGACTCAAATAGTTAGAGCACGTAACATTATTTTAGGCACGATTACAGTAAGAATTTGTATGGGCTAAAAGCTCATTATTTCAAGGGAAGATCGCTTACGTGACGTTAAGGAAGTTTATTGTTGGCAACAATTAGGTCTAAGAATAATTGTTTTAAAAGTTCAGAGTATTTTAAAAATCCTTCGGCTTGTCAACAAGATCTCTTCTTTTTCGTAGCATTCATCTCGTGAACATTTATTTATACACAGTTTTAATTCAAAGCATGGTAGTGTTACAAAGAAGAACAAGAGTACATTTATGCAAAACTGCTTGTTCCGAATCGGCCCCCAAAGCATTTCGGGATATACCAAAGTCGGCAATAGGGTGGTGAAGGTGGGGATATTAGGTCATTGTAGATAGATAATGAATGTTTAAGCACGGCATAATCACTATCACTTTTACAATGCAAAAATCTGTTTCCAGGAAATGTGCTTCTTGGAGACTGGAGGGAGGGACAAGAGAAATCTAATCTGGCTTGGGGTTTCCCAAGAAAGGTTTTATGATTGTGCAAGGTGACATTGAAAATGGGGTCGCGAAAATATTTCATGGGAGTATCTGGGCACCGCCTTGCAGTCAGTTTAGTTGCAATCTCTCTAAACTCTTAGCAGTGTAAGCGTTTTCTATTTCTTACGTAAAATTCTATTTTGACGAGATTGAAAGGAATGATTGTTATATACAGTTAGGATTATTAGTTTTACACACTTTTACTGTGCTGATGTAATGATTGTTTTTAAAACTGTATCGTACATCCTCTAATAAACTTGACATTGGCTATTGTCCTTCAGTGTCTGTGTGAGTTACACATACGAACATAACCTGCGATCAAAACAAAACGCCTGATCGCAGGTTAATACTAACATGCCTTGACAGTTACCATTTCGTCGACCCGTTGCGCGGAACACGAGCTGTAGATTCCGTTAACGAGATGAAACGGTCTTGTGTGCACATAACCTGGGCAATTTAGCGTGACTACACCTTATTTGATGGTTTCAATGGCTGATGCCACCCGCCCAAAAAGAAAAAAAAAGTAATTATTATATAAATCTAGCATTTTAGCCGAGGGTACAGCCCTGCCCGCGCAAACTGGTGTACAGGTCTGCTGCGGTGAAAGTATATGCGCGCGTATTTGTCCTCTTACGTCAAAATGGTACCAGACGAATCATTCCTTCTGAGGACTTGCGGCGTAATGATCCCGAGTCTTGCATTCAAAATATAGATTACTCCCTGACTCTTGCAGGGCTGATCAGTTTGTTTGAAAAAAAAATAGCAAGAATTTAGCTCGGTTCTTTTCCCGGAAATCGCCCGAGCAAATTTCCTTTTCATAAACAAGTATTATCATTTAGACGACACTTGAAAGATTTCGTACTAACGGACATTCTCGTAAGCGGACAGCTCTACCTAAAACCCCGTTTTCTTCAACTCTCAAAAACAAACTTTGAATTTTACATTCCCGTAAGCGACCAGCTCTAATTACGCGCACCTTTTTCTGCGTCTCGAGGGTGTCTGCTCACGAGAGCTTCCTCTGTACTAAAAGCTAAAGAAAGGAAATTCACAATGGTATAGCGCGTGCAAATGACACACCTTACCAGGGCGGATCCGCCCTGCACCTTACCAATTGCACCTGCGCGCGCTTAAGACCTGATTGTGATGTCGTATGCACGCAGAACTTTGAACGCGAAAAAGCGTTAACCAACGTCTTCCCGATAAAACACGAGAAAGTGAGTGTCAGCACAATGAGTCATTTTCCAAATCAATCTTACTACGGTCAGTATTACTTCAATCCGCAGTGGATCCCGGCTGCGGGCGGAAGTCAGCCATCGGTTGTCTATAACAATGTTGTTAATTTTACTGTGGGTCCAGACGGCACACACTATTTTCATCAGACATACAGCGGCCAGTTCGTTGCACCACAAAGCCCAACAGTTGATATGAAAATGGTAAGATACAAAATTCCACCACAACAATCAACTCGCGTTATGAGGCTATATTCACCTTTTCGTGCCCGCACGAAAAACCCTCCGCTTTAGAGATCCGCGAGGAGCAGCTAAACTCCGTTGCAGAAATCGCGCCAAAATCACTGTTCTCTTTTGTGATCAGAAGCCCTATCCTTTTCGTGCGGCGCAAAACTTATCCGGTATCAGTAGTGTGAACATAACCTGAGTGACTAAACGGACCACACTCGGGCACCCAACGAAAGTTTTCTGTAAAATATCTGCTTGGAGAAGCAAAAATTGCCTGGAATTTTCTATGGATCCCTATGGGTTGAGCAAGGCTAAAAATTTCTAGATGACCGTTCCATTCATGTACTATTTTCGATGCTTATCTAATAAATTCCCTTGGATTTTCTAAAGTTTGATTTTTCTCATTTCACGCCCCAGGTTAAGCTATTTTTGTAGACAAAGGGAACCTAAGAATTTCGGCTTCGAAGGTGCGATAGAAAGAGAAA